TATTTTGGAAATTACATTTAGATACAAATTACTAAGTAATGAAATATGCATAATATGTTTCGATCTTACCCACGTAATAATAAGAAAATATGAACGGGTGTTTTTCACAAAAGAAAGAACTTTGAAAAAAAAGGGAAAAAAATAACAAAATAAGAAATCGACAAAAAATAAAAGATAAAGAAAGCAATGATCTGAAATCGTAAAAAAAGTTAAAAAAAAAAGTGTGTAAATGATCGTGATACGAAACAACCGCCTGCTGTTTCGTGGCTGTTTGTTAGCGGCGCCCGATTACCGACCGAGCTATTATAACATTCTATTTTTAATATTTTTCAGAAATTTAAATTATTTATAGTGCTATTCTTTGCACTTAAGATTGAACATTAAAATATGTAGAAAGAGTGCGAAAAGATTGTCGCCGCTGTGGGAATCGAACCCACGTCTTCGGCATTCGCGGCCTGACGCTCTAGCCACTGAGCGAAACGGCTGATTACCACACCGACGAAAATCTTAACGGATTCCTCCACATTATTTTCTTAGCATTTGAAGCAATGCTTGGCGCCATCTATTGTTATATCCTTTCCAGCATACAAACAATTTCGAATATCGTTTTACAACGATAATTCGAACGAGAGATGTCGCCATTGCTTTTTTAAAAATTTAAATTGTTTATAGTGCTAATCTTTGCACTTAAGATTGAACATTAAAATATGTAGAAAAAAAAATGATTCGATTCGATCTTTTCGATCGACATTTTCTAAAAATGAAACCTAGTCAGATCGATTTTTCGCCCCCGAATTTACGCACGTACTAAATTTCATGAAAATGGCTGGAGCCGTTTCCGAGATTCCAATTATATATATATACAAGAATTGCTCGTTTAAAGGATAAGAGATTGGCTATGACTTGGCCATCCATTTACAACTTACGATTCTTTTAAAAAAACATATCTCTTACTGTACGATAACATTATCCTGTGTTGTAAGGACGTTTTACAAAAATTTTTTACGTGGACAAAAAATCAAATCCTTAGCAATTATCTGTGGATCACGCAAATAGTTGTGTCTATCTAACAAAAACACCGCATCAAGATCCGTTGCGCAGTTTTAAAGATCTAAGCATACATAATTACATAGGGACAGACAGACTGCGGGACTACTTTGTTTTATACTATGTAGTGATCAAACCCAGAAGTTAGAAGAAAGAGTGCGGGAGAAACTAATCCCTGCGCTCGCTACAAAATGCAGGCAACACTGCATCAACTCGCGTAAAGATTACGTCTTACCTTTTAACTCTGCTCCTACCTTTTAACTCTCCTTTTAAATATGACAGCTTTTTATACATACACTAGCTGACCCGGCAAACGTTGTTTTGCCATATAAATTAAAAAAATTTGGGATGGACCAACCTTAACATATAGGGGGATGAAAAATAGATGTTGTCCGATTCTCCACCCTGACCGATATGCACATAAAATTTCACGAAAATCGGTCGAGCCGTTTCGGAGGAGTTCAATTACAAACACTGTGACACGAGAATTTTATATATTAGATATTAATAGTAACAACCTAAATGTGTCCCACTTATGGGCATATGCCCATTCCCAGTTTCTGACCAGTGGCATAATCCGCCACGCGACCCCACTGCGGAATGGCGGACATCACATATGTTCGAAATGTTTTTTATGTTTAATTAATTCTTCTAATTATATAATTTTAATTTTGATTTCCTCGATTAATGTTAAAGGAAGACGAGGAAATTATAACGTTAGGTTGGTCAGCTACTAAGCCGACGATCAAACCGTCGTTGAAATATGCTTTATTGAACCAATAATCCGTTTTGTATGTGATAATCTCCGCCCATGGACAACAGACAATAACCGTGGGGTTGGAGATTCGTTGCCAACATTTAAATGAGTGGGCCTCGGCTACATCCCTCAGCGAACGAAAAATAGAAATAGTGAATAGAGAGAAAATACTTCAACTACAACGGCAGTCTTCCGTAAGACATAGACGAGTTTTTATTGTTTGTATTATGAGAATTTTTGATGTTAAGTGATAACCGCCGCCCATGGACATTTATATCACCCGTAGGGTTACGGATGTGTTGCCACCTTTTAATGGAGTGGGCCTAGGGTACCTCACTCGCCAGACGAAATGCAGAACTGTACACTTCTACTTCACGCCTGTCTTCTGTGAGGTCGTGGTACCTCCAGAACTTCCCATTTATGCAACAGCGCCATACCACAGTTAGTATAGCCATACCACAGGTAGTATGGCGCAGTTGCCAAGGTATTAGCTGCGGCGTCGGGGGTCGTGGGTTCGATTCCCACACGGGACAACTATTTGTGTGACCCACAGAAAGTTATTTCGCATCTGGGTGTTTGTCCGCGTGAAATGTATGTTTGTAATACGTCCTTACAACACAGGATAATATTATCCTAAAGTAAGGGCAATGTTTTTATAAGAAAAAAAAAAAGAAAAAAATCATTTCAAATGATAACAGTTTTCGATACATACAGTGACGGTGATGCCGATATCGATACGGCCATAGAGGAAGTGCGTGCCACGTGTGAATTTTAAACGAGGTGGAACGCAAAATTTTTATTCATATCTTTCTAATAACAGGGATATCGTTATGATTGCTTTAATAAAATTATTTATAAACAAATAAATTGTTATAACAATCATTTTTATTTTCAAATAATTAAAGGAGCCTAGGTCATCTGTTAGTTTAATGAATATGTAACTACTGAGTTCAGAACACAATAAATGCGTTTGCCGCGCCATCATGACGTATCACCCCGTCCACGTATCACGCCTGTCACAGATAATCTGAGTGTGATTAAAAGAAATAAACAAAGAATTTATTGAGACTGTAACTAACGTTAAATTTATTAAGATTTAATTTTCTGTTTAAAAGTAAAGTAAAGAAACAGCCTTTAAATGTCCCACTGCTGGGCAAAGTCCTCGTCTGTAAAGAGGGTATCAGTGCATAGTCCACCATGCGACCTCACTGCGGATTGGTGCACTTCAAATATTTTCGTAATATTTATTTTGTTATTATTTCGAAAATTTGCAGGTTTCCCTTTTGCAGGTTGAGCACGTGATAAGTCAGCACTTAATATTAACAATTTCATTGTTGCCGGAAACTTGGAATCGAACTCAGGTTGCTCGAGTAATTTGAATTAAAACCGAGCGCCCGGAGACTGAACTATCACGGCTCTGTGTATTTTCTGTTTAATATCTGTTGATGTTTTGCTATTTTTAATACGTTTCATCGGAAATTAACTTCATTGAAATTCTTCAAAAAAGGTTTACCCTTTTAAAAAAATCAAAAGAAACATTTTTCTTGAAAGTCTCGAAGTCCTGGGAATTCTCGGGACTTTGCTTGTAGGCTGTCTCGTGTCCAGGGACTTTGAAATTGTCGGGAATTCCCAAACCCTAGTGCCGTGGAACTGAAGACGATCGCGCTAACATGGTTCTAAGCGCGTAGCTCAAGACAGATAGCGATGGCGGAGAACCAAAGGACATAGAATAAACTAAACGTAACATTATATTATGTTATCTTATTACATGTTTTTACTACATGTGACACTACCATCTGAAAAGTTTACGATTTACATTATCTATTATCTTAGATAGTGGACGAATTTTCGTATCTGAGATTTCGTATTAGATTCGAACCGAACGTCCATTGACCTTCAAGATTCGAAGACAGATAATCTTTCAACATTCAATAAATGTCTAGCCATTTCTAAGCGACATGGTGATACACGTATTCCCGTTTATATAAAGCTCTACATGTAAATAAAATATATTATTCATATTTCTTTTAATTTAATTATGAAACAAGGCTTTGCAATAAGGGTTGATCCTGAAAAATTTATTACGGAAGTCAATTGTTGAAATAGGAAAGCCTAGAAAATAATAATATTTTTAGTTTTATTGGACTTAAAACGTTAACAACCCCGTTATGGCCTTTTACAATAGAAGGCAGTGATGTTAACACCAGCTTAGTAAATACCACACCAGCACCGTGAGGCATCAAGATTCTGTAAACAAGTAATGCGTAAATTGATCCAGCGAAGCTAGAAAAACTCACAGGGAATGCTAAGAGTTTTATTTAACAATCATGTTTTAATTACCTTTTAAACATTTAACTATTTTCTATGAAACATCCACGGTGTTTATACCGTTTCATAGGCGGCGGACACAATTTTTTTGTACAATGTGGTTTTTACTAATAACAAGGTCCCGCCGAGTTTATTTGTACCACCCAGCATACAGGTTCGGCAAGATGTTTCTCTCCTGCATATAATCAAATATGATATCGTACAACATTTCCTTTGTTTTATAACATCATTAATTTAACGAGAGACATTTCGGCAAATATTTGCTGTTACATACTCACGAGGAGGCGAAAATATCTCGAGCCGTGATATACATGTTGTTATTATAACCGTTTTATAGAAAATGAATCTAAAACTAATATTAAATTCTCTTTGGATAAACAAACAAGAAAAAAATTTAATTACCTTGAACCGTCATACCAAAGATTCAGGTCACTTATTTCAGACACTGAAATAATTCATATCCAAATATCTATAAGAATTTTACAGGAGTTGGCAAAAGCTTCATAGTGTTAAATGGTGATAAAATATTCCTATTGAATATTAATTAGATAATTTAATTAAAGTAATAAAAAAGAATGCAAAAGTTTCCAATAGTAGTAATCCCGAATAATGTCGGAAGAAAAAATAAAAGTTTTAATAGAATTTCTTTGTATACATGAACTTTCGAATGACTTAATCAATTAGGTATATTCACTTGTATTACTAATGCCGAGATAATGTTCAACGCTATGTTAGATATCCTAGTCTTTAGCAAAGTAGAAGAATGTCGACCGGCTATATCTTTTTTGCGTTTACATGCAGCGCTACCTAGTGGAACTGGCGTAGAAGCTTTACTCGCGTCTATCTTCTTTATTCTATACCTGACGATATGCCGTATATTCGCGCGAGTATTTGCGATAACTGTCAGTACTGCAGTTGCCGGGCAGTTGTCGAGATGTGCGTGGCGCGCTCTTGTCTAATTTTCTTCCCGCTCGCGTTGCTCATCGTCAATGGCCACGGCGCGCGAATCCTCGGGCTGTTCCCGCACGTGGGCAAGAGCCATTACATGGTCTTCCAACCGCTGCTGCAGAAGCTAGCTGAGCGCGGACACCAAGTAACTACCGTCTCCTTCTTCCCGATGCGGAACCCGCCTGCCAACTATACGGACGTGAGCTTAGAAGGTGCCTCGCATTTAGGGTTAGAGTCGATGGACCTATCGAACTTCGAGTATAGGAGTCCTCTTATGAGCGTGCCGCTCTTGAACACGTTATTACAAAGCCTGCACGAAGTGACGGTGTTACGCGACGTCGGACTGCGCGTCTGCGAGAGCATCTTGAACTGGCCGTCCCTTGCCGATGCTCTTACTCGGGAGTACGACCTGGTGCTGATGGAGAATTTCAACAGCGACTGCATGTTAGGGCTGATGCACGTGTACGGAATGAGAGCGCCCATCGTGGGTATATCTTCATGCACATTGCTGCCGTGGACAGCCGACAGGTTTGGCTTGGTGGACAATCCTGCATACGTCCCTTTGATCACTACCTCCTATACAACAAATATGACGTTCAAGCAGAGACTGGAGAACTCGTTCGTGAACCTCTACCTGAAGTATTGGTACCACCAATTGCAAGAGGAGGAGCGTGGAATGATTGAAAGGCACTTCGGTGTGAAGGTCCCAGATTTGGAGGAACTGGGCAAGGAGCAGACCGTGGCAATATTGTAGAATACGTTTCATTCGCTGAACGGTGTAAGGCCGTTGTTGCCGGCGTCAATTGAGGTCGGAGGCATGCATCTCGACCATAAGAAAAATATCATCGCGCCGGTATGTTAAAGTCTTATCTCAATTTTAAGTGCTGACTTAAATAAATAAATAAATGATCTAATACCCTCATACAGGGCAGACCTTTGCCCAGCAGTGGGACATTTAGAGGCTGTAACTTTACTCTACTTTTTTTATCATAATTAACAGGAAAATTGGTACACGATATTAATAAATAAAGGGGTATTGCAAAGCACGCGCAGACATTGACAATAGACGTTAATCGAGGAACGATCGTAATCCCTACTTAATATTACAAATGTGAATGTAACTTTGTTTGCTACGCTTTTACGCCAAAACTATTCAACCGATTATCATGAAACTTTGTACACATATTCTTAGAGGTATTAAAAACGACATAGGATTCTTTTATTCAAAGAAAAATATATTATTTAAAACAAGGGCTTCAACGCATGCGAAGCCGCGGGCAAAAGCTAGTGATATATAATTTTGCATTTCGTCTAATAAGTGGGGTAACGAAAATCGTTTAAAAGTTAGCCAAGTAATGAGATGTGGTGTTATAGATGTAACCGCTTGCTGGCCCTCTTTTAACACTAACGAGACGTTAATTTCGTCGCGACGCACCTAATACAACAGTGCTAATTTATTTTTGTCGAAAATGTGTTGTTTAAAAATATCCTCGAGTTAAATCTAACAGATAGTACGATATACGTTTTAAGAATTTTATATTCTCCTCTATTCTTAAACTATGACAAAGATAATATGTTAGACTAGCTGCTGCCCGCGACTACGTCTGCGTAGAATAGGCTGAAGGCGTAACATTCAAACAGAAAGACAGATATACATAAAATGTGTATATAAATTATAGCTATATTATTGTAAAGTTTCATTAAAATCCATTCAGTAGTTTTTGCGTGAAAGAGTAACAAACATCCATCCATACATACAAACTTTCGCGTTTATAATATTAGTAAGGATATAAGTAGTAATGAAGATCGATAAATTGCACAAGGGGTAACTAAATCTGGGACCCAGACATATAAATGATGTTAAGTTTGATTGCAAGGTGAAGCAAACCGTAAGCTTATTAAAACTTTCGTGAGACATTATTACCGTAATAATAAGACGGCTGAACTGATGAAGGACGTCCGATGAGTCCGTAACTAGTCGATACATACACCGGGTTTACGTGAGTTCAGCCGTCTTGTAACAGAGAAGGGCTGGATTCTCAAGGGCTCAGCGAATCCAACAGACTTTGTAAGGAAGAACAACACAAAAGGAGAGTATAAAAGGAGAGCACTCTCCTACCCATCGGTGAGTGATACGAATTAGCGGAGAAGTGATGTTTAGTTCTTTACTCTCAAGAACTCCGGGATTCGTCCAAGGAGTTAGGAAGCTTGCTTCTTCTTAGCTCTAGTTCGAGCGCGCCACAGAGAAGTGCGGATTTAGGGTTTAGAAGCAGACAGTGCTAAAACATAGTAACGTATACATATATACGGTACTAGCTGCTGCCCGCGACTACGTCTGCGTAGAGGGGTCAAAATTTAGGGTTGTTTGTATTTTTGTATGCTGTATCATAAAAAAATAAACACAAAAAATTTTGGATAAAAAATAAAATAAAATAATTTAGGGTTGGACCACCCTCACCATTTAGGGGATGAAAAATAGATGTTGTCCGATTCTCCACCCTGGCCGATATGCACACAAAATTTCACGAAAATCGGTCTAGCCGTATCGGAGGACTTCAATAACAAACACCGTGACCTGTGAATTTTATATATTAGATATACATATATGTTACTCAAGCAAGCGTTCTCTGGTATGAATAATTAAAAACGACAAACAGTTAAACTGTAAAGGACATATTTTATTTCAACCAATTTAATCCAATAAAACAATATAAAATTTTATAGAATTTTAATTTTAAATAGCGCCAATATTAGGAATCTATCAATAATGAATGTTTTTCACAGAGATCAAATTTTAGAAAACCAAATGACATCAAAATTTTTAACGTGATCAACGACGTCAATGACAAAATAGGTGGCATTGGCATGTCGGTGACGCGAGCCTTTGAATTTTTCCCCGTTTTTTCCCTAAAATTGCCCAACGTGTCTATAGAAGTTTTCAGTTCAAGAATCTTTTATCGACTTATGTACTCGGCCATCTGTTATCTTAATACTTCATATTAAATAAAACTATTTTTAACCGACTTCAAAAAAGAAGGAGGTTTCTCAATTCGACCCTATACATCGTGTCTTTACAATCGCGACAATAAATGAACGTAGGAGATAACTTTTTAAAATTGTATTAAACATTTACATTCTTTAAACATCAATATTTACAGAGTTATTAAATTTTCCAAAACAAAGAATTGTAGAACACCCTTACGTATAAAACTGTAACGTAAAGTTCATTTGTAAAGGTCACAAAGCATATGAATGAGTTGAATGAATTTAAAAGAGACAAAACATACTGTTAGAAGGAGAGGCTTGTAATGCGACGCTGTGGCGCGAGTTGTTTAAGATGTTACAAATTTTGTTTCTTTTTTACTTAATTAGTTTGTTTGAAAAATATTTTTTTTAATTATAGATTTTGTTTAACGTTAACATTTTTTATGATTATTGGCAAGTAGCGTTAGACGTGTGTTCATTTATTGTCGCGATGGTAACGACACGGTGTATATTTTTTTTATTGTGTCCGCGGATAACTTTTTCGTTTATGAACCGATTTTAATGATTATTTTTTTTGTTGGAAAGGAAATATCCCACGGGTGGTACCATGATAAGGAAAACCGGATCTGACGACGGCATCCCAGAGAAATCGAGGGCAATCCTCAAATGTTATTTTTGTTAAAAATTATAATACAGCCTCTCCTTTTATCCATTGAAATCATGACACTGCAATGTGTTCTATACGCAAAAAAAAAAACAAAATTAAACGCGATGAAACGGGCAAAAATTGTTTTATTGACAAAGTCTATTATGATTCAGCATGATGTAAGAAAATTGTGCATATTCACTATGCCAACTTTGAAGGCAACTAAGTATATATTTTTTTATGATAATACACTGTGTCAAATACACAAGTCTTTGCTGTTGCAAATGTGCAGATCCGCCCTGATAAGTAGGTACCACGATCTCACAGAAGACCGGCGTGACGTGGAAGTCTTGCGCATCTGCGTTTCGTCTGGTGAGGTAGCCGGGGCCCACTTTATTGAATGTCCATGGGCGGCGGTTATCATTTAATTTGCTCTTGTTATAAAATTATAGATTATGTTCGTTTGTGTTGATGAATACTTCCAAGCAAGTTCTAAACAAATAATAAAGACAAAATGACGTTTAAACAAATGTTACCACGTCTTAACGTAAGTAGGTACCTTTCAAGTGATAAGCGACCTTATGATATAGAATTATGGTGTATAAACACCGTAATTCTATATGCGTTCCATGTTGGCCAATAACATGTAATCATGTTGCTTAGGCACTGCGTGGACGAAGATACCTTCTCTAATATAATCGAACTATTTAAATACTACTATCAACGTTTTATAATCGCACTATTGATCCTGTCATTGCACTTATATTTAATCTCAACCGATAGTATATCTGAAGTCTCAAGCATTGTTCGCTCCATCTACTTTTGTAATTAATTTGATTATAAATAAATATGTTTTCAGATGTAAATATATTTATAATTTTAATTAGTTATTTTATATCTTTATATATACACATCCGCCAGCTATCTTGCCATCTTACTTATTACGTAGAAAAAAAATATAAAAGTTTATTTGTTATGAAGAATGACATACGTCCGCTTCTTATGTTAATCTGTCTAGTCTATACTAGACAGATTAATCAGATTAAATAGAGCCTATGCTCTATTTAATAAAATTAAGTATAAGTTTTAATTACAGACAGATAAATGACAATACATTCGGCGCCAAAAACGCAGATTTGAATCCTGCATTGCTGAAAGTTTTTGTCCATTTACCTACGAAAATTTACCAAAAATAATCAGTATTTTAGTGGTTTCAGGTCATCCATTAAACACAGAACATGAAGACCGGCAAAATAATGTATAGTTGTAGCAAGTGGAAATAGTAATCCATGAACTTGTAAAGACTACAATGAACTCCAAATGTGTATATGCATATTTAGTAGCTTTTATTAACTTGTTATAGCAATATTTTTAACTTTTTGCTAGTTTCAAAGTTTGGACATTTAAAGTTTTTTCGATCCTTGTTTTCCATTGTCCGTATTACACAACCTACATATTAGAGATGGGTCGTATCGCTTTTTCTGAGTACCGTATCTGAATCAGATTTCGATTTCAAATATCAGATTTCGAAACTATGTATTTTAATATCTAGATATTTTACGGTCACGTATCCACCTTGAATTCTAAAAAAAAGATAAAAATGTTTTCAACGATATTTTATACTCATTCGGAATATAAATAGTGCAGACGTATTTAAAAGTTGATTCATTCCCTATACATAATGTTCGTGATATTTGAAACTTAATACCAGTGATACCAACTGTTCCAAAAGAATACTTCTAAATAAATTCGATAACCCACTAAAATTGACTAAGTTTTAAATCACGATTTTTTTATACTATTAAGGTAAAATTAAAACATTACCTGATTACATTAAAAAATTTCATTAAAAACAGAAATTGAAGTAATATAAAAATGATTGATTTTAACATCTTATATATCGCTTAATAATTGACTTTAACATATTCTTAGAACACGCAATCATGAGTGACAATATTTTTATAATTTGTGTAAGAAATAATACATTCAGTATTATAACTTAGGGCAGAAGAATATAAAATATACACACAAAGCACATAAGCCTTGGTCTGATTTCCACCCAAGCAGCACAGCACTATTAAATTATATTTTTCTTTTTGTGTACTTTTATTTTTTTTTCCAAAAATATGAATAAAATTTAACTAATAAAAATATTCACAAAAAATTTTCCTCCTAAAACATTTCCATTTATATTTTTCTTCCTTAATTTTGGCAGAAAATTCTTAAGTAGTAAGTTGGCATCCCTAAATATTACGTGCCAGCTCAAAGCTAAACAAAATTTAAAGACATCGTTAATATCGTAATTCGTATTTAAATGCAACTAAAATTTTTTTTTCCATGCGGTTAAGATTCAAAATTACTTAACTGCGCACTTTGTCGCCCGTTACGGCTCAAGGCTAAACAAAACAATAAAAATATAATAATATCGTTGTAGTATTTAATTAAAACGGATCTTATTTGCATGAGTTTAAGATTCAAAAGTACTTAATTTATTCATAATATCTGTTTAAAAATCTGATATTGTGCCTTGCTTGCCGTATTGCTCTAACTAGTGTAATATTTGTATCTCACGCGCTTTGTCGCTCAAAATCTGTTTAAAAATTTGATATCGTGCATTGCTTGCCGTCCCGCTCTAACTAGTGAGTATTTATATCTCACGCGCTTTGTCGCTCGATATCTGATATCGTTCATTACTTGCCGTCCCGCTCTAACTAGTGAGTATTTGTATCTCACGCGCTTTGTCTCTCGAAATCTGTGAAAAATCAGATATTGTGGCAAACCGTATGATATCGCGATTCGTGTCGGTTTAGCTAGCGAGCACGGTACATCAGATTTCGGAAATATCAGATATTGTAAAATACATAGATATTGAACGAACCAGTAAGCGATATTTGGATATTGTACTAATATCTAGATTTCATATCTGATACGATTTGTATCGCCCACTTCTACTACATATTCTAACCAAGAAAATTGCAGTGTTGGTTCGTCCGTTATATCCCGTCGGACCTCTGTGGTATATCATAGTGATTATGCATATTTTTCGATGTTATCGTGAGAACTTATTAACCCTGGCTGACTATAACACTTTTATTAAGTACTTGGTTTTTATATAATAGGCTCCCGAAAGAAATAAAGGAATTAAACACAAATCTATTTAAGAAAAAACTACGCGACATGTTAACAGAAAAATGTTATTACAGTATAAACGAATTTTTTTTTAAATTAGTAATCTAAACTTATTCAGTGAATTAATAATGTGCAATTTTATCGAACGTTTTTATTTTTTAGTCATTTAATTATTTGTCATTTTGTTGTCTGTTCTATTATTAATGTATGTTAAGTTATTTTTTTCATAGACATATGTTTTATTATTCTGTTATATAATTCTTTCAATTTTATTTTATGATTATAATAATTAAGAAATTTGAGAATTTATACTGACAACCTTTAAGCGAACATATCATATTTGCACACCCTACAAAATGGGTAGAATATAGCGATAAAAATTACTGTACTGTACACCTCATGCCTAACCTATATTTCGCAAATAAATACATTATTATTATTATTATTATTATTATTATTATATTAACTTTATTTTCTACTTGTAACTGTTTTTAAAATAATGCCGTTAACATTATTGCATGTTATAATGACATCTTGACCCGTGCGAAATTTTGAAATCGAAAATTTAACGCAGTACCGCGATCAATTACCAAATGCTAATGATAAAAATGTCTAATTAAGTATTCATCAATGAAAGGTGTCTTATTATTTTGAAGAATAACGTTTTTCAGTCTACTTTGAGTACGTTACATATGAAAGATTAAGATACTTTCATTTGTCGGCATATAAGAATTCTTTATATTTAAACGAAAGTTTCTCTAGTGGAAGTATGACAAATACTTTCGCGTTTCGTCTGGTGAGCGAGGTAGCCGGAGCCCAATTTTCAAAAGGTTGTCAACGCATCTGTAACCCTCGAGTGTAGCAGATATCCATGGGCGGCGGTATTCACTTAACATCAGGTGAACCGTCTGCTCGTTTGACAACTTTTCGCATAAAAAAAAAAAAAAAAAAAAAAAACGAAAGTTTGTCATGAAGTTACTAACTTTATTTTACTTGTCTCTTTTTCGATTAAAACTGCAAATATAAGCTTAAAAATTGGTGTTTAAGTCATGAAATTGTCAAATTTGGAAATAATAGCGTACCGAAAAAAAAAACACTTTCGAGAAATAATATACAAATATTAGTTACGCGATACACCGAGAATTTTTAACAGTCATCTTTATATGGTAAATGTGACAACATGTTTGTGATACACGCACAAAAATTCCATATAGAAATACGGTTTGGCACAATTTTAATTTCACGCAAAAATTAAAACGTATAATTTAAAGTAAATTACTTAAACAAAAGCAACGGCTTATGTTCCCAGCTGGACAAAAGCCTCCAATGTACAGAGGGTAATAGCATAGCTAGCATAGCTATTACCCTCCATGCGACCCCACTGCGGATTGTTTTTTGATTGGATTGTCACATGTTTTCGCGCGATATTTTCCTTGATGAGCAAAATTTACAGTTAATAATTTCTCCGGAATTTGAACTCAAGTCACTCGAGTATGTTGAATTAAAATCAAGAGCCCGGACGCAGAGCTATCTCCACTAAAAGTTTATTTCAGTTTTGCGTAATATCCAAACAGTGCGAAACCGTCAAGTTTACACGTTGCGTCCAAGCAGTTCTTAAAATAGAGCCGCGTTTATTGCTAATGTTCGTCATTCACGTCGACGCGAAATTATCCACTAGTACCGGTGGATTCGTCGCGGGAAGCGCGCACGCGATGTACTCTCCGCTGACCCCCTTTTTAGTACACACCGCGCTAATCACTTTTCTCTTCTCTGGCGATGGCGACGCCGCAAGAATCCTCGGCCTATTCCCTCACCCCGGCAAGAGCCATCAGATGGTGTTTGAGCCTCTACTGAAAGCGCTGGCCGAGAGGCAGCACCACGTCACGACAGTGTCTTTCTTCCCATTGAAGAACCCACCAGAGAACTACACCGACCTCAGCCTCGGAAGCATGTCGCAGCTGCTGCTCGAGTCGCTGGACTTATCTCTGTTCGAAGCTTCCAGCGCACTCTCGAAGGTCCCAGTGTTGGAGCGGATCATCAGGGAGATGTCCGAATTTCAACCGTTGGCCAAGATCGCCGTCGACATATGCGAGAGACTGACGAAGTGGGAGCCGTTAATCGACGCGCTGAAGAAGGATTACGACTTGATCCTGGTGGAGAATTTCAGCTCCGATTGCATGCTTGGCTTGCTCCACGTGCTCGGGAACACGGCGCCGAAGGTCGCCTTGTCCTCGTCAAATCTGATGCCCTGGGCGGCGGACAGAGTCGGGGCCGCTGACAATCCGGCGTACGTCCCGATCATATCGACCGGTTTCACCGCTCGCATGAACTTTCTGGAACGCCTGGAGAACAGTTTCCTGTGCGCATTCTACAAGTTCTGGTTTCACCGTGCAGTGCAAGTGAAAGAGAGGGCTATGATACAGAAGCGTTTCGGTAGATCGATTCCGGACCTGAGGGTTCTGGGGAGCAACTACAGTCTGACGTTGGTGAACACGTTCCACGCTTTGAACGGAAACCGGCCCTCAGTGCCGGCCTTAGTCGAGGTCGGCGGAATGCATTTGGACCACGCGCGAAGAGTTTTGCCCTCCGTAAGTTACGCAAATTGCGATCGACTTCGACAAATCGACAAACATCGCGTCAACTTTTTTATTATGTAACTCGAGATTTCGACATTCATTCTATTTATCATTTTTTGTTTTCAATTACTTAAAAATTGTAGAAATCTAATACTTATATAAATGATAAGGTTTGTTTCATCTTAAGTGCCGAGATTAGCACTGAAAATAATGTAAATTTCCATGACTTACACCAAAATTATGACATTAAATTCATACTTTACATAATTAATTGATTCAAAGTACAAAAACGATAACACAATTTACTAGGGTGAAAACAAAAAGCTAACCATTCATTTATTACAGTTGTAGAACTGACTTGATTTATGTAAGAAACTACTGTTTTAAAATCTCTATTAACTAATAAATAAATATTTTAGGACACATTTTTTACACAACGTTCTCTAGTCCCAAACTAAGCAACGCTTGTACTATAGGTACCAGAAAACTGATAGACATACTTAAACATAGTTTTCTTTTGTAAACAAATACACATTATACATATATAAACACCCAAACACTAGAAAAACACTATGCTCATAACACAATATTTTTCCAGTAGTGGAGATCGAACCCACACCCTCTGGCGCAGAAGGCAGGACACTACCGACGACGCCATTCGAATCGTCGAACTAACTTGACACATATAATTTTAAAAATAATTTACGAACTTTGACCACAATATTTAATGTTATGGATATTTTAATCGTTACGTAAAAAAATATTCCTGTTAGTATGTCAAGTAAATTAATTATATTAATAAAATATTTGCAGTCTGCCGCGCAAACTGATAAATTAGACAATCAATCGGCCTTTAACTAATTTTTTTTTAAATTTGCGAAGTTCAGTCTTAAATGTATAAAAATAAGGTCCCATTTCACAAATTAACTATTTTTAGCAGTTAAGCGTATCACTGTCTTCTCCAAGCTCGTAAAAGTATCTTGCACGTCACTGGATAAACAAAATTACTGAACCGCCAAATGAATGTTTAGCGTTTAAGTAAATATGCCCTTCCAGTAACGAGTTCCTTTCCCCGTGTCACACCAACCTGTAAGCAAGCGCGCATGTAAATAAATATATATATATATATATATATATATGTGTGTGTGTATAGCGTTGGCCATGACGATGATGTCATTTTCACTGTTACGTTAGAACGCATTGTATTCCTGAAAACATAGCAATCACTTAACTGTTCAGTTTATTGTAAGCATGACTGTGTAAATAATCATTTTATTATCTTATCCTTTAAACGAGCAATTTATACAAGAATTAGATCAATCAGGAATACAATGCGTTCTAACGTAACAGTGAAAATGACATCATCGTCATGGCCAACGCTATTTTAGTAACAGCCTGTTTCGTAAAGAAATTGTATCGATTTTGCACAGCCTAAGTTAATATTTTCAACATTTTGTAAAACTACGTCGAGATATTTAGAATGACAATTAATTATACAATAGATTTCGATTTCTTTACGAATCTAATTGTCCATGGATTAAACGCCGCAAACGTTACAACATCCCAAGTCGATTAGGCATTAGGCGATTATCAGTATTGATTATTACGCACTTGTCTGTAATTTTATACGTCTCTCGCGCAGATGCTCCAATTAAATAATTGAACTGTTCAATATGCGTATTTCAGTTGCTTAAAAAATGAATCTTATGTCTGGTGAACTTTAATGTACCAAACACGATTCAGGTTCAGACGCAGTTTATGTACACGGAGTATTCCGATACTGGCTGAGGCAGACAGAAGTGTACTCAAAATGAGGAACGAATTTTCTGGCGTTTAACTAGTATTAAAATTCTGTTAGTAGTTACTGGACCTACATACTCTTCTACTCGAATATAGCTCATTTTAAAATTTGCCATAAACCAAATAAATATGGATATTTTTAAACTGTATCCGAATGTTTTATAACAAACGTATTACTGTTCTGTTTCAGGGCAGGTTGATGTAATCGAGCGCGTAAAAATTTGTATTGCTTGATTAAAAAAAAACTATATGGTAAATCTTTTCACACTGTGAAAACAATTAGCCCAGAAACAAAGGCTCGTAAAGAATTTAACGATAATAAAGTTTTTTTAAACCATATACGACCAATGTTACCTGTAAGCAATGTTTATAAAAGATTATGTCACGGTTTTATATTTGTACAACACAGCAATATTAAACTTGTCTTTTTCGCACTTCTTTTAATGGTTATATATCGACATTCAGTGTTAACTAATTAAACGTATATATTTTTATTATTATCGCACAGAAGGTAACAGATTTTTCGTAAACGTAGTTATCGCAATACATTTACTACCCCGAATGGACTAATAAATTAGTTAAGTCATCTGGCATGTATATTTATTGGGTGCCATTCTTCACAAAACCAACGAAGAAATTAACGCTTCTGCGGGTTGATGACGTAACATTAAAAAAAAATTAAACAAATCGAGTTAGGTGTGGCCAATCTACTCCATATTTTCTGCGTAGGATGAATATTGAACACAGAAAAATAATTAAAAATGTTCTTCCTTCACATATTTATTTCATATCTTTTCATATAATCATACCCTACCATTGACTGTGGTAGAACCACGCTACAGGATTCGCTATTGCATGAATAGGCAAGTCCGTCCGAAGTACCACAACCTCACAGAAGACCGGAACCCACTCTATTAAAAGGTGGCAACGCAGCTGTAACCCTACGTGTGTTGCAAATGTCCATAGGTGGCGGTTATCACTTAATATTAGGTCAACCGCCCGCTAGAATTCCAACTTGTAACATAAAGAAATTGTTTCGAATGTATGAATATGGAACAGACAAACTTTAGTAATATCGAGGAGAACCGCGAAAAACGAGTCAAATTTTCCATGGGTTTTGAATTTAATTCCAATAATGTCTTATGTAATCCTAATTTTGAACCACTTGCCAATTCATGATAAAAAATAAATCAACAGTATAGAAACAAATAAATCAATATAATATATATAGTCTGTGCCTTAGCGGGACGCATTAAGACTTATACAAGGTCAGCGTTTACTTTATTAATATATCGTAATCGTATCTTGCATCGCTTGTCACCGACAGTAACTTACGACGCATTATCCCTCGTTTTACGATTTCGCGGTACATTTGTTAACTTAAACGTGGGCGCATTTTATTTAGTCGTTAAAAGTATTATCAATTCCACGGTAATTAATCAAAGTTATTTGTATATAAATGAACTGATAAAGATTAGTCCCTATTAACATGTTTTGGCTAAAGGAACGGCGTAAATGTGGATAACGAATAACGGATAAAGCAGTTAGGATTAAATATTCCTTCGTCTCTCTAAAACCGTGGCGATCTTTATAAGAATTAATTCACCAACACCATTTGTGTCCGCGGAAAGACTCGGCTTAATTATTTTGTGGATCGTAGCAATAAGCCCCGTGTAGTTATTTATAGAAAGCACATAACTAAATCCAGAGAGAGTTCGCTAGGTGACCACTTTATGTGGTAGGGCCACGCAGTAGCCTCGGCTGTTGCACAAATGGGCAGGCTCCGGGTAAGTACCACGACCCTACAGAAGACCGGCGTAAATTGGAAGTGTAATACTTTCGCGTTTCGTCTAAGGTAGCCGGAGCCAAATTTTCAAAAGGTCGACGCATCCGTAAACCCTCAGATGTCCATGGGCGGTGGTATTCACTTAACATCAGGTGAACCACCTCTTCGCTTGGCAACTTTTCACATTAAAAAAACACCTTTTTCATTACGTCATCCATGTAACAAGTAAATGAAGTTGTAATTGGCCCAACAGCTTGAGAACCGACAAGATTATTTCCCAACCTCTTTCTGAAAAGTACTCTACTTTTTACAAATAATTTCTTAAATTAATTCGTAAAATGTACATTACGTTTCGTTTTGTAGAACAACGCAGTTTGTTCACTAGATAGAGTCTAAGCAGACACGCAATAATGATCCACACAAATCACATCTTTCAAAGAATCCAGGAATTCTTGATCATAAATATTTAGCCCATAGCGTAAGACAACTGGTGACGCATCATACCAGAGACAAGAGATAACATTATCGTATACAATTATTGGTACGACCTTTCTTCTCTAATAGCCAGATCGTAAATATATGCTGTATTGAATAATGTCGTCGTTACGTTTAAATAAACATCCATCATACTCTTATATGATTGACCTTGAATTGTCAGCTCATATTGTTATGAGATTGTAATATTGTTATGAGTTTTTAGTTTTTTCACAATAAATAAATTGTATTGTGAAAGAAACGGAGCCTAACTTTCAAAAGGTTGTCAAAGTATCTGGAACCCTCGGGTGTAACAGATGTCCATGGACGGCGCTATTCACTTACCATCAGGTGACCGTCTCCTCGCCTCTTCTTACCTATTACTATCGTCTCACATACATATTAAAGATACAACAAAAAATATTAAAATTTGTGCCATTTTTAAAAATACATTGGCATTAAAAAGTCCGTTTTGTGACAAATTAAATAAATGTGGCATAAGCTAAGAAAATATAATTCGGAAGACGATACTACTAGTCTTGGTGGGTTGGCGATAAAAGTAATGTTTAGTTTTCTTTTTTTAACTCTCCATGTTTCGAACACTACACCTAAGACGTTTGAAGTACTAATATTGTAGCCGCCCTGGGCAACGGAAACGGTCATCCCTACATGAAGTATACTTTTTTCTGCGTTGTCAGAAGCAGGGGCTTCTTACTAGTGAATTAGTCAATCTTTACTATGGATATTACATTCTTCATATTTCATCTTTGCTTCTTATAGTCAAATTAGATGCCGTCAGAACGAAAAAAATAATATACATAAAATTGCCAGGAAAATGTAAGAATTACTATCAGCCAATTTTCGATTTCCTAATTAGCTATCGAGCTGAAAAACACTGATCATCGTAGATGTCAGCTAATCAGCTGTCTTGAATTTGAAAAGTCAAATGTCATTCAGTTGCCAAAATGATGGTTAAACATTTTGGCTATTACAATTTTAACTGAAATGAAATTGAGAAGCATTGGCGTAATTGTGATAACTCACAAAGCAAGCCATTAATAAAAAGAAGAAGAAGAAGAAGATGGTTAAACATTTTGGCAACTGAAATGAAATTTGAGAAGCCAAAATTTGAAAATTGTTTTATCATTAGTTTAGATTCGTGCGACGTTTCGAATACTCCGTGATATTATTTTGATGATAAATTACCTCCCGCAGTACATTGAACGCTTCCTCAATGAGTCTGAGCACGGCGTGGTACTGCTGAGCTTCGGTTCGCTGATCAAGACCGCGACGATACCCAAATACAAGGAGGCGATGATCGTGAACGCGCTGTCGAAGCTGAAGCAGAGGGTGATCTGGAAGTACGAAGACAGCGGGGAGGAGGGCACGCTGACGGGGAACATACTGCGAGTGAAATGGCTGCCCCAATACGAACTGTTGCGTGAGTCAAATGTTGCCATACGCTTGTACAGGGAGATTTTTTAGACGATACATACTTTGACATAATGTTAATTGGACATACCATAATTCAAAAAAAATATTAATGTTTTATTTTGACAAGAAATAACCAGAAAAATATCAATTCAAACATTATTTGTTTATACCGTTAAAAGTGGTCACCCTCTTTTATATCGATAAGCGGTTTAGTAATTATGCGTTCAGCGAAAAGTTGTAGCGCTCCTCCATAGATTATTGTGTTGAGACAGTAAGGCAGGAATTTCTTAAGGTGTCCATAATATTCGAAAAAAAAATAAAACAATCTGATAATAAAATAAAGTCACAAGTACGTACCAGATTCAGATTTAGAATAAAATTCTGCATATGCTCTGTTAATATGTCCGTCGTCTATAAAATCATCCTGTAGATTCGTCAATATTTTTTTATTATTCTTTTTTTCTAATTAACTTTTTGTTTTAAAAACCCGTGACAGTTGGAAGGAAGTTGAATGAGTTCTGTGAGTGTGCGGAAAAATCAAAATCACCGCTCGATAAATCTAACCTATAGACATAAATGACCGAAAAACAACATTATTCGCAACTGCGCAAACGACTTCAAGCGATACAATATGATTTAGACAGAAATACGTGTACCCGAGATTTTCGTAGATTTACGTACGTCGATTTTAGATTTTAGTACCGAACTTCTATATTTGAATGATGTTCTCGCTTTCAATCCACAGACATATTAAAGCATTTTCGAACGCAGATAGATAAACGAAACGCATTTGAGTTCTGGGCGCTATACACGTAACATTTTTCTTTAAAGATAACCGAAATAGTTTGAGATATCCTACTCACGCTCTATGGGTTCCGTAAGCTGAAAAACTATGCAAGTTATATAAATTTTTACGATTTGACATAAATTGTCACATCTTGTGATTGCGTCGACTTAGATGCTATCGTTACTGGAAAGGCAAAATTAATTTAACGCCGAATATTTATTTAGCGGTTAAGTAATTTTGCCCTTACAGTGACGCTATACAGGAAGGCTTTTCTAAATGTATCCATTTTTTTATTAAATTCTAGACATAATTAATGTTATATAAAAATTATAAATATTTAAAATCACTCGTAATTAATTAGTTACATTAATTTGAACTTATCTCAAAAAGTGCGTGATTTATGGGCAACTCATTTATTACATAATATTCATAACTGACACGCACACAAGTTCGTTTCAAAAGTATACGACGCATTTATGAATGACTACCGCATTGTCAACAAGTTCTGTTTTTTAGGGAATAGAATTGCAATTTTTTTGGGAAAAAAAGTTTGTTTTTATTTCAATAAACGATTATACTATCGAGTCTGAATCTCCTGTGTGAATTTGGGCACCTTTAGAAAAGCCACTCTGTATTTATTATACCAGCAAGGGGTCAAAACAGCATTTAAAATAAAGTTAACAGCTAATAAACTTTTACAAAGTAATAAACTTTTTGTTTTTAATAGACGGTCAAAGTGGTCCTATATGAGTTTTATTTTAGTTTTGCCCATTGAGGTATGGGACCCTAAAAAAATTTTATTCATTTGGCAAAACACCCTGGTCCAGAACAACTATCTGTGGGTCATAAAAATAAAATACCTGTTCGGTGAGGGTATCAAACCCCACCGGCCGTGGGTAGGTACCGAAGATATTCTCTTTGCGAGAGTTTTTTTCTTTTCGTAGCTGTTTTTTAATTCCGATCCGAATAGTTCTGTTAGTGGCCATAGTTCCAAAAGTAACCACTGACTGCTTAGTTTTTCAACAAAAATAGTGTGATCTAACATTTTTCTGTACAAATGTAAAAATCTAGAAAAATCTTACAATTTTAGATAATATACGAATAATGGTATTACAAATTTAATTTGCTTTTCCTTAAAAGCGAATGTTCGTTTTTGTACCTATAGTCAATCTAATCGAACCAGTAAATATTTATAAATAATATTATTTTTATTGCTTGTCTCTGCGCTTCATCTAAAGATGAAACTTAGAATGTGTAGATAACTTGTCGAAAGATTTTTCGCCATTGGATGGAGGATTTCAACCTGCGGTAAGCTTCCGAGTAACGCGCCCGTTGCTCCAGCGACTAATGTCCGGTTCCTATTTTTAACGAACGACCATTAGTTACATAGCTTAGTAACTATCATAACGACTTGTAGATAAAAGGCCTGTACGCCCGGTTCCTAGATTAACAAAACGAGGTGTTTTCCTTGGGAGCCGTTGCGGAAAGTGGGTTACTAGCGTTCCTTTAATCTACAAAACGTTATGAATGTTACGAAACTATGTACCTAACGTCCGTTCGTTGAATATAGGGACCGGGTATAAGCCAACGGATCTATATCCTCACCGTTAGGTACCAATCTTCGTTTTATTACATTATTTTTTTGATTTTGACATGCATTCGGTATTCACCTTGACTACTTAATCTAAAGACATGACATGAGAGATATAATACATGACGAAAGTATGTCAAATTGTCAATTCCATTAAATACTCTTTTTAAGGATTTAAAAAAAATGTAGACTTTGACCTTTTTTTTCTTCAGACCGACACACAATATATTCGCAGGTTGAACTTTTGCGTTTATAAAATTGGCCCAATCAACATTACGTGCTAAATGCCCTTAACTTGATTTTCGCAATTACAAGGAGAAAGTTGTCGTCTTTGGTGTACTTATTGCAAAATTATATATTTTTGCGTGTCCTTTATAAAAGTTGTGCGTAACCATGGAAAGTAAATCTATTTTACTATATACTACTTACAGCTAACCCTACCAATTACTTAAAGCTTGATTTATCATAAGTATAAATAATAGAGTTATCGCTTGTTTTCCCACCTTCTATATTTAAAAACAACTTCTTAAGTTAAGCTAGGTAACTTATCTTTTGTAATTGCAATTTCACGCAAGCGTAGCATACTTATATTTACATATTTATATCACGACATATACAAATACATGCTAATAGCGGAAATTGCTTGTGACATTTCAGCTTATGATCAATTGTCGCATCTCATGGTCAATTATCCTGCGGTAGCACACTGCTTCTATGATAATAATTCACAAGTATAAAATCGGAAATACAACCTAATTATATAGGTTCGTAAAAGCGATAACATGAAAAATTATTTATTTTTCTTATTCTTGACATAGTTGTAACTTTGTCGTTCAGATCGGTTAGTAAAGTCAACAGCCTATACATGTCCCTCTGCTGGGCTAAGGCGTCTTCTGCACACAGGGCATTAGGGCATAGTCCACCACGCGACCACAATGGCGTACTTCACATAAATCTTCGAAATACTTTTTTTTGTTATTTCGAAAATATGCAGACTTCTTCACGATGTTTTCTTTCACCGCTTAGCACTTGGAATTAACAATTTCATCAGTGCCAGCACCGAAATTTGAACTGCGGTCGCTCGATTATATTGAATTGAAAGCGAACGCCCGGACACTAAACTAATATGGCTCTCAATATTGATTACCGTGCTAAACGACAGATTGATAAACGCACGATTTTCCTTTTAACCTCATAACTCATCTCTCCCTCACCGATGTTTACTCACTTAATAAATAAAGTTGCACACTAAAAAGTGATTTATTTTTGCATTAAAATTACAAACACCTTATGCTCGTTAATAAACATAAAACGTCAAATGATATATAAATAAGAAATAAATTTAAACAAATATGGCGGTGGCAGCATATAAATCGAGCCGGTTCGAATAATTTAGGTGTTACTTCAAATGAGTGGTCATGGCCTTTTTTCACTTGTATAATAAAAATCAAAATGATTAACGATTAAAGTGCAGTGATTATTTTCAACAGTTATTTTTTTTTTCACGTTGTTCACCAGTTCAGTACCTTATTGTATGTTTAGTATAAAGCTCAAAAAATATTCTGTGTGTATTTCTTATAGTTCTTTATTAATTAGAAACTGATAACTTTCACTTCAACTTATTCAACATCGACATCAATAATTTCCGTCTTTTATTCCAGAGCACAAGAAGGTCGTCGCGTTTATAGCGCACGGCGGCCTGCTGGGAATGACGGAAGCGGTGTCCGCCGGGAAACCTATGGTTGTGGTGCCGTTCTTCGGCGATCAGCCCCAGAACGCTGCGGCGGCGGCTGCCGTCGGCTTCGCAAAAGTCGTTCCCTACATTGAGCTCACGGAGAAAGCACTCACCGAAGCCCTAGAGTTTGTGTTAAGCGCCGAGTAAGTTATTTTCGCGACATCGCGTCGCCTTATGTGAGGGTGCGTTAGGGCTATGCACGAATGGGCAGGTCCGTCCGGGTAATTACCACGACCTTACAGAAGACCGGCGTGAAGTGGAAGTGTCATACTTCTGCGTTTCGTCTGGTGAGTGAGGTAGCCGGGGCCCACTATATTATAAGGTTTGTGGCATTTACAACCTTTTGGGTGGTGCGCACGACCGTGAGCGGCGGTTATTACTTAACAACAGGTGACACCTTCTCACACATAAAAACGGACTTTAATGTAGTTAATTCATTAGGCGGTTTTCGTATAGTCAGATTTAACTTAATTAGATATAACTGTTTTCTTCTTCCGATCCTTGAACGATCAATCCGAAAAACCTTTTTGAACACTCGGGAAATTGAGATGGAAAATAAAAAGACACAGTCTATTTAGAACAAAAGCGATGGAATAGTATTTTATGAGACTTGTACAGTGTTTATTGGATGTAATTATAAATGTAATGCATTTATTTACATCCATTAAGTTGGCCATTGCATTTAGTACGCACATGTATGTACCTACAGTACGAGCTAAATAGCGTTATTTATACTTACCAATCTCATTGTTATCTATGGGTTTTTGTTGAAACAGCGGTTCCCATCATGTTAACCTCCGCCCATGGACATATCAATGCCTTGATCCTCAGTGGTGTTGCATTGGCAACCTTTGAGACGTATTCTTTTATTATTCCAACTGAACAGTGAGGTATCGTGGATAAGTTATGACCACCGTCTATTAAGGGGCAATCATAACAAAGAGCGTGAAGCATTTGCGTTGCAAACCAGTGACATGCATTAATAAATACTTTTACTTCGTGTCAGGCTTATGAAGGCGCGGTACTTCCCCGATCGAGTTTTCATACTCGCGCTGCTCTTGAAGACCGTGACGTATCCTGATGGTGCTGGTGCTCTTTTCATGAGCAGCAACTGCTAGGCTCTATTAGAGTTGCAGATCTTACGTCCTATCGTTTATAGTAACAGGATATCATTAAAACATGTGGAACATTAAAACATGTAGAAAAAGTACGAAAAGATTGTCGCCGCTGTGGGAATCGAACCCACGTCTTCGGCATTCGCGGCCTGACGCTCTAGCCACTGAGCTAAACGGCTGATAGCCACAGCGACGAAAATCTTAACGCCTTCTTTCTACATTGTTATTTAGCATTTGAAGCAATGCTTGGCGAATCTATTGTTATATCCTTTCCAGCATACAAACAATTTCTAATATCCTTTTACAACGATAATTCGAATGAGAGATGTCGCCATTGCTTTTTTATAAATTTTAAAGTTTTTTATAGTGCTAGTCTTTGCACTTAAGATTGAACATTAAAACATGTAGAAAAAGTACGAAAAGATTGTCGCCGCTGTGGGAATCGAACCTACGTCTTCGGCATTCGCGGCCTGACGCTCTAGCCACTGAGCTAAACGGCTGATAGCCACAGCAACGAAATGTTTATGATATCATGTTTATAGCCGCCTTCACTTTCCCAGGACGCGGTTGAATGCGAGACGCGTGTCTAGCATTTGGCGGGACCGACAGGCAGACCCTCTAGAAACGGCCGTATATTGGACGGAGAGGGTGATACGATGGGGCCACGCTGCGCCCCTGCACTCGGCGGCGAGGGACATGCCGCTGTATCAGCTGGCGTTACTCGACGTCATCGCTGCGTTCGCCGCCGCCATATTGGTTTTGGTGGCGGTTTCGTGGCTCGTACTGTCTATGGTTGTCCGCCTCCTATTCACCAAAGAGAGCAAATTGAAAATGCACTAGAGGTATACTGAATAAAGACAATAGTGAGAATTATTTAATGAAATATAGACAAATAAAAAAATTAATTTAATAACATATTGGTCTTGTCTAGCTATAAAATGTTTTCTTTTTATTTTTTTATAAATCACAACTGTGACACTCACAGATGGCTAAGTATTTTGACTGCAAAACATGCATTACAACACCTTATACTATACAGGGTGGGTTTTGCTAAGTGTATCCATTTTTTTTATTAAATTCTAAACATAAATAATGTTATATAAAAAAATGATAAATATTTAAAATCACTCGTAAGTAATTAATTACATTCATTTGAACTTATCTCAAAAAGTGCGTGATTTATACGCAACTCATTTATTTTACGCGCGATCATTCATAACTAAGACGCACACAAGTTCGTGCACAGTAAAATTTAGGTATTTATGAATGACTACCGCATTGTCAACACTTTCTGTTTTTTAGGGAATAGAATGGCATTTTTTTTGGAAAAAAAACTGTTTTTTATTTCAATAAACGATTAAACTACCGAGTTTGAACCTCCTGTGTAAATTTCCTGGGCACTTCTCAAAACATCTCCCTGTATACAAGGTAATATGTATAATAATAACATACAGAAATACATCATCAGCGATGAATAATGACTTTAAAACCTCAAGTTAAAAAAATTATAACCAAAGCACATGCAAAACACATTTAAACGTAGAAGTTAATAATTTAAAAACATTATTATAGAAGAACAAACACATAAACCAAACAAATCAAAACATTATTTTGCAAATTGAATTTCAAATGTTCTAAAACTTGATTAGGTATATATTTTCGTATCTTTGTCTTTTCGTTAATAATAGAATCAAAAATTTGTAATCGATAAAATAAACAGGGCCGATATTTCCATTAACATATTTCATGTTGTCCTTTCTATGTTTTTAATAAGTCATCATTCATCATTTAATTATTATAACACATTTTCTTATTATATAATAAGAAAAAATGGAGGAGTACATGTTATTCGTAAAAATTATATGGGCATTCATATAATTATGATCTATGGTCGTTGCGATATGTACTTTCAATGAATTAAATTACATGATGTTTTCATGCGATAATAGTCGAAAATTATACCGCTGGGAATGTAATTAATACTTTTTAGATGACATACGGAAACTTTATTCACTATAATAATTTACGAAAATTAAGACAATATTGTACTCCTGTTTTGTTATAGTAATGTTTGTGATAGTTGTTTTATATATTAATTTAGTAAACGTAAGAAACTGTTGGCTATTAAAATTAAGGAATTTTAAAAAAGTGTTTTACTATTTTATACCCTAGTAATCGTTCATACGTTTAATAAAAACAACTTTGTGAGCAATAAAAATCAATACAAAGGTTAACACCAGAAAGTTAAGTCTTTAATTTGTAACATGTTCCATACTGTAAAGTGTGCTCACTAGATGGCGCCAAGCATTGCTAAAAAATTATTGGTCATCGGTCGTTCAGATTAGTATGTAAAGCATCTGAGCGCGTTGCACGGAAGAGGAGAAAAAGGTCTAGAGATCAAGAGAAGATCTTGGGCCTGACAGTGAGACATAACTTTATAGGGTCAATGTCCCACTCGTGGTTGGTCGATGTGCCTATCACCTTCGAAAAACCATGCAATTCTAGGAATTAAAGAAATAATGCTTGAATTCAGTTAATTAGTATAGGTATATTTTTTTATGTGAAAAGTTGTGAAACGAGCAGACGGTTTACCTGATGTTAAGTGAATACCGCCGCCCATGGACGTCTGCTACACCCGACGGTTCCAGATGCATTGACAACCTTTTGAAAATCGGGCTCCGGCCACCTCACTCACCAGACGAAACGCGAAATTATTGTACTTCCACTTTACGCCGGTTTTCTGTGAAGTCGTGGTACTTACCCGGACGAGCCTGCCCATTGGTGCAACAGCCGAGGCTACTGAGTGACCCTACCACCGTAGTATTAAGTTAATAAGTTGTTTAAACATGTTGGTAATAAGGGTTTATTACCACCATGTTTAAACAACTTAGTTAAACTTCCGAGATGATCATACATTATGCCAGATATCAATAATAATATCGTTAGTAAAATAGACAAGTACTTGCCGGTCATCTTTAGGTAAAAGAAAACGTCAAATTTACGACCAAACGGATGGGAACATATAGGTCAGATGACCTTATTAAAAGGTGACAGCACATCTGCAACCGGTGTAGCAAATGTCCGTGTGCGGCGGTTATCACTTAACATCAGGTGAATCGCCAGCTCATTTGCCACTTTTTCACATTAAAAAAAATAATTATGATGTTGCTATTTCTATTTACACTTAAACCGCTACTCAATGCTGCCAGTACTTCTTAATTCTAAAAGTAAAATGCCCTTAAGGCACAAATTATTATTATATAAGACCTGCGCACCACCTATTATGTCTTACGCATGCATGAACTTCGCCCACACGCACCCTACTCGCTTGTACAAGTTGCAAATAGTACAAAATAAGTTCATCCGCCGCGCAACCGGTGCGCAGTGGTATCAACGCAACGTCGACCTGCACAGCGATTGCAGACTCCCGACGATTCGCGAATATTTTAAAGACCTGACCAAACGGTTCTTCGATAGAGCCGAACATCATCCCAACCCTCTGGTGGTAAGCGCAGCAAATTACCAACTCGACACAAACGCGAACGTCAACAAGCGTCGCCCGCGAAACGTCCTAATCGACCCGGTCGAGGAAGGGGACTTAGACACGCCGGACCCACTGCTGGGGGTCCCGCCGGACAACACTACACCCACAGTTAGTGCAACAACAAACATACTAGTTCGCCCTCGCCTCCGAGCACGTCGAGACCAACACAACGCGTACACAAGGTACAAGGTTCTCACCGCCCCCAGCCACCGATTAGCTAATTGCACAGTCGACGGCCATCGGGGTTTTGGTCCGAACCGCGACCTCGATGGCCCTTAGATGACACACCATAGTTAAACGCACGCATGAGCACATGCGTGGCCCTACCCACAGCGGAGGGCCCAAACCCGTGGGTGATGGCTAGCCCACCGGTTCTGCGTCAGATGAAGCTTTAATAGTCTCGGGACTGAAAGCAAAAACATCAGTTAATACAAGATTTCTTAATTTAGGTCTTTTTACATTTTGGTTGACGATTGGGATATATCGACGAGTAGAACATTAACCATAAGTTGAATTTTACAACTCTTTCTTTTCCACTGCCACCAAAGTATCAATAAGACAAAACTATTTAAAATAATATTTATTTCAAGTGATTAACATTAATTTGCTCACATTTATATGCATACCTGTATAATTTTTGTGTTAAATACAAAATATGATGGAAAATAGGATGTTTGACTAAATTATTCACAAATCCATGAAACGATCAGATCCAAATATCATTGAAACTAACATAAAATTAATATTATTAATGATATGGGCCCATGTGTGCCATAAAATAAAAGGAGTACCGTACCTAAGTTAATAAGTATATTGCATTTTTTAAATGATATGGGCGGCGGTGATCGCTTACCATAAAGTGATGGCATGCTCGTTTGCCTCCTTTTCCCATAAAAAGAAGATATTAAGCATCGTAGCTGCAGACTATATACAAAATTTTTAGAATAATTAATACCATTTAAATTTTTTAACTAGATTTCTAATATTTAATAGATCGTTTGCGGACCTCTAACTCGGCGATTAGAGCGTCGAGTGCGTAACACGGAAGAAATGGGTTCAAATCCTCCTAGGGTGAAAAAAATTCGGTTATTTTTCTACAAATTTTATATTTTATCTTAAATGCATAGATTAGCACTGTAAAAATAAATTTAATTAAAAAAAAATATTGAAAATGTGACATGAAATATGATGTTTTCAAGTATTTCATGGTGAATTTTCACACGAAAGTGTCCGTTTGCTGCAAAGGAAAGGCAGAAGATAGCGCCAAGCCTAAAAATGAAATGACAACAAAGTACTTAGACAAATACGTTGAGATTTTCGTTGGTACAAGGATATGCCGTTTATCTCAGTGGCTACAGCGTCGAGCGTCTCGCAACGACCTCCTTTGTATAGAAGGTATCAGGGCGTAGTCCATCACCCGGCCCCATTGCGAATTGGCGGAGTTCACATATCTTCGAAACAGTTTTTGTTATTTCGAAAATATGCAAGTTTCCTAACGATGTTTTGCTTGACAAATCAGCACTTAAAATTAACAGTTTCATTGCTGCCGACACCCGAGATCTGACTCAGGTTTTTCGAGTATATTTAATTAACAGCGAGCGCCCGAAAAATTGGGAACGGCTCTACCATAACCCATGCTATATCAAAGTAAAAAGGAACGGATTGTGTCTCAATACAGGGCAAACTCTGTGCAGAGTCCAATAAGATTATTGGGGATAGGCTTATGTTAAATACTTCGAATTGTAAATTTTTTTATTTTGAATATATGCAGATTTCTCCTCAATGTTTTTTACATCTCAGAGCATGTGATCTTACAGCATAAATGCAATGAATAATTTAAGTCAGCTTCTCAAGTAAGCCAATATTTTAACAATAAGAACTTAAATAATTTTAACAAAAATTTAGTATTGATTAGTTAATATTTTAATAAGATATAAAAAACAAACGAATAAATACAGAAACAGAGATGACTAGGATAACATATAATCCATCAATTCATTAAGATAAAAAAGGAAAGAGTATTTGTAAATATGTTCTATGATGTCTTAGAAAAATATCAAAGATATCATTAGTAGTAAAGCTGGGTAGATTCAACTCGTCCGGTAATCAAATATAATTCCCCAACATTTTCATTTCCTAAATATTGCAAAGGAAAAACCTAATCTAGAGACCCTGCATAGTACATATAGCACCATGTCGCGACATCTTAATAAGATGACTAACTGAAAAATATACAATGAAATAAGCAAAACAAGACAACTTTTTTAAGTGTGAAAAAAGTGTTAATCTTAAACATGACAGTGTGACTTGAAGTTTACATCTTTTTTCCATCATAAATGTGGTAAAAACTGAACATCTAAATAATAACTAATAAAAATAATAAATATTCTATTAATAATAATATTAAAAAATAATTTATATTAATGAAGGGGCACATTTAATACTGGCTACTGTTGAACATTTCATCAACAAAATGTTAATTTTGTTACATATTTAATAATTTCCTCCATTATGGTTTTCTTTGTATAAAATATATTATAAGATTTCATATAGTCATAATTGTACAATTTTTAGTATAAATTGTTACTACGTCTTCTTAGTCATTCCCTCACTGCTGAGGACCGTGAATCATATTCAATTAGGTAACAAGCTGTCTCTATGGGTTTCGCTCCGTCGCCTGGCGGAGTGCGACGTTAATAGGGATTTCTAGGTTATCAAAAATTTTATCCACCCACCATTTAGGATTATGTTCGTTAAGATTAAATTCTTAAAAACACGTATAACATATAAGCAATGTATATGTTTATGAGTATAAAATTTAGCAACAATAATGGCAAAGCCTACAATGTCTTTGTGGCAGATGCATGAAGGCAGTTACAATAACAATAGAAGAGATTGTAGTCCCCCCATTTGTGAGATTTTTTATGACACCTGGACACTTTCAAGCATTTTTATTTTAATGGGCAGTATATTGGCCATCTCTTGACACAGATTAAACTCCTCCGCCATCATAGCGGCTGCCTCCTCGTCACTTTTACAAATATCAACCACAGATTGATATGATTCATAACTTTGCTTTATGTTATTTAATTGCATACTCTTGTCTAAAGCAATTCTCTTCATACTGTTTCTACCTATGAAGGCATAAGCGCTGATGACCGGACGTATTATGTCATATTCTAATTTCCTTGGCATTTTCCCATTTTTATCCTTAACAGAGTCCAAGAAATTATCATAGTTTTCAATGCTTTTCTCACACAGCATATTAATTTTCTTTAACGCATGAGGTGTAGGCTTCTCAGCACTCTTATTGATTTTGTCTAACTTAATATTCAATATTTCTGAGTAAACTTCACCTAATTCATACCACAATTGTCGACAGAACTGCAAATAATATGTGGGGTTGATTTCCTTAATTAAATCTTCAAGCATGTCTATGCGCCTCTTATGCATCTTTGCTCTTCTCTCATCATCTTCTTCAAAAAATGCAAGGTACGCATATGACTGAGAGCTATCCTGAATAAGCTCAATGTAATCTGAGGCTAGTGTGTCCAACTTATAATATTCCTTAGCTTTGTTTAACCAATTCTGACAATTAAAGAACACCTCTCGTGCATCTGCATATGTGAGTAAAAATTTGTCAGTTACCTTACTTTCATATTTTGCTACATCTAAATCTGCAAAAACCAATTGCTTCATGTCTCCCCCACATATATTTTCAGTGTCCTCTAACTCTAAATTAGACATATCTGAAACAATCCATATGTGATTAAAGCACAAGTTATCATCCAAGTTAGTTTTCTATACTCTATCATGATTATGAATGACAAAATAAACCACCTTAAATATAATTTCAACAGGAAATCAGAGCAAAATAAGGATCAGTATGTTTTACCATCATGTTTATCATCTTACAAGTAGTCTACTTGAACAAATTATCCAAAAATATTGTACTATTATATACTTTCAATAAAAAAAACATTTATAAGAAGGACCTTGTGGTATGTTAAAATCTTTTCTGCAAAATGTCTCATAGTAGTGCATAATTAATGCTGTTTTTTGTCCTTACAGACTTATAAGCCTTGATAGCCTTCTTTTCCATGAAAACACCACCACCCTACATTGACATTCACACCTGACATTTGCAGCACTAGAGGAGTTAGGAAGGATTTAACCTTTTAAATTAAGGCCTTAAACTGAAAAATTTATCTTTAATGAGGTCAAAAGACATTTTGCATTTATCTAAAAAATATAGAACTAATAGTTATTTATATTATTATTATAGTTATTTCATTTTAAAGCAATTGATGTTAAGCAAATAAACATAATGTTCACCTGTTATGGCATCATTTAATCTCTCAGCATCATTCATCAGCCTTGCCTTTGAAGCAGTCATGAGTAAGAGGCAGTACTTAGCCCAACATCTAGCGACATCGGCTGATCTATGCTTAAATGTCTCCATTTTTGCCAAGTATGCCTCATCATTATTATCAGTTTCCAGTAGACTTAACTCATACTGTTCTAGAATTTTGGATGCAGCAGCTAGGTGGTGCCTCGACTGGAAGAAGCCATTTTGTTCGGCAAAAAATTGTGACAATGTTGCTGAATTAAGAGCCCAGTCAATAGGTTCATAGACAGAATATTGCAACTGCCTCCTCAATGTTACATGACAGTAAATTGCTGATTTTAAATTTTCTTTTAAGGATCCAAACACTTGTGCTAAGTAATACAAAGTTAATGTATGTGCTTTCTCTAATAGCAGAAAGTCATCTGCTGACGTTTCACCAGCATTGTTTATTATCTGTTCTATAGGAAGAGGTATTTGCAGAGTGCATTTAAATGTTTCGTATAAGTCTTTGGCTTTCAATAGGTATGTCTTAGCTTTCTTAGGTTCATCTCGATTGGACCATAGAATACCTAAATTATTGTAAGCGCTAATCAGAGTTATAACGATTTCTGGTTTCTCAGAATTTGGCGTTAGTAGCTCTTCAGCTTCAGTAAGAACCTTTTCACTAGCTGTCATCTCCTCAGTTTCCATATCGATTATTCCGATATTTACTAGCACTGTACCGAGCATTGCATCCAATTTGATTTTATCAAAACTAGGTTCTGAATTAGACAATTGTGTAAGCGAATCTCTTATATTTATCAATATTTCTTTCGCTTTGTATTTAGACATGTAAGGGTTATTTTCCGGATCATTTTTGCTATCTTCATCGAGTAGCTTGCGAACTTTCCCATAATTTTCCTTGAAATCATTAATGATCTCTTTGGCCGTCATATTTGCAACTATAACTTTATAACAATTATTACAGGTTTAAGTCCAAACGTAAATTAAATAAGTACATTAAATTTAAAATGTCAGCTCAAATATTATTATTGTATTGACAATGACAATTGACATTTATGTACCTTAATTTTTTTCTTGTGGATTTTATGGCCCGCCGGGCCAGGCCCGGTATCGAGGACCTTTAGGCCATATATACCTTCAGCTAGCATAGTTATATAAACTATATTATTTAAGCATATATTTTGTTTATTATATATTCATAGCTTATTTATATATGTCATATATAATTAATGCAAGAATTTGCTAACTTGTTTTTGTGAATTGGAGTACACTGTTAGAAAGGTGACTTTTTATGTTGGGTCCGCAGATTTCTGGTACTTAGAACAATAACGCTGTTCACTCCGTGACCCCTATCGAGAGAGATGGTAAATAGACTAACAATTAATCCTAGAATTATAGCTGCGTGGGGTTAATTTATGGTAAGCATGTATACTTCCCTGTCCGCCTTCCTTAAATAAAGTGACCAAGTGCGAGTCGGATTCGCGCATAAAGGTTTCCGTAGTATTATCAATATGATATGTATAGGAGTCCCCTTAAATATTTATTATTTTATTCTGTATTATTGTATTTGTTTTATAGCGGCAACAGAAATACATCATCTGTGAAATTTTTAACTGTCTAACTATCACGGTTCATGAGATACTGGTGACAGACGGATAGACAGACAGTCTTTGGGTACAGAACCATAAAAAAGTGTTGATACTTTAAATGAAGCAATACCCATTCAAGTTCGTTGGTTAAGGTTTCGGAATCTAAAACCCTCTAGAATCATGTCTCTTAGAGTAGTCAATGACCTATCTATAATGTACACCGATTTATAAATCTAATGGACGATCAGGATGATACATTAATACGTGCGATTAAATACGTGAAATAAGCGCGTTGCTTCTTGGATGAGGCGACAGCGATCTGAACGAGTTAATATTCGCTGATATTTCACCACGTCTAGCACGGCACGGCAATACATATTTACATAAACAAAATCAGCGCATTCGACGGCGAGTGTGCTGAAATCCTAAATTTCCAGCCTGCATAATCGTATGCAGACTGGAATTAATTCTGATGATATTGGGGAAATCTGGGTAATTCAGGGTACGTCCCGTGTGTACACAGTTGAATCGCAACGCGTTGTTATTGTTATTTGATAGTCAAGTTTTTAATAATCAAGAGAGATTTCAATCCGATATTTCTGAAAAAGTATTGTATGGTGAGTGGAGAGATATCGTTCTTTTTTGCTAAAATATTTTTAAAAATATTAACATTTCATTGTAATTCTCTTATTGTAAAGTGTTTTATAAATCGTTATCATGGCGCAGTGTGTTTTGGATTGTTTAAACAGAACAGAAGAAGGATTACATGATGTTACATTTCTCATATTAGTATTAATCGTTTATTTGATTGCCATCGCTTCAAAACAATTCCATTATAAATTAATTTATGGATATCTTATTTTTAAGTAAAGTATTATTACTAGTAATGCTAATTACTAATAATAATATATGTGTGTTCATTTATTGTCGTGATACTACCCGAGAGGTAATAGAAGCGGCCATAGGCCACTTGTACTACCTCTCGTGAAACAAAACCTTATTACAAAGCGATCTAGATACGCTACTCAACTTAGGCCCTTCCGTGATAATTGCAGGAGATCTAAACTGCAAACACGGCTCATGGGACACCCACAGCATCTCAAATAATAACGGAAAGCATCTCTTTAGCTTATCCGATGACTTAAATTTTAGCTCCTTTCGCTCCTGCGGCCCCCACTAGGTATCCTACGGTGGACAGTTACCAACACGCGACACCGAGTATCCTAGACATTATGTTATTCAAGGAGGTCTCGCTCGACATCGAGTCGATAGAGACAAGCCATGAACTAGATTCCGATCACAGGCCCGTCCTGTGTAAACTGGGCCAGAACGCCAGTGCGGTCCTTCCGACAAAATCCGTGGATTGGCATCGTCTTGAGGTCAAACTCAAGGCCTTGGACCCCCAGGACATAGTCAATATACCCGAGACGATAGCTACGTTCGATGACGCAAATCGAGCGAAAGCAAGTCTCCGAGAAACTATCACTACCGCAGTCGTAGATTCGGAACGGACGGTGAAACTGTCGGGCGACCGACGGTTTAACTTTCCGCCCGACCTGCGACTGCTAATTAGACAGAAAAATGCAGCCAAACGCGCTTTCGACCGATACCGATCGGAATCGAATCGAAACTTACTTCGATGCCTTCAGCTAGAAGTCAAAGATCGTGTATCGGAACACCGACATACCACGTGGGACACCCCCCTAGAGGACATCGAGCCATCGCACAACGCCTACTGGCTGTTGGCTCGCAGTCTAAAAGCAGACCTCCGCGAATCTCTACCGCCGTTAGTTAGACATAATAGCGCTTCAGCAGCCCTAGATGACTCCTAAAAAGCCGAATGCCTTGCGGACAACCTAGAGCAGCAATGTACGCCATCGCGCGAACACACCGATACAGCCCACCTAACGGAGGTGGACCGCGTAATCGATATTAGGGCTGCGCTTCCACCGGAAGGCGATCTTTGAGTTCTTTGAGTTCAGTGACCCCCGAAGAGGTCCAAGACATTATTAAAAATTTAAAACCGCAATCCGCCCCGGGCCCTTATAATCTTAGTAACAAAATTTTTAAAGCTCTCCCTGGAGCGCTTATCTGTTTACTGGCGACCATTTTCAATACTTTACTCTCTAGTTGCTCCTTTCCGGACGACTGGAAAGAAGTCACGGTTATCGGAATTCGCAAGCCGAATAAACCAGCCCTCTAGTTATCGTCCCATCAGCCTCCTCAGTTGCCTGGGGACGCTCTACGAACGGCTTCTATTAAACAGGCTCAAAGAGCACGTTTTTCCAACGGCCTTCTGCCGGCGGAACAATTCGGCTTTCGAGCTAGACATTCCTGTCCCGATCAATTATTCCGCCTAACGAAAGATATCCTAAAAGGTCTAAACACCCTAAACATATTAGTATTTTCTTCGATGTCGCAAAAGCATTCGACAAGGTCTGGCATAACGGATTGCTTTACAAGATGTACACACTCAAAGTGCCAGATAGGCTCGTACACACCATCCGGGCCTTCCTGTCAAACCGCTCCTTTCGATATCGAGTTGAAGGCACCCTCTCCACAAGCCGCCGACTCACGGCCGGCGTACCACAAGGCGCTTTTCGCGGATAACACGGCGCTCTTTTATTCAGACCGCAACCTTAGTCAACTAATCACTCGACTCCAAAGCGCCGCCGACCGCCTTGGCGATTGGTTCCGCAAATGGAGAATAGAACTAAATCCCGAAAAGAGTGTGGCGATTCACTTCACACGAAGTACTTACCCGTCACATCTTTACAATGGCCCTCGCCAATGCAGAGAGTTGGGGCAAATATGGCCAAACGTTCCCCTGGGAGACAAAGGTCAAATACTTAGGAGTCACTTTCGACTCGCGTATGTCATTTACTACGCACCTTAATAACGTTAGCAATAGAGCCGCGTTCGTCTCCGGCCGACTACACAATTTAACTAAAACTAAAAGTAAAATGCCCTTAAGGCACAAATTATTATTATACAGGACCAGCGCACGACCTATTATGTCCTACGCATTCTTGACCTTCGCCCACACGCACCCTACTCGCTTACACAAGTTGCAAATAATACAAAATAAGTTCATCCGCCAAGTAAACGGTGCGCAGTGGTATCAACGCAACGTCGACCTGCACAGCGATTGCAGACTCCCGTCGATTCGCGAATATTTTAAAGATCTGACCAAACGGTTCTTCGATAGAGCAGAACATCATCCCAACCCTCTGGTGGTAAGCGCAGCAAATTACCAACCCGACACAAACGCGAACGTCAACAAGCGTCGCCCGCGAAACGTCTTCATCGACCCGGTCGAGGAAGGGGACTTAAATACGTCGGACCCACCGCCGGGGGTCCCGCCGGATAACACTACACCCGATTATTATTAATTAAAACAGCTTCTTAAAATAGTTTTTTTTTTGTTTGCTGCATTTTGTGACTAGATAATATTTCATTTATAACTTTTTTCTAATAGTTATTTTTAAGTTCAATGAAGCAATATTGTAAAATATAATGGTTTTCATATGACTTTTGAAATTACGTAGGAAACACAGAATGTCGAGAACATCGATTATCTCTGTAATGTTATTCCCTAACAATGATATATGTATTCGTATATATGGTATGTATGTTGTATTGTTATATGTATGTATTGATGTGTATATGTATGTATATGTGTATTTATTTACTTACATATTTATAAATATCTTATTATTATGAATTATGATTGTAGATAAGTATTTTTCTTTTTCATTCATTTAGTTAACCCACACCTTTATTCCTAATTTAATCTAAACTTTTTCCCAATTTTGAAAAATTGTAAAAACTGATTGACAGACTGACCTGACAGTGGCAGATTTACAAAGCAAAGAGAATGTAATCACTACGTTTAAAACAGCCGTACACAAATCTGTTACAAAGTAGCCGTAAAGGCGTCAAGTCAATGGTTTATTCCAAAGAGTACTTTTATATATCTGAAAGAGTACTTTTATATAGCTTGTCTTTACCACCGCGACAATAAATGAACACACGTCTAACGCTACTTGCCAATAATCATAAAAAATATTATCTTTAAAAAAATCCGAAATTAAAAAAAAAAACATTTTTCAAACAAACTAATTAAGTAAAAAAGAAACAAAATTTTTAACACCTATACAACTACAACTGATTGATTCATACATTCAGAGACTTATTCATTCGTTAAACAGCGACGCCGTCAGTACCTATATAATATGTCTTATCTACGACGCATTACAAGCCTCTCCTTCTAACAGTATGTTTTGTCTCTTTTAAATTCATTCAACCCATTCATAATGCTTTGTGACCTTTACAAATGAACTTTACGTTACAGTTTTATACGTTAGGAGGGTGTTATAAAATTCTTTGTTTTGGAAAATTTAATAACTCGGTAAATATTGATGTGTAAACAATGTTAAATATTAATACAATTTTAAAAAGTTATCCTCTATATGTGTGTTCATTTATTGTCGCGATGGTAAAGACACGCTGTATATCTGGTTTATTCAATTTTTGCCGCCCCTATTGAACTGACCTCTGAAATTCGAAACTTTAGTTCGCAATCATATTTACATTAAATTTATGCTCACCATAAAATTTTAGAAATTTGATTTGCGTTCTATGGACATTACATCAGTTTATTCTCGTTATTAGTATGATTTTAAAATTAATCAAATTATGAAACTTTTACATCATAACATAACATTTTCAAGACTCATTTGGTCAATGTATAGATTGATGTTTTTCTTTTTTTCTGTGAGACAAAAATTTTTAGCCACATTTACCGCCCTAGGTTTCAGACTACATAGCCTGCTGGTAAATTCGCCACTGCATTGACAACTGGTATTACATACATACATTATGAATTGTATATCATATCATTGACGAAACGTTCAATTTAATTGCATGAACTGTTTCATATATAAGACAATATACTGAAAATTGTACTGAAATATTTAAATAGTTGAACCATTGTGTTCTCGACTCCTAGGCGTAAAATTAAAAATCAAACCATATAATTCGAAGACCGATTTGTGCAACGAAGACTGAACCCAGCGCGTAAAACGGTTTTATTGTCGCAGGACACAAAACGGTCTTTTTAAGCGGTTCGTCGTAACGCCCACCTCTAGTTACATGGTTCCTGGGTCCTATTTTGGGTATGGGCAATTTTATTACGCTGAAAATCGTTGCGTACAATGGGGAGTCAAAAAAGTTATAAAACGCTTTTTTGCGGTGTTTTTATTCTTAAATAATATTAAAAAAATTTACATCTTAAATAATTTTTAACTGTTATGCAGAGCCGTTCATTTAGGATGTCAATGTAATTAAAAAATGAGGTCAAGGCAAAATAATATAATATTTACCTTACATAAACTTAGTTCTTTCAACAGGAAAATATTTAGGTCACAGAACAATATTGAATTGTAGGCACTTATTGTAACAATTATATTATGGAAAAATAGTATTTGACAATCAAATTGGATAAAAAGCACAGTAAAAAGTTCACTTTTGTACATTTGCAAACATAATTGTAAAATCATTATTAAATGCAAAAATTTTATTTACATCTGTGTTTAAAGATAAATTGTTAGAAAATTATTGTTGATGTTTAATTGTTATCAATTCAGTTGTATAAAAATGTCACATTTTTAATAACATACCCAACAACTTATTATTGCAATATCTTTTTTATTTTGCCTCAAAAATTATTAGTTTACACTTCACGCATTGAAATATAAACATTTATGTATGTATATTTCAAATTTTTAAGGAAATGCTTGCTATCAAAGCAGTAAGTAAAGAATAATAAACAAACTTAAAACGTTAGTATTTATGCCAATTATTACACTGCATTTCTTACCTAATACTCGCCTCAAATTCGTAAAATCATTGTTCACGTCCCCTCTTTCGTATTTAAACATTAAATACCATTATTTACATTGTACTGTCAATTGTATAAAACACCTCTCTTAACACATCTATAAAATACTTTGTCATTGTAAAAAGTAAATGATTGCCTATGAATAAGGGGATTATACACTAAACCCTAACAACAATGTATGTCACAAAACATAACATACATGAATAATGGCATGGCCAGTAATGCATGTATTAGGAAACCATATCTGGTTCAGGTTCTTCGGTTGAATGTGTTTGAGGAGGTGTAGTGTGAGTGTTAAGCTGGGAGAACACCTCCTTTTCACCTAAAGCAAGCGGATCAGGTTGTGCCGCTGGTGATGGAACATAAACCATCATGGGTGATGGCGAGACTGGCCTCACAATACCAGCACCTGTTGCTTCTTGCTCTTCCAGGAACCTGTCCATGTAATCTGTGTGACCAGGATGCAGCGTATACTTTTTCTTTTCTAATCGTGTTTTATTGGCAAATATATCATGTCTTTCTGTCTTCTTCCAAATGTAATAAAATTGGACTAGCTCTCCCACTGATCTTGTACGAACTTTTTGTTGTCGTATCTGATGAAAATCTTTACCATGTGCTTTAATACCATTTTCAAAGTTACGGCACTCTTCCTCTGACCATACACTAGCATGTCCCGGAGTTTGTGCTGATATGCGTCTTCTTCTTAATGCTTCCTCAATGTTATGACCACATTGTTGCAATAAAAATAAGGCCTCTTCATCGTCACGAAGCTGTTTTCCTCTTGGAACAGCATCAACACCAGTACCTGAGTTCATAGCACATATTTTTCTCATATAATCTTCAATCACTTTTTCATCTAAAACACTGGGGTTCCATAGTAATTTGTCCTCATTTTCATAGGGCAGTGCATCATCATAGCTGCATAAACCCTCCGGTATAGCTGCTTGGTAGTCACTACCAACCATAATAGTTTTCTTCCAATCATCCTCGTCAGGACTATAATCACAATCATCTTCCTCTTCAGAAGGGGGACGAGACCCTGATCTAAGGCATCTTGTGGCCTCAGGGCTAGCATTTTCATTATATAACTGCTGTAATGCAGATTCTGGTTTTTGATTTTCCTCTAGCACCACTTCAGGTGCTGGCTCTGAAATAGGCTTATCCATACTTCTGTTATAACCGTATAGTGCTAACAGTTCCTCCAAGGGCATATCACCTTCTCGCTGAAGGCTGTTCAGTTCCGCTTTTGGATCCTGATGCTCACCTGCCGCCAAAGCTTCTTCTTCGTCTAATGTTCTTTCGTCATCGAAATCATTTACCATCATATCAACAGTAGGCTCAAAGAGAGATTTGTCGTTCCCCACATCCATACTGGCATCATGCTCGTTTACACTGGCTACCAGCGCGCAATCTGACATGACTATCACCAACAATCACGATGATTGTACCACCAAAACATGACAAGTTGTTGGTGTAAATTTCATTCTTCCTAATTGTACAGTAAATAAATTAATAAAATACATTACAAATATCACATATTAGGCGAGCTCCGTTAATAAATTATGATGTGCAAAACAAAAATATTATGACACGGACTACACAGACTATAATTAATATGAAGTTGTCAACATAACAGTTTAGAAATGCAGAAATGCACTTTGATGTCATAAATGACAGATAAAGATTATGATATGATATATGTGTATGTATAATAAGTTTCGTATGAAATATTCTAGCCTAGATAAATTAAATATAAATTCGCTAGAATTCCCAAGGAGGGTTAACGGATGTGCTTTAGTTTACGGTCGCACGATTTTCCTGATAATTTTAATTTTAATAGGTAGGTAATAAGTCATTGAAGTAAATACTAGAAGGATTTTTTGCGGAAATTCATAGTTTTCGAAAATTATTTTTTTAAGTTTTATAGGTTAACTACTAGGAATCGTTTAGAACAGTATTGTTTCGTATTTCGGCCCAAAAAATTTACATAACTACATTCTAAAACATTAGAAAGAGACAACTTAGTGATTATATCATCTTTTAACGCATGTTATTTCAGACCGCAAAATTATTTTTGGCTTACGGTAAATCTTTGCTTTAAAAAAAAGAGACAAATAGAAAATATAGCAGAGGTAAATTATATTTTAATCGTCTTTCAAGTTGAATAAGTTTTTTGATATCATCATTATGGTTGACACCCCAATTCAGAGCAATCCGACTCGGACAGATTAGGTTAGAAGGTTAAAAAATAACCACCCAGAAATAGAGCCCTACATAGAAGGACGCTAAGTAAGAGCCTCCACAACCTTATTCCTACCACAACCTTATTCTCAATAAATATCACCATAGTAACATTGCATAGGTTAGGGTAGTTTTTTTAATATATTCCAGAAACTAGACATTTCCGCACGCCCTTCCCTCTCACAGGCCGGTCATAAAAATAAAGTCAATAACTGAAATTATCAATGTCGGCATGTTCTGCCGACCCCACCTAGTGGCAGGAGAAAGATTAGTATCATTAAAATCCCTTAAAAATCCTATAAATAAATAAATAAATAACAGCAAACTGTTTTTATGAGCCTCTCATACTTAAGATGCTTAAAAATTCCAGCAATAATAATAAGTATGTAGGACTTATTATTATTGCTGGAATTTTTGCTAAGACTTTTTTAGGATTGTTTTATCAGTTACAACACAATATTGGTGAGTGTTTGTCCACGTGAAATTTATGTATGCAAAACGTCTTTGCAACACAGGGTAGTGTTATCGTAATATTGTGCCCTTACTTTATTAGGATAACACTATCCTGTGTTGCAAATGCTTATATAAAAAAAATATTCAGTCATATATTATTTCCCCAAGATATTTTTATCGATACCCCATAACTTTTATGATTCTTCTTCAAATTTAATGATTCAAAATGTAAATATGACTCATTTTACTTCTTTCATCCGGGTCTGATGCCACTTTGGTCAATACCTAAGTACCTTGTACTTGGATCAAGTTGTGTCCATACATCCACTCTAAGTCGATTTTCCATTTCTCATCTACACATCTACAGCAGGAATCGCGGAGTCGCAACAGATCAGGTGATCAACGTAATCTTGTCATTGCCTACACCAGCTTTTCTGTTTTTTGCCGGGTCCTCTTTACTACTTCTTCCGACGAACTTGACATCTTGACAGTATCCAGGCTAAAAACGTACTTCCCTTCACAAAGGAAAAATATAATAAGTCCGTATTTTATCAATCTGTATTCTCATACCATAATCTGTCTTACTCGAATCGAATGTCATTATGTCAAGCATTTGCGGCAAATCATATAATGTCTTAAAACAACAATTCGCTAAATAAAGTGATAATATTCTTTTTTAATTGAAGAATTATATCAAAGTGGAGCAATGTTAGTCCACAATATAGATTCCGTTAGTTGTATTCTGTTCTTCCTAATGTAAGGCAATGTTCACAATGTATCGAATTTTTTTTTTGCTCGGAACTATCGTTAAAGTGTCACATAGCTTTTCCGATGTTGGAAAATGGGATTTACCGATGAATGGGGTAAGATATATTTATTTTTATTTTAAAAATTGATTATTCAATACCACATAGATGTTACATATTTGTTATAGAATGGTCGATTGTAATAGTCATTTTAAGGTATTCATGAATCATTGATGATTGTAGATAAGGTATACTGTTTTAATGATATGTATACACATATTATTTTTATGTCATTTATTATAACTAACAATATGTATAATATTTCTTACAGAATTTTTGCGATTTTGCCTTAGCGAAGTCGCTGTTCAAGGATTCCGAATTACGAGTCGTTTGTAAGTTTTTATTATTGCTAACATAATATTATTATTGCAATTGCTTCTTCAAAATTTTTGAACAATTTAAATCTTTAATTAAGAACAATGATATATAAATTCACATTGCTCTTTTCTAAATAATTCACATACAAGAAATTTTGCCAATTCTAATTGATAGAGAAATTTAACCATTATTACAATAAATAAGCAAAAATTAGAAATGGCAAGATCTAGAATAATTAAATTTTGCAAATTTTCACTAAAGAAATCTATCATGCTTTGCATATATCGTTCACCATGTGTATTAATTCATTAATAACAATGCCAAATTGAAATACATTTTTTTAGGAATTGGTTAGGTAATAACATTGAGATTGATAATTTAAAAATATTACCAAAAATTGTAATGTTTGCAATCAATTACATAAATTTAACTATGTATAGTAATGGTTAAAAACATCTAAGCCTTAATCTATATAAGAAATATAATGATCCCAAATTAACAAAACAAATTCAGGCAGTTTATAAATACTCTGAAAATCATTTCATTCAGTAGAAGTATTTTCAAATAGATAGATCATAATAAATATGACTTACCTCTTCAGTACACTGCAATGAGTCCGCCAATGTCACTGTTACGTATCAGTGGGAGCAGAGTTACTGTTCACCTGACTACTTCCATTACTTGGATGAGGTTGGTTTTTAATTATAAGCATTATTTCCAGTAGCAGATTTTTACAGATACTGTGCAAATTTAGTCTTGCAAAGGCATTTTTTATCTTAATATATTGCATCCGTCTGATGGCAAACCATTAGTTAGTCTTTGTAAAAGATCATCATAGTGATTTAATAAAGAATGATTAGACTGTTTTCAATTAAACATTACATACATACTTTTTGTGTGAAATTTACATGTAATCATTAATAGTGGATCTTTTTATTACAGCATGTAGTTGAATGTCCAAATCTGATGTACAGTGTCCCACAGAGTGAACTGTTGAATATCAGTATGGTCCAAGTTAAGAAGTACACATGTCATAGTAAAGAATCAGTATTCCTCCAAGATGATAAGAACAAGATTTCTGAAGGCACAAAGAAGCAACTTGGGGTTTCTTCATCGGTTTGTTTTGTAATCATAACATATTGTCTATTGTGATACTTCATGTTTGTTAACTTTGAAATCTATAAAATATCATTAAATATAAGAGATCATCCCTTACCCTAATAAGTGAGTGATGGATGTATGGTTATAAAATGATGCTCCTGCTGTTGAAACTGAATGAATTTTTATCTATAAATTCATAGGTTGAAATGGCACTTAACAATAAGTGAGTAAAAATGTTGAAATGATAAGATATTTATCTATATAAACACAGACTTGCATTAGTCAATAAACATTAAATATGAATTAAATATTACACTATTTTAATGTAATATTAATCATAGCAACATTCTTTCACAACAGCCATATCAATAATTTAACTAAGGATTAAGGATATAGCTTCTTTTATATAGTGCTTACTCAAAAACCTCTATGTTTGTTTGTCAATATTTTCTATAAACGATTAGTCTTAGGATAGGAATGAAGGAAAAAAATAAACTTTGTTAGGCTAAAACATAAGCATATAAGTACTATATACATGGTAAGCATGTATTCATGCTTTCCATAATACACATTAACATAATCATAAATTATAATGCTAATAGGGCAAAACCAAACTGAGTATACTCATGACAAAATATTATTTTTCACAGAAAATGCCGCCCCTCATTGTTGTGGAAAGAGAAGGCATATATGTACTTAGAATGTTAGTGCAATCAAATATTGAAACTCCCTTAAATCTGTCTGTCGGTGTGGAGATGGTAGCCCCCTCTGGTTATTTATCGGCAGCTCTGTGGCCCCTCTTACCTGTGAGTATCTGGAATTTATTCAATATTAGGTCTATGCTATTATATTACATTTTTCAAAATAATGGTTACAGTGTTTTTTTATGGAGACTAACTGTTATTGTTTGTGACAATATTTTTGCAGAAGCGAGGTTATACCATCTATTTTTATTTATAAGCCCTTTCAGATAAAACAAGCAATTTATTAATAATAATTTCTGTATTTGCAAGATTACACATTATTGATTACTCATTAGTTACATACCCTATAAGATAAGTTGCCTCATCAATTGGGAAAGACATGCAGCATATGTTGTAGCGTTTCATAAAGTAGTCTTCATAAAAATACTATTCCAATTGATTATATATTTATTTTCTTCTACACAGTTTTTTGGTGTGATGTGTGGAGTCTATACAATATTATGTACTGCATGGCTGATAGTGTGTGCGTTGCAATGGAGGGATCTGCTTAGGATTCAGTATTGGATTGGGGGTGTAACGCTCATGGGCATGATTGACAGTGCTACTTACTACGGAGTGTATTCATCAATCAATAGAACTGGGTATGTGGAATATTGAAATTAAGACATATATTTATAAGTGCTTATGTAAATATTCTTATTGTTATTCACAATGTATTTGTTGGTAATAATTTTTTAAATATTAGAATGATTTTGTTTTTAGAGGCTGTGTCGAGATTTTTTTTTAATGTGAAAAGGTGCGAGATTGTTTTTTTAAGTGTGATGAGGTGTTCGGTTCACCTGATGTTAAGTGATAACCGCCGCCCTATGACACTTGCAACACCCGTAAGGTTGCAAATTACATTAGCACCTTTTAATGAATTGGTCTCCTTTTAAAGTATAACACTTCCACTTCACGCCAGTCTTCTTTGAGGTTTTGGTACTTACCCGGACAGACCTGCCCATTCATGCAGCAGTGAAAACTGTTGTGTGGCCCTATTTCAGATTTTTACTACTGATATTAATTTCAGACTAGGCTACTCAGCACTCATAACACTCATAGCACTCATAACACTCATAACATGTTATAATGAACATTATTCAAACAGCTAATTTCTTTTTTAATTTCAGATACTTCAGTACCGAAGTATACATGTTTGCTGAATGGGTGTCAGTAGCAAAAAGGGCACTCGCTCGAATGTTAGTCATTATAGTATCTCTAGGATTTGGTATAGTAAAGTAAGTGTCTATTTCCAATTTTTTAGTCAACTTTCCTCTAACTGTGATATAATTAAATCCAAATAAAATATGACAATTAATCTTTATATTTGGATTTGCCACAATCTGAAAAAATAAAAAAATGAGCCGCCATCGCATTGATCAGCCATCATCGCTGTTGCTAGAATGGTTAGTTCCGTCCGGGTAAGTGCCACGAGCTCACAGAAGACCGGCGTGAAGTGGGAGTGTTACACTTGTGGTTTTCGTTTGGCGAGTGAGGCAGCCGGGGCGCAGTTTATTGAAAGGTGGCAACGCATCTGTAACCCTACGGGTGTTGCGAATGTCCACAGGCGGCGGTTATCTTAACATCAGGTTTTTTTGGGCTGGCTTAGCCACTGTTGGCCTTAGGGGCCTTCACAGTTCCGACGGGTTTGAGGTGGCCTGGCGCACGGGGCGCCTAGCTTGAACCTCGGCGTATTATTATTACGCGTTATGGTGACTAAGCTCGAAGCTCCCAAGGGAGTCTCGGCTCGGGCCGTCACACTATTATTCTCGCCGGTTTGGGAGGCCGCCAAGCTCTTAGGGCGCTTTGGTGGGCGTTCCATGGAGTGATCAGGCTCAAGGGTCCCCGAGAGGGGACCTCGCCTTGGGCTGTCACTCAACACGAGAGGGCCGGACCTCGGCTCGATCGGTAGCTGTTATCTGACTGGGTAACATCAGGTGGGCCGCCGGTTCGTTTGGTGGCAAGAATGATATGGTGGCAGGCCGCGGCTGGGGCCCGCGTTGCAGCGCGTGGTGGCAGCGGGCCTGTGCTGGGCGCTGCTCGCCGCCGCCGAGGCGTGGCTGCGGCTGCGGCGGCGCGCGGAGAGGGCGCTGCTGCTAGCGCAGGCGCCCCTCTCGCTGCTCGACAGCGCCATCTGCTGGTGGGTGTTCGTCTCGCTCGCGCACACGACGCGCACGCTGCGCCTGCGCAGGTGAGTGAGCGGGACGGCGCGATGCGGGGGGGCAACGTCGCCGATGTCTCCTTTGGTCTGTTGTTCGACTGTATTAGTCTGGTTCTATAAAGATTTGAAACTGACTCATGCTTTCCTTTTTCCTTTTACAATTTTTCCCGATACCTTCGACTATCTCATTGATGTATAAATGAAGAACTATCTTACAAACTATCTTATAAATGAATGATAAGAAAAGTAGCTAACATCAGTAGTAACTAACATCTATCCATACATTGAAACTTTCGCCTTTATAACATTAGTAAGGATGAACATTCAATTTAACTGTGGTAGGACCACGCAACAGCCTTCACTATTGCACGAATGGACTGGTCCGTCCAGGGTCACCACGACCTCATAGAAGTGTTACACTTTTTTGTTTCTTCTGATGAGTAAGGTAGCCCTTTATTAAAAGGTGGCAACGCATCTGCAACCATACGGGTGTTGCAAGTAGCCATGGGCGGCGGTTACCGCTTAACATCAGGTGAACCGCCAGCTGGTTTACCATCTTCTCGTATATAAAAAAAAGTCAATTCAATCTAATATCAATTTATACTATATATCTTCGAATGTCGAATCCGGGAGAGAAAACATAATAAATCCATAGAATACACCCCATTGATTTTGGTTAAATGTAAATAACCATAACTAAACAAAAAGGCTTCCATGTCAAAGTATTGTACGTATTTGTACAGCAGATATATATAGTTTATAAAACATATGCCTCTTTTACAGAAACACCATCAAATTGTCGCTGTACAGACACTTTACGAACACACTGATATTTGCAGTCATATCTTCTGTGATATTTATGGTGTACTCCCTCAAGTCGTACAGAATTCAGATGTGCATCACTGTGAGTATTGTTCTTGATACATTTAAACCTTATACAAACTAAGAATAAAATAGCAACATATAAATATTGTTCTCCTCCCACACAGACAAACATACATTTACTGAACATCTTTCTTTTGTTTTTTGTAAAGAGGCAAGTTTACTCACTGAAATCTCTGCTATATTTTGCTGCTAGATTTGAATAATGCTGTGGGGCCATTATGTGAATTTTAAAACTAGTTATAGTTTTAATACTAGGTAGTTTTGTTGTGTCCACACTGACAGTTCAGGCAATTTTTTTTTCTTTTTCTTCTGATATCGACCAGTGTCACTGTAGATATAGGAAAATAGTTAAAGGATTCGGGTATTCTACTATGATATGCAGAGCCGTGATAGCTCAGTGTCGGATTGCCTTTAATTCAATTTACGTGAGCAACCAGAGTTCTATGCCGGTGCCAGCACCAATGAAATTGTTAATTTTAAGTGCTGACATCACGTGCTTGGCGGTGAAGGAAAACATCGTGAGGAAACGTGCATATTTTCGAAATAATAACAAAAAAAAATGTTTCAAAAATATGTGAAGTCCGCCAATCCGCAGTGGGCCGCGTGGAGGACTATGCCCTGATACCCTTTGAACAGAGGAGGCCTTTGCCCAGCAGTGGGAAATTTATAGGCTGTTTCTTTATTTTACTTCTTTTGTTTTTATGCAGAAGTTTGGACATTACTGTCACTCATATCATCTGTCATATAGTAAGTGATGAAATACTGGCTTCTGATGGCCTCTTATTTGAATACCGCGTCAAACAAATGTCGCGGTTTACTTTACCACTTCTTTTATATTCCTCATTTAGTTTGTAATTGCTTTTTTTCATACAACTATTTATTCTATTTTCTGTTCATTTATGATTTTACTATGTGAGGAAACTTAACTGGTGTTTGTACAAATTTTTTATAACAATTGTGAGCATGGTGTTTACTGTGCGTTTCCCAAATAAATAAATATATAAACTGCAGCATTGTTAGTTGTGTAGAAGGTCAGTTCACGAAATCGTTTAAAAAAATGCCAAATTGTTCCAGGAGTGGAAGGAAGTGTGGATGGACGAGGCGTATTGGCACATGCTGTTCGCGAGCGTCTTAGCCGTAATAATGCTACTGTGGCGGCCCACCAACAACAACCAGCGATATGCCTTCACACCGCTGCTCGACTACGCCGAGGACGATGAAGGTTGGCTTCTATATTGCATGAATGTTTTACGGTGTTAGGGCCACGCAGCAGCCTCGGCTGTTGCACGAATGGGCAGGCTCGTCCGGCTAAGTACGACCTCACAGGAGACCGGCATAAAGTGGAAGTATAATACTTTCGCGTTTCGTCTGGTGAGTGAGGTGGCCGGAGTCAAATTTTCAAAAGGTTGTCAATGTATCTGCAACCCTCGGGTGTAGTAGATGTCCATGGGTGAACCACCTACTCTTTTCACATAAAAAACAACAAAAAACACTGTTTTTTTTTGTTTAACAAAAAAAAACTTAATAATGTGTAAGTAGATTAAACTCTTGCAAAATTTTTCGCCGCTGCCAATCTAATTTGCGCTTTACGTTTTACTCGTCCAGCAGATAGATGCTCTAACTAGCCAATCAAGAATCGTAAAAATTTTACACAACGCAACACAACAGTCATGTCTTTTTATTTGTGGATGTGTTCAGTATCGAGTATCGATTTTGGTAAAATAGCTTTCGACGAGTGATGCCTTGAGGTTTATAGTATTGTGTTCTTTGCACGTCGCACACCACCTTTTTTAGCGTATTTCAGGCGTACCCCATGCTGTGATTTTACATTATTTGTTACCAAGGGTTTTGTGATAATAATTCCAAGATAAGCATTACTTGTATTGTATATTTGTCTTTAGATGATTTTTTATGAATTTTAAATTAAGTTACCACTGACCAGTGATAAAGCAAAACATCAATTGAATAAATTTTGTTACTTTTGTATCTCTTGGTGCGCGTACCTAAAGCTCTCGCTACATCCTGGGTTGACTAGAGATTTCCTTTGAGAATTTTTGAATGACATAAAGTCCGCCCTTTATTGCCTTCTTTATTTTAGGTAAGCAATAAAGCATAAATAGATAAATACCCTGCATTGAATTGAGGACTCCGTGAAGGCGGTGCACAGCGGTGAAGGAAAACATAGTGAGGAAATCTACATATTTACGAAATAATAACAAAAAAAATATTTCGAAGAAATGTGAAGTCCGCCAATCCGCAGCGGGGCCGCGTGGTGGACTATGCCCTGATACCCTCTGTACAGAGGAGGCCTTTGCCCAGTGGGATATGTATAGGCTGATACTTTAAGGGCAATGTTGTTTTAATAGAAAAAAAAATTGCACTTTCAGACGAGGAGGAGGAACAGTTCGTGAACGACGCATACGGCGTGAAGATGCGCGGTACCAGCTCCGAAGCGCCAAAACCGCCGCCGGAGCCCCTCGACGAGCTGCGCTGGGTCGAGGAGAACATCCCCACCAGCTCGCTCCCGCTGCTGGATTCGGACGAGGAGATCGTCAACACCAAGTTCGAGGTCTCAAAAATGCAATGAAGAGTATTAAGCGCCACCATGTAATGTAATATATAATATATGTAACTGTCGAAACGGGCTGTGTTTCATTTGGACCTGGTTAATCCGGCTCGCAACCTGGTATACGAAGCTTTGACTTGCATAGTTGCAGACTGGCCGCTAAGTGAACATTTTAAAAAGCTTACCAAACGGTCGAGAGCCTTTCAAATTTTCTGATGGCGAATGCAGCGAATTACCAACCCGACAGACAAAAATAATTTAAAAAACTAAAAATCCGATTTCGATTCTGTGTAACTTTTTATTTTTATATACCCAGTGTCACTCAAAGTAAACTATGAATCTAACAACCCCTCTAAAGCTAAAATCCATCAAGCCGTTCAGGCTGCAGAGCGTGCCAAACAATTATACATACATACATATTCTCGAAAAATATAACCCTCCTTATAACGCAGTCAGGTAAAAAAGAATGTGATATTGGTATGCATACACAGACACTCCTTTCCTCTAACTTCGGCGTTTCTTGTATTCATGCACGAGTATTGCTCGCTGAGTCTCTTTAGGAGGTAGTTAGACTCGGTCATAACTGGCAGCCGGAAATGGCTGCATTGTATTGTCTAAATAGTTGATAAACTATGTCAAAAACTGCTTTTGGACTCCCCTCCTCTTTGTATAATTTTCAATTAATAGATGATTATAGAGTACAATTACATTAGAACTAAATCTTTTAACTGGTAGTAGATTTTTATATTGCATAATATTTGAATATTGAAATTAAAACCACATGAATAAATAACTAAAATAAATATCTAAAACGATTTAACTTATGGTGACAGTTTATGAGAATAAAAAGATTTATGATTAATAGACGTTTATTAATAATTGCATTATCATTAAATATATTTTGTTCTTTAGATATGATCTTTGGTATATAAAATATATCATGGAATATGGCCAATATGCAAAATTGGACGTTTACAATCAATTGAAATAATGGAGAGTTTTAAGAGTATAAAATTGGTAAATAACATGATATTAATAATTGAAATAAGCGATTACATAAAATTAAACATTATCATACAATCAATACATTGGTTTGCATTAAATAAAACATATTCTGATAATCTTAAATATTATTCCGAAGTAAAGTCGGAGGTAACATAAATAAAAATAACCGCACAATTAAAATTGTCATAAAATGATCTTAAAAAATTCTGGGAATCAATATGTGTTATCTTGTATGCATTTTTTTTAAACTATGTGATACATTCAATCATAATTTTTTTTATCAAACAGATGTTTAGTGAGATGCAATAGTCAAAATACAACATTAAATGCTATAGATACAACCATTAGTTGGCACATTGTACTTCTTGGAAAGACTAATTTGTGATAAAAAATTAAGAAACCAAATGTAATAAGATGGAACTTAATAAATCACCATAAAAACTCCTTTTGGTGTAACCCACATATTATATACAGTAGTAATATACAATACAGTTGTAATGTAATATTGTAGTATACATAAAAGCAGAAAGTGCAACAAATGTTTTTAAATTTCCTACAATCATTTGAAGCTGGTGAAATGTTATTTTGATGATAGAAACTAAGTTTATATTATTGCATATTATTTGTTAATATTAACTATATCTAACATGTCACAACTTGAAATTAAAATATGTTTCCACTATTGAAAGAATTTTTGAGAAATTTTCATTACCTTAGACTACTCAAAGTTTTTTGTAATTGATATGGGTGCTTTTTCCTAAACCTGAATTTTAATTTCATTTGTTAATTCATGAAATTAGATTTATAAAAGACTTAAACTATTCTTGCTTAGTCTAAAACATTCATGGAGATCTTTTAATGTCCTGGAATACTTTGTGTGATTAAAATATAATAAAATATTGATTATATTATAAGCTCAAATTCTTACTAAAATATGTATGACTAAAAACGGGTTATTACCAAAGGGTAAACCTAATTATTGTCATAATAAAAGTCATAATCATCTGGCTCTTCCGGTATTTGAGGAGGATCTTGTGGTATATCAATACCTTCGGCATCGAGGAGTCTCACCTTAATATCCATAGATAATAAAGTCTCCAAGTCATTTTCAAAAGATCTACTTGACATTTTCTCCTTAAGCAACGCATTAATTCCATCCGTCCAATAGTCAAATATTTGTTCATCAGGTGCTACAAAATCTAAAGTTTCCTCAGCTGACTTAAGTATTAAAGAGAATGCCAAATGAGGAGTGACCTTCCTACCCCTTAGATCCTTCATGTGTGGACAATCTTTACCTGTTACTACACACTTAATGTCAGACACAGCTAGCTTATTGCCAAGTTCTTCTAAACTAGGAGTGCTCTTCTCATCGCAGTCACCATAGTGCAACACTTTATGGTTTGGTGAAAGTCGGACAAACCAAAACTTGTCCTTTATTCTTTGTCCTCTTGAAGAATATTTCTTGAACCTTGTACCGCCAACTAGGACACCTAATCGTTGCTGCTGTATCAATTCTATAATCTCAGGTGTGATTTTTTCTTTCAACTCCACTATGGGCCTTGCATGGGACTCCCATACCTCCCTATTAGTGCGCTCCTGCTGCCAAATTTGGGTGATTTCGGCATATGTCAGTTGGTTTATTCTTTGGCGGAATTTGTCAAAACCTTTAGGTGATGCAGACAGGGCCCTATTGATTTGTTCCCTTACCACACTCAAAACTTTCATAAAGTCCTCTGATGTTGCCCGCATCTCTTTCCATGTTTTGTTTAGGAGTGCAATACAGATGCAAAACAGTTCTTCAAATGGATGATCATGTGTGAAAAAGAGTGGATGGTAAGTTTGACCTTGCTCGCTAGGAGGTTCACCAATGTGTAAGATGTCACACAATAGCTTTACTAGCTCTATGCTTGTTTTTCCAAATGGACATTCATGCTCCACTGCTCTGCTGTTCTCCAGTACAATTTTACGATAATCCTCTGAATAGTTTCTTGCAAAATAAAGCATACACTCCAATGCTAAGATGCCTGGTGGTACCTCGTTGAAATCTTTTATTGGATCAATCTCACATTTGAAGCCAAGTTTTTTATAATCTTTCATTGAATTATTTAACTGGTGTCTTGTGGTTACTTCAAGTGAGTTATTGTCATTGTCAAATGCAATTTTTCTTAGCTCTTTGATCTTTTCTTGGGATTCCTGTTCCTGAGACTCTGCCCTTTGCCTCATTTTGGGCTCTAGAAGGCCTAAAGTCAATGTTTGCAAGACATACAATTGATGTGCCAATTCTGTGCCCAAAGCTTCTTTTGTAACGTTTTTTGAGAATTCACAAGCTCCAATAAGATTTTCATAGATAACATTTCTAACTTGCTTTGACGACAATGTTGCTGCAATAGCTTTTCTTTTGTTGGCATCTGCTTTAGAAAATATTGCATTGATAAGTGCGATAGCATTCTGCTGTATAATGCTATCCTGATAAGGATTTTGAAGGTGTGATATCAGGCTTGGGATTGTTATTTCCTTTTCCACGTGCAAGTTTTTTCCAGAACTATTCAGAACTATATTTTCCAGTATTGATAAACATGACTGTATTATTTTTGGATCTTGTGTATTTGTCTGATTGCTGACAAAGCTAGCTACTTTATTTATGAACTGGTTCTCAAGTATATCCCACGATATATTTCCATGGTCCATCAACTCAACAAATGTAATCAGGGCAAACTTTAAAGAGTTACCTTTAAACTTTCCGCTTTCTATATTGTGAATGATGAGAGATAAACCTTTTTTATTGATAAATTCTAGTGCAAATGTCAGGTCACTACTTAATGTGGACAATTTTGACAGTGCTGCAGTTTGATCGTTTTCATTACCAGAATTAATTTTGGCGAGTATATCTTGGACTGTCTTCGCTGGGGACTGCTCTAGTCGCAGCACTGAACCGTTCTTAATCTCATTCCGATTTTTCTCCGTGATATAGTTTTGATTATTGCTTTCCGAAAACTGTAGGGCGTAGTTATCAGGATCAGGCAGACCCCATGGCTTGCACAGCAGTTGTATAATGCTCGATAAAGGTTGACTTTGGTCAAATTCGATTAGCTGGGGCACCTTGTCCGGTGCATTTAACATTTCAACAGCAATCTTTAGAATAGTCGAGTCCTTCGTTGCCGACGGCATCTTTATTGGCTTTGCAGACATTTATTCACCATTTGACAAGAACTTCCTGTACACGAACACCGCCACGGAATATTTTATGGTAGGTAACAAACAGAGAACGCCAATAAAGGAAGGATTTTGACATCAATGCGATGACAATAGATCATTCTATTTGACATTGACAATATTAAGTAAAGTTCTGAAATTAAGAATATTATTATTTTTGATATATTTAGTTTGAAGTTCTTTTCCATTTTCTTTGTTCTTCCTAACAAACTCCTTCATAAAAACTAGCATGCAAAAAGGTTATCTGAACGCATTTCCAAAGCTGATAGGTCTTGTCTTTTCTTATCCTTTTATAAAGGTAAAGTATTGAACAGAAAGAGGCAACTAAAATAAGTCTTGTTCACCTGATGAGTAGCGATTACACTGGCCATGGATAGTTGCAGCACCAGAAGCTAGCTTACATTGCTGGATCATTAAAAAAGTTAAGACAACCCTGATTGGACTAATCGGAATATTTTTATTCCACCCAGCACCCATATCTGTATCTGTAGGTAAAATGTAAACTGGTTACACTGATCCTTATGAATAAGAGCATAAAAATACTTAGATTCTTATAGCGTTCCTGAGACTCCAAAAAATAAACACATCTTTCAGTCAGTTGTCCTTTCAAAACCTTTTATGTACTTTTTCATGTGAGAAGGTGGTAAGCGAGCTGATAAAGTGAGCCCCGGCTACCTCACTCACCAGATGAAAAATACAAGTATTCACTTCCACTTGACGCCGGTCTTCAGAGAGGTCGTGGTACCTACCTGGACGGACCGGGCCATTCGTGCAACAGCGAAGACTGTTGCGTGGCCATACCACAGTTCTGCGTCTATAGACACTATAGCGTTGCTTTACAAAGTCAGGCTTATTGTCTCAGCATAAAATAAATTGATTTTAGATATTTCTGAGAATCGTTTTGAGCGTGTTTTATTCAAAAACAAGAATTAACGAAAAGAAAGAATTTCTTTCCATTTACAAAGCAAGTGCATTTATTTTGTTCTGAAAGTTGTCAAAATTCAATGAACCGCTTAAAAGTTACAAGAAAGAAAGTTATATGTAATAATAATAGTGATATGGACGAAAATTTATTTGTCATCGAATTGAGGTCCCTATTACAAACATTGTTATCGTGATCATTTAAGATTGCCAATAAATTTTACAAATCCATCAAGTTAACCTTCAAATAAATCTCAAAATACTTCTTTTACGGCGTCTAATCTCAAAATACATCCTTTACGGCGTCTATATACACAGTCAGATGAAATTACAGATTACCTAGTTTTCAACATATTCTTTTGAATGCGTTTTTTTAACAGCGGATTTCTGTACAGCATGCTAACAAATATAGCATACAGTGATTGTGAATTATTGTACAGTGAAAGCACTACTTATTTTTAGTAAAAACGTGCTATTTTATTTTCCGACTGATAAATCATAATCTTCATTAGTATTTATGGGCAAAATATTAGAAATAGGAAAGGAACTGGGATATAAACGATTTCCTCAAAATATTGGTTTCGAAGTTAATTTGATGAAAATTTGCATTTATTGACGGTTACAGTGCAAGCATTTCTTTAGAAAAATCTTATCAACCATAGTTGCTGCCCATTGATTTTTCTTATGTGGCTATTAAGTTTCAAAGGTAGGTATTGCAAATTGTCGAACAAGGTTATTCGGTTGCAAAAAATGAAGATTTTTCATACTCAAAATTTTGCATACTTACCTCTAGCGCCCGCTGTACATGATTTGCTTCCTTGAAATTTACAACCCGTTCAAACAACAGCAAAAACTGCTCCATACTTTATTCAATTTAATGTATAATACGTCATACCATTATTATAAAGGACAAACGAGTAAATTTCTTGGCATTGATGAATGCAATAATCTGCTTGAAGGAGCGCATCAGTGCAATTCGCGCTCGTCACCCACTTCAAGTAATCAATATTAAATGTTATAATTATAATGGCGATATATGATACATTAATATACTCTTAAGATCTAAGGTCTAATCTATCAGGCAGTAAATTGGGACAGCAACTAGATACCTTTTAATTTATTAGCTTGTTCTAGATAGTTTCTTTGTTTTCAATTAATCTAAAAGCAGGTCTTAGTATCGCATCTAAGTTTTACGGAATATCACGTTCATCTAATATTCAGTCGTTGTATAAATATTTTTTAGATTACTAATAAATATTTAAAATTATCTTCTTTTTGCTTCTATTTTTATACGTACCTAATTTATTCAAAATTTATTGATTCGATTTTAAGAACTTTTTGGTTTTTACACGCAATGAAATTGTTGAAGTACTTTATTTTCTTCGCTATAATAGAAGGGTTTCTGAGTTTCCGTTGCGATAGAAGGCCGTATGGGACAACAACTAAACCTTCAGCAGCCGATGGAAGGTTTAAATTAACTGTTATTGGCGCTGAAGACACTTACATGCCTGAACAGCTGTATACAGGTAATTATTTAAATAAGTTCACCAGCGCGCGTGCCAAAATTCTTGACGCTTACCATAGATATTGTTAAGTTAAAGAGGTTCCAAAAAGTTTTTAATGTAATCTTTTCAGTGCAAATATCGGCTACTGACGGCCACTCCAGATTTACCGGCTTCATCATATCGGCAGACGGAGCTACCAAACCCGATCCCAGGAACCCAAGACGGACAATTACACTTTTCCCAGGCCATCTTCGGCCCCAACAATTACTTACCGCCAAATTTAGCGACCGTTGCTTATACTCCGTGGAGCACGCTATTGCGTCGCCGAAAACAGTCGTAGAGGTAAGGGTTTTTGTTATATTTTGGAATAATATTATGATCACAATAGTAATTATAACAGTGACTTGACAATCACCTTAAATATTTAACTATACTAAGAATTGTCTATAAATTAAAACCAAAAAAGGAATCTGGTTCATTATTTTGTTATTTACAGTGGGTTTCAATATTCGATCTACAGATAGATTCGGTTACTGGAGATCGAATTTTGACGTAACTATTCTGGAGCTAATGTCAAATACCTATCGCTAGTAACAAAATCTATATGTAGATAGAATATTGAAACTGATCGTTAAACATTTTAGATTTCAATACATTAAGGTAAACTATATAACATTTTAGAGATAAATTCAATAAATTTTCTGAAGTGAGGTATCTGTGCATCTCCAGATGCAACAAACTTTTTTTACTTCCCAACTGGCCCAAATACTTGTGTGCCCATGCCCCGGTATGACCTAAGATGGCATCGGGAATCACTCTTAAATTTGCAGTCTGCGACCTGATACGAACTAAAGACTCCCGGGTGCTTCTCATCGCTCCCAACTACCTTTTAATACAGTCGACAGTCATGAAGAGTGGTCCGTACACCCTTCTTCGACGACCACGCGTACAGTGCACGCATATCTACATGCGAGTACTTATTAGTTTAGGGTCAATCCAACTCGTGTAAACCAGCTTTTCCACGGGTTCGATGTCAGATGAAGCTTTATATAGTCTACGGACTGAAAGCGTAATTTCCAATATTAGATGCAAGATTGAAGACTTATTCATAGAAATAAATTTGTAAGTTTTGGGGGCGTGAAGTTCATATTTTGTTACGGGGGCACAGAAAGCTGTGAACCGAGGGTTTATACCAAATCAAATCAAATATTCATCGAAATAAGAAATATACTTTTCATCTATCGCTAGTCATTTTTTTAATCTACCACCGTTTCGTAATGAGGTTCTTCTAACGGAGAAGATACGGGCGAAAGAAACTCCGTAGATATCCTCTTTTTTGTATTTTTTTTTCTCAAACAAAAATACATTGTTATGCAGTAATTTTTTTAAAATTAAAAAAAAAATTAAATTAGAAACAGCATATTTCAAAACATTCCTTATTGGACAGGTTTATTGGCAAGCCCCGGAGTCAGGTAACGGTTGCGTGACGCTGCGCGCAATGGTGGTGGAAAGCGAAGAGGTGTGGTACGAGGACGGCCCGCCCTTGGTTCACCAGCTTTGCGAAGACACGAGGCAGCCGGATGACGCCACGCCACAGTTCAACTACGACTGCCAGATCTGCGACGAAGCTAAATACGAGGTATGACTGGTGGCTCAAACACATTACCTTTGAGAAATAATATAGAGATTTTTCTACTCATTTTAATACACGATTACTCCGTGGCACGGTTGCCAAGGTATTGGCTTCGGCGTCGGGGGTCGTGGTTTCGATTCCCACACGGGACAACTATTTGTGTGACCCACATATAGTTGTTTCGCATCTGGGTGTTTGTCCACGTGAAATGTATGTTTGTAAAACGTCCTTACAACACAGGATAATGTTATCGGTAAAAGGTAAGGGCAATGTTTAAAATAAACGTTTCATCTTACGTGCAGAGATTAGCACTAAAAAATTAAATTTCAAATGGTAATAGCGACATCTCTCGTTCGAAATAACGTTAAAGCGGGCGCGAATCCCGAAGACGTGGATTCGATTCCCATAGGGGCGTTTCTTACTTTTTTCTACACATTTAAATATTTCATCTAAAGGGCAGGGATTAACACTATAACAAATTAAATATATAGAGATATTTATGTGTATATTGGAGCGGGGGACTATTGGTCTATTTATTTGATACACCGTGTTGTCTACGCAGCAGGGTTGAGTTCGCTCATATTAAGTTTGTGACGGAGACAGAGTTGATATTCTCACAGATCGGCTTCACCGGCATCTGGTCTCGGAACACCCACCCGCGTCTCTACCCGGAGAAGGACTGGGAGCCGAGGTACAGCGACCTGGTCGGCGCGTCGCACGCCCTCGACCACATCCTGTGGATACCTGGTTCCTTGGCCTCCGAGGGGCTCAGGCAGCTCGCCGAGCACGCGAACACGAGCAGGCTAGAGGCGGAGATCCGGGCGAAGGTAAGGAACGAGGTTTTATTGAATTGTTTGACAGGCTTTGCCTAGTGTGGTGCGAATGGACAATGGCAATTGTAGTTCTGTTTATGTCAATAAACGTAATTTCTTTTTTTTTTTTAATTTTTAAAGACATCACGGATTGAAAGCTTAATTTCTGTTAGTACAATACAAGGATTACTTACTGTGTATGATGACTTGGTGGCGCAGTTGCCATGGTATTGGCTGCATGGTATAGGTTCGATTCCCATACGAGCCAACTATTTGTGTGACCCATAGATAATTGTTTCGGATCTGGGCGTTGGTCCGTGTGCAATTAATGTATGTAAAACGTCCATACAACTCAGGATAATGTATCATACAGTAAGGAGGCAATTTTTTCAAAGGGAAGCCTACAAGACATCTTTGTAGGGTGCAGTGGTCGTAGACCCAATCTTATTACCCAACCGCCTCCACACAAAATACAATACAATACAACTATGTGTAATCCAATACGAATATTACGGAGACCAATCTGAATAGATTTCAACGAAAAATTGAGTAGAGAAAGCGTTACGTTGGATTAATATAATGTGTATATACCTTTTAACAAGTAGATTAAATATATTTATTTCGATAAGGATCACTTGCTCGAAGCTGTGGGGTTTTCTCTGTAAATTGGCTTTGGCTTCAACCAGATCGGAGACGGAGTCAGGACCATGGTGAAGGGAAAGGGCCACGGCTACCCGAAGATGAACAGCCCAACATACTCTTTCGTGCGCACGGATAAAACCAACCACTTGGTCAGCGTGGCGGTCGGTCTGCACCCGTCCCCTGATTGGTTCCTGGGCGTAACCAGGTTCGAACTCTGCCAGGAGGACAACACTTGGCTGCCGGAGAGGGAGCTGAATTTGTACCCGTGGGACGCTGGAACCGACAGCGGTGTGTCATATGAGGTATGGCAACATTGTCTTTCTTCCCACGCGCTTACATAATGTTGATCTTTTCTGCCTGAGAGGGAACTGAATTTGCACTCGTGGGTCGCTGGAACTGACAGCGATGTATCATATGAGGTATGGCAACATTGTCTTTCTTCTCACGCGCTTACATAATGTTCAACTTTTCTGCCTGAGAGGGAACTGAATTTGCACTCGTGGGTCGCTGGAACTGACAGCGATGTATCATATGAGGTATGGCAACATTGTCTTTCTTCTCACGCGCTTACATAATGTTGATCTTTTCTGCCTGAGAGGGAACTGAATTTGCACTCGTGGGTCGCTGGAACTGACAGCGATGTATCATATGAGGTATGGCAACATTGTCTTTCTTCTCACGCGCTTACATAATGTTCAACTTTTCTGCCTGAGAGGGAACTGAATTTGCACTCGTGGGTCGCTGGAACTGACAGCGATGTATCATATGAGGTATGGCAACATTGTCTTTCTTCTCACGCGCTTACATAATGTTGATCTTTTCTGCCTGAGAGGAACTGAATTTGCACTCGTGGGTCGCTGGAACTGACAGCGATGTATCATATGAGTTATGGCAACATTGTCTTTCTTCTCACGCGCTTACATAATGTTCAACTTTTCTGCCTGAGAGGGAACTGAATTTGCACTCGTGGGTCGCTGGAACTGACAGCGATGTATCATATGAGGTATGGCAACATTGTCTTTCTTCTCACGCGCTTACATAATGTTGAATCTTTTCTGCCTGAGAGGGAACTGAATTTGCACTCGTGGGTCGCTGGAACTGACAGCGATGTATCATATGAGGTATGGCAACATTGTCTTTCTTCTCACGCGCTTACATAATGTTCAACTTTTCTGCCTGAGAGGGAACTGAATTTGCACTCGTGGGTCGCTGGAACCGACAGCGATGTATCATATGAGGTATGGCAACATTGTCTTTCTTCTCACGCGCTTACATAATGTTGATCTTTTCTGCCTGAGAGGGAACTGAATTTGCACTCGTGGGTCGCTGGAACTGACAGCGATGTATCATATGAGGTATGGCAACATTGTCTTTCTTCTTACGCGCTTACATAATGTTGAACTTTTCTGCCTGAGAGTGAACTGAATTTGCACCCGTGGGTCGCTGGAACCGACAGCGGTGTGTCATATGAGGTATGGCAACATTGTCTTTCTTCCCACGCGCTTACATAATGTTGATCTTTTCTGCCTGAGAGTGAACTGAATTTGCACCCGTGGGTCGCTGGAACCGACAGCGGTGTGTCATATGAGGTATGGCAACATTGTCTTTCTTCCCAGGCGCTTACATAATGTTGAACTTTTCTGCCTGAGAGTGACCTGAATTTGCACCCGTGGGTCGCTGGAACCGACAGCGGTGTGTCATATGAGGTATGGCAACATTGTCTTTCTTCTCACGCGCTTACATAATGTTCAACTTTTCTGCCTGAGAGGGAACTGAATTTGCACTCGTGGGTCGCTGGAACTGACAGCGATGTATCATATGAGGTATGGCAGCATTATTGTCTTTCTTGTCACGCGCTTACATAATGTTGAACTTTTCCAAATTGTTCCAACTACAAATGTGTTTTTTCAGGTACGTGTAGAAAAAAACTAAAATAACTTAGCTATAGCTTACATATGTCCCAACTGCTGGGTATAAGCCTCCTCTTTTATAGGATATTATGCCGTGGTAGACACGTGACCCCAGTGTGGTGTACTTCACATGTCTTCGAAATATTTATTTCATTTAATATTTCGAAAATATGCAGGTCTCCTCACGATGTGTTCCTACATCGCTCTGCCCGTGATAAGCCAGCACTAAAAATTACAATTGACAACTTTGTTGGTGCCGGCACGGAGTACGAAATCGGGTTGCTCGAGTCTATTAAATTAGAAGCGAGCGCCCGGACACTGAGATATCACGGCTAATAGAAATCATTATGTAAAGATGAATTGTTACATTGAATGATTTATTTACCTAAATATGGTACATACATTTACATATGGTAGGATAACGAAACAGTGTTTGCTGTTGCGTGGTCCTACCATACAGATGGGTAGGTCCGTCCGGGTAAGTGCCATGACCTCACAGAAGACCGGCGTGAAGTAGAAGTGTTACATTTCTATATTTCGTCTAGTGAGTAAGGTGAATATACTTTATTAAAAGGTGACAACGCATCTGCAACCCTACGTGTTTTGCAAATGTCCGTGGGCGGCGATTATCACTTAACATCAGGTGAACCTCCAGCTGTCACACTAAAAAAAACCTAATATATCTTCTCCGTCTTTTTTTTATGCGAAAAGTTGTCAAACGAGCAGACGGTTCACCTGATGTGAAGTGAATACCGCCGCCCATGGACATCTGCCACACCCGCGTGTTGCAGATGCGTTGACAACCTTTTGAAAATTGGGCTCCGGCTACCTCACTCACCAGACGAAACGCGAAAGTATTTGTCATACTTCCACTTTAAGCTAGTCTTCTGTGTGGTCGTGGTACTTACCCGGACGGGCCTGCCCATTCGTGCACCAGCCGAGGCTGCTGCGTGGCCCTACCACCGTTAAACATCCCCGAAACAAACGCGCTAGCAAAGTACCTATATTGTTCTATGTTATTATATACTTTGAACCACACGAGGTATTCTCCATAGTTTCATAATATCAAAACTTTTCGCTTTTAACTTAATGTTTTAAAAACATTCACAGTCAATGAACATCGAGACATTCCCCCAAGATGCCATATCGCGCGTCCAAATGAGCTCCTACGACAAGGACTCACCTTTCTACGAGACGGACATAAAAGACCTCCATCCATTCGGACGGCTAAGAATTAAACTGGTCAGAACTTACAAGAAGGAGTGTGTGAAAGAGGAGGTCACCGAAGAGGCAAATACTACGGGTGAGCACTTCCATTTTGGCAACTAATAATAAAGGCCTTTGATTATATACTGGTTGTTTACAACGGTAAAATAACTATTACCTATATAATTAAAGTCATTGCTGCACGTAAAACGAAAATCCAACTGCAAGATCCCAAGAAGGACCTAATTTTAAAAAGGACTAAATTTACTGGCGAGTACGTCTCATGTTAAATTATTGTCTCACATTTGTTCCCGATAAACTAGAAAAAGTTTTTTATACCTACGGGATTCTTGAAAAGTCAGCCGTAAAATAAGCTTGGTTTTCGTTAGGTCGTGTTTTTTAAAATATAATGGAATCAAGATTACAAACGCTTCAATAAATAATTTTGAAATTGCGTTTGATAGTTGCTTTATTTTCATTTATTTATATTTGTATGGTTTGTATTTATTTGTATACATTATAAACTAAATATCAAAAGTAAATGTTCTAAGACAGAGGAACAGGGATAACAGCCAAAAGATATGGAGCAAAAAAGTTCAGACGTTAATCAGAAAGGACTACTAAAATTTAAATATGTATGTAATCGAGGTCTAAGATCTTTGAAATACTTTCCTCTTCACACTGCCTACTGTTATTTGTGTACCGATTTTTATGACATATTATTTGAAATTAATAATATTAAAAATGTATAAGTACAGTCGTAGAATTCTGAAACTTTCGATAGGACTAAATTTGTGAACTGCAGCTCGAGTTTTTTTTCTACGAAAAACTTGAAAAGGTCAAATTTAAATTAAAAATTTGCCAGACATCGACTGAACTTTTTGTAAATTTAGATTGTTTATTAGAAGAAGTGTAGTCCTTTTTTTCGGCCGCTAGGAATTAAAATATTCAATATAATAAGAAGCCTTTCCCGATAATAATCAAGCTGAATTACTTTGATAGATGACCTTGCCATCATTGGTTTCAGGAAAAGCAATGACCAAAAACACAAAATCCCGTTTTTAACTTTAACAAGACGGTTCATCATCATCATCATTTCAGTATCATGAAGCACAATCCTGAGCCATCTACAACCAAAGACTTCCCGTACACTTGTACAGGTCATCACCATCTAGTGGGGGCCGTGCAACAACAGTACGGTTGACACAAAGAAATCCGGCCATTGATAAAGTAAATTCTTCGACAGAGGAGGAAGTGACGTCGACGACGGAAGTGACGACGACGGAAACCGAGCCCACGGGGGAGGAGAGCCCGTCGGAGCCCGACGAGCCCTCCAGGTATCGATACCCAGAGCTAGGTGGCGGCGAGGAGGGGCGGTGAGGACCACCTGTTAAATCGTACACTCATCCTTGCACCACCTCGTCTCATTCGTCAGTAACGAACCATTTGTTCGGCGTCTCATCACAAATTCTATCGCTTTTTAGATAGCAAAGTTAAATAACGTGCTTAAGAACAACGTTGTCTTACTAAAGATGACGCATGTCCATACTGCACGCCGTTTAATAATTTTTCCGCTTTACATTACATGACTTATATCAGTGAATGTGACAGATGATATAGAACGTGTGATACGGAAAGAGATAGTAGTCTGTAGAATTGCAATCTAATTATACCTATAGGTGTAATTTTGGTGCGCTAGTTGACACTAGGAGGTAGATATACTATCTACCTCGTATTTTTAATATATCATTGCTTAAGAACCTTGGGAACGCTTGGTATGAGACCGCAGAACATCAATAGTTGGATTTATATTTGAATTTTTATTCAAATTCCAAACTTAGCATGGAATGTATTCTTGGCATCCTTACAACATTGTCCATCATTGTCTATTGGTTCAATATGAATTGAAATAATATGTTTTTTAGGGAAATTTCTGATGAAAACTAAGTTCCTTTCAACGGAATATATTTTTCTGAACCATAAATCTTACATTGTTAAAGTAGTATCCAAATAACAAAAGCTTTTTTTCTAATCACTCATGACATCATCATACTTACAAATATAAAAGTAAAATTTACTAAATAGCTTGCCAAATATTGCGGTAAAACTAAATAAATAATACAAACAATATTTTTACAGTTGTAATTTAACTATGTTTTATTACAAGGGGACCGTGGTATCTCCGTTTTAGGGCTCTCAATTTTAATTCAATATACTTGAGCAACCTGATTGAAAATCCCAACACCGAACGTGTTTACAATTACCAGTAAAATTGTTTACCAAGTTCTCGACAGTGAAAGATCTTTCTAAATTATTTAAAAAAACGATGACATGTAAGTCTAGCAATCACCAGTAGAGTTGCATGCTGGACTATGCTCTAAAATGGTATGTTTTGCGGAAGCCTTTGCCCAACAATAGGTCGTATTATACACAGGGAGGCTTTTTAAAGTGTATCCATTTTTATTTATTAAATTCTTGACTTACACAATGTAATATAAAAAATGATAAATATTTAAAATCACTCGTAATTAATTAAATACATTCTTTTGAACTTATTTTATTTTTTATTTAATCTTTATTGCACAGAAAATTGTACAAAGGCGAGGTTAATGCTATATTGCTTTCTCTACCAGCTAACCCTAGGTAGAACAGAAACAAAATGTCAAGGGCAGTAAAGTAGTTATAAACGATATGTTATTAAAGTAGTTATAAAGTAAAGATACTTAAATATTCATATCACATGTACCAAACCTAAATATATATATATATATATATACAGCGTGTCGTTACCATCGCGACAATAAATGAACACGCATATAGGGGATAACTTTTTAAAGTTGTATTAAACATTTAAATTCTTTAAACATCAATATTTACAGAGTTATTAAATTTTCCATAACAAAGAATTTTAGAACACCCTTACCTATAAAAGCGTAACGTAAAGTTCATTTGTAAAGGTCACAAAGCATTTGAATGGGTTGAATGAATTTAAAAGAGACAAAACATACTGTTAGAAGGAGAGGCTTGTAATACAACGCTGTGATGCGAGTTGTATAGGATGTTACAAATTTTGTTTAATTTTTACTTAATTAGTTTGTTTGAAAACAATTTTTTTTAATTATGGATTTCGTTTAACGTTAATATCTTTTTATGATTATTGGTAAGTAGCGTTAGACGTGTGTTCATTTATTGTCGCGATGGTAAAGACACGCTGTATATAGGACAATGTAGTGCCCTGGTAAACACCCGTAAGCAGGCAGTTGAGCAGTCCTCCACCCGCACAGCAGGGCTGTATCAAAGAGTTATTAGATGATTAGTAATAAACTTCCGAGTCTTGCATAGCAGCGAGGCGCCAATAGTGACGGACCCTGAGTCCCCGGAGGAGTGCCCGATGTCCCAGTGGCAGGAGTGGAGCGAGTGCGAGGGCGAGTGCACTGGCGGCCGGGTGGTCGGCTACAGGTGGAGGGAGCGCTACCACTTGGTGGACGGGATCGCCGTCGAGAAGTACGACCCGCATGTAAGTCAAAATCAAAATCAAATCAAAAATATATTTATTCAAATAGACGCTTGCGCGCTCTTATGAATCGTCAAATTTTACATCAAAGATTATGTGTATAGGTTCGTAAGGTACCACCGGTTCGGAAAGCGGTTTCTGTTGAGAAGAGACCGGCAAGAAACTCAACAGTTGCTCTTTTTCAAAAATATCAGGGTACAATATAATATACAGGTATAATAGTCTTATTCTAGCCTACGTGAGTATCAACAGTATTAACTCCACACATTGGCGTCGTCGAGATATTCCGAAATGGTATAATATGCTTTAATCATCAGTTGATTTTTAATTTTACATTTAAATTGGTCAAGCGGCAGACTTAATATCGACTGTGGAATTTTATTATACATGCGCACACTTTGCCCCATGAACGACTTATTTACTTTTTGTAGACGAAACAATGGCGTAGTAAGTTTGTCCTTATTTCTAGTGTTTATTTTATGTCTGTCACTATTGGTAATAATTAAGGTTATGACGTATATACAAAACATTACAATAAATGTATTGACAAGCAACAGTGAGTATATTAACCTCTTTGAAAAGATCTCTGAGTGAATTCCGGGCTCCGATATTGTAGATTGCTCGGACAGCTCTTTTTTGAAGAATAAATATAGAATTTATATCTGATGCACTACCCCACAACAAAATGCCGTAAGACAAGATGCTGTGAAAATAACTAAAGTAAACAAGTCTGGCAGTGTCGATGTCAGTGTGTCGAAGTTGCTTTAAGACCTTTTTTTTGTATCGGGGGGATATCTTCGAAAGATACCCTGTCACCTTACATGACACGGACTTACATAGTTCTAAAACTAAAACCCCCTCAGTGGTCTCCTTCTGTACATTTGGAAGGACTCCGGGATCTCCCATGGAACGCACCGGTGTCCCTCGGTACTACGCCTGAGCACGCCTCGGAGAAGGATAAACCTTCTCCGATCCCCTCACCCTCTTGCAGCAGCACGAGACCACTTCGTGCTTGCGAGTATTCGACGACATGACCAATCAACGACAACGCTTCTTTAATAGTGAAACACAGAGCATCAGTAAAGTAACAACAGACTATAAATAATGTAAACTGACCACTTATAACAGGCAATGCATTTGCAACCCGTCAGATACATGAGGTATTTATTGAAATTGTGCCATTTTAATGCCAAGCACTGAGTCAGTATTCTTAATAAAGTTTCAATAAGTCTGCAAAATATGTGTCAAAAACAAACAATAAATTGCTTAGTTGTAGACGTAAAACATATCATCAATCAATTTTCGTTGGGTGTGGCAATCAGCCCTTTAGCTTCGCGTCTGAGTTTTCCGTAAGACGTGCGTTCGATTCCCGCAGTGGTGAAAATCTTTGCGCCCATTTCTTTCTGCAAATAAGATTTAAGTTATGATCAATATCTTATCCTTTAAACGAGCAATTCTTGTATATATATATATATATATATATATATATAATCGGAATCTCGGAAACGGCTCCAGCGAATTTCATGAAATTTAGTATGTGCGTAGATTCGGGGGCGAAAAATCGATCTAGCTAGGTTTCATTTTTAGAAAATGTCCTTTTATCCCTGTTTTCAGGGAATGAAAAATATAATTCGAATATGACGGTAAATTTCGCCGCAAGAGAAAATGTCATAATAGCTCGGTCGGTAATCGGGCGGCCCCAAAACAGACGTTCGTGGTTCGCGTCACGATCATTTATACATTTATTTTTTTACTTTTTTTTCGATTCCAGGTCATTGCTTTCTTTATTTTTAATTTTTTGTCGATTTGTTATTTTGTAATTTTTTTCCCTTTTTTTTTAAGTTCTTTCTTTTGTGAAAAACATCAGTTCGTATTTTCTTATTATTACGTCAGTAAGATCGAAAAATATTATGCATATTTCATTACTCAGTTATTTGTATCTAAATGTAATTTCCAAAATACACGATTTACCAAAAAAAAAAAAAAAAAAAACAAACCGAGCAAAGCTCGGTCCTCCGGGTACTAAGATTTAAGTAAGATATCAAGTTACAATTTTAGTTTTGGAGTGGAACCAACCCTCTTCGTTAGAACCTGTGTCTGATCCGTTAGATCCGTTAGGTATACATATTTGTTTGTTTACCAAAACATCTACTTCCAATAATAAAACACCTTCACAACAAATAATATAACACCTTCCGATATATTCCTTTACTTCAACAGGCGAAGCATACGTCTACGAAGGAGGTGCCCAAATACTGCAAGCTACACTACGACACTTTCGAGAGAGAGGAGTGCGAGGACAAATGCTCTGATGATTACTCTAATGAAGATCTTACAGGTAGGTGGGTTGACGACGCCCTTGTAACCTTTAACACGTTTTGACCTTGTCATGACAGATGCTTGCGCTTTCAGTCCGTAGACTATATAAACCTTAATGAGGCCAAGATCTCATCGAAAGACTACACTTCAAGAGCTTGATAGACCCTACCTAAGCAGTGAAGTGTTATGTTAGCTCTATAAACCTGGGATGTATGGGAGTTTAAGGGCGTTCTAATGCTTATTAAAAATTTATTGAAGTCTCCGTCCCGTCTTTACAAATACGTGTCCCTCAGAAAAGAACGATGTGTTTATTTAAAATTACGCGTTACATCTTACAAGTGAGGTTAACTGTGGCACATCATTTTAAAAGTTGGCTTTGCACCTGTAATTCTTTGGGGATATCCATAGACTGTGGTAATTCATAAAGGTTGATGATTTAATAAGGCTAAGGCATTTATAAGGTATACAGCGTGTCGTTACCATCGCGACAATAAATGAACATACATATAGGGGATAACTTTTTAAAGCTCTACTAAACATTTAAATTCTTTAAAGATCAATATTTACCGAGTTATTAAATTTTCCAAAAAGAATTTTAGAACACCCTTACCTATAAAAGGGTAACGTAAAGTTCATTTGTAAAGGTCACAAAGCATATGAATGGGTTGAATGAATTTAAAAGAGACAAAACATACTGTTAGAAGGAGAGGCTTGTTGATACGACGCTGTGGAGCGAGTTGTATAGGATGTTACAAATTTTGTTTCTGTTTTACTTAATTAGTTTGTTTGAAAAATATTTTTTTTAATTATGGATTTTGTTTAACGTTAATATTTTTTATGATTATTGGCAAGTAGCGTTAGACGTGTGTTCATTTATTGTCGCGAGGGTAACGACACGCTGTATAAAAAACGATAACGGCATAAATCGTCCTCGTCTTTATTCCCCATTCGCATTGATATATATGTATATAATTATCTTTGAGAAATGAACGGGCTTCAAATTTTCTATTAAGGGTTTTAAGACCTTTGTGAAACAATTCACATTTTTGGATTTGACTTGAGATCGGATTTGTTATCTATTTATTACATCTTACTTTCAGTTGAACGACAAGTGTCGGAACCAATCGCCCCTGGTTACCCTTGGCAGTCCAAGAAGAGGCACGCTTCGAAATTTTAAAAAATACATTTCAATTTATAAGCATGCGTATTTCTAGTATTAACAATTCAAATAGTGTTTATTTAATGTCCAAGTATGTTACGATACACATATTTCCTAAGTAAGTGTAAATAGTATTTAAAATTGGTATAACTGCTGCAGTATAAACAAATTTTGTGTAATATTTATAGGAGTGAACTTCTATAATTGTTTGTTTTTAATAATAAAGGTATATTGTATAAACTACGGAGTTGTTAATGATCCCCCTATGTACGTAGCATCGATAGTTCTTCTAATCTGAACGGATTAACCTAACCTAACTTTTTCCCTAATAAGAGCAACGAAGGGCATTTTTACATAACTTGATCGCCTGATTCGCTTCCAAACACTGCCTTAACAACAACATTAAAACACTGTCTGATTAATGATATTCTCGTAAACCACAAATAAAGATAAGTCGATCCGATTGGCCTAATGGGTAGTGATACTGCCTCTTGCGCCAGAGAGTGTGTGTTCGATCCGCATATCTTCATAATTGTTGTTAGAATCAATAACACTTGCATTACACAGTATTTTTTTAAGATGCTGTTTATCCACCCAGCGTTCTTAATTATTAATTGCTACGTTTTTCAGAAATATTTTTTTAACAATCACTTTGAATACCCCATCAATTGTTACCTGACTATACATTTTCTAGTCCAATGGATTGGCTCTGGACTCCGGAGGTACGAGGTAGGTATATCAGGGAATTCCTCAAAAACAAAAACAAATAATAATAATAATAATAATAATAATATAATATCAAATCCCCCCAATATAATAATAATAATATTTTTATTTATTATTTATAAACCCAACCAGACGAGAAAACAAATGAATATCCCCCCATAATAATAATAATAATAATAATAAAGCTTTATTTAAACAAATAGTAGAAAACAAAAACATCGTTTACACAGTAAGTACGTTTATAAATCGTGTTCACATTTGCATACCGAACCCTGCACTAGGTAGCAACCTGTCTCGCAGGGATCAAATTGTCGATTAGCTAATTAGGATTATAACATTAGTTTCACATCATTATTTAATTAATTAAAAGTTGGAAGAAGTATGTGTTTTTTTTATATATTTAGAATATAGGTGTATTATTATGTATATAAGTGTATTATTATGTATAATATATTGATATTGTTTTGTTAGTGTGCGTGGTAGTCATTTTGCTGACCTAATTAAGTCTTCTGTCTGCTGGTAATCCAATTGTAATAAGTATTCGTCTAATTTTTTTTTACAGGCAAATAGGTTCAAATGGAATATGTCGAGTCTCTTGTGAAGTTCATTGTACAGATATGGTGACAGAAAGCAATAAAAGCGATGACAAAAAACGGTGTTGAATTTTACGTTAGGAAAAATATTTCGATATCTTCTTTTTGTTTTAATAATATAATAAATATATAATATAATAATAATAATAATAAAATATCTTTATTCACATAGACGCTTGCGCGTTCTTATGAAACGTCAAAATTTTACAAGAAATTAACACGTTTGTAAGTTACCACCGGTTCGGAAAGCAGTTTCTGTTGAGAAGAAACCGGCAAGAAACTCAACAGTTGCTCTTTTTTAAAAAAAGTCAGTTTACAATATAAATAGTACATGTACAATAGTCTTGTTTTAGCCTACGTGAGTATCAACAGTATTAACCCCACACATTGGCGTCGTCAAGATATTCAGCAATAGAATAATAGGCTTTAGCCATAAGTTTACTTTTAAATTCATCAAGTGGCAGACTTAATATCGACTGAGGGATTTTATTATACATGCGCACACCTTGCCCCATGAACGACCTGTTTACTTTTTGTAAACGAAACAATGGCGTAGTTAGTTTTTCCTTATTTCTAGTATTTAGTTTATGTCTGTCACTATTCTTTAGATAACTATTAATATTATTTTTAACATACATATTATTTTATAGAGTCTTGGGTCGTACTTAAAGCACCTGTGATATCTGAGGATGCAATGTAATATGAATAACTTTCGCACTGAGAGTAATTTGCAGTCAGAATACAATTGAAATTGTATTGTGAGTGTGATTTGAAGTCAGTTTTTTTTTTTTGAATTGATAGTTCTTTAGGCGCGTTGAGCACTTTTTGAGTGAGCAAAAATAATGGAACCCACATCATCCACCGAACGCTTTTCATGAGCTATTTTTAAAAAAGGAATACGCAGAAATATATTTGTAATTATGGATATGATATGAAATTCGGAGTGCCTACAAAATATGTAGAATCAAATATTATACAATTTTAATTTTAATATTTTTTATGCTTTCACTTCTGTCGGCAACCCTCATGAGACGGCCTATGTGTTTTTTTTTTTTTTTCAAAAAATGTTTTACACGTACAAAGCATACAAAAACTTGATGTTATCGATCGTCTACGATTTCGACTTACATTCCATTAGAGGCAAATGAGATAAGGTTAAAAGTTAAGGTGTTACATTCAACACCCGAAAGGATAGTAATGTGTGGGTGGCAATTTAAGCCGTGATGTAACATTTAAAGTTAATTATTAAAGCCGCCGCCCGGCGCTATGACAGTCAGTGGCCATTCGAAACGGAACAGAATGTCCTGTGACCCGCCGTAGAACAGTTGTGAGTGGAACTAGTTACATATATCTCAATGGGTGAGCGAATTTCTTTTTAATTCTCAAAATAATTGTTTGATTTAGACCTTAAATTAAAATTCGGTAAAAATCTGTTGTTTCACATACCTATTAACGTATTTATTTTTTTTAATCGATAATTAAACTAAAAATTAATCGATACAATTCTTAATAAATCCGAATTATAAAAATGAAGTAGTATTACACGGAAATAAAAATAACTCCCTAGATTCAAATAGTAATTTCTTGTCGCAATCCACAAATTAATAAATGTGAAAGAGCTCTATCGATGTTTGTTTATGAAGATTTCACAAACAATGCAGGTACTACAGGTCAAGCCGTTAGTTTGCGATCATGCCAATGCTGGGACATTATGTACACAAGAATTATGTTATGATATTGAATGTTTTTTTTTTATATTTTATTTTTAAAATTATTACAATTTATCTACACGGGAACAGTATTAACTTACCATTTGCCAGCGACGGTATTAGGAAGACATAATTCGTCTAGATATTGAATAACTAGGACGAATAACGTCTTCCTTTACGTTTTGTATTACAACAGCGACTTCACCGTCAAACTGCTGTTAAAACATAAACGTAATGTTGATGATAGATTGACATTAATCTTTGTTTACCGCGTCCAATAATTCTATAAAGTTATACTGCTGAGTAATAGTATAGAACAGAAGGCAAGTTTAGTTAGTTTAGACGTTCGAGGTTAAAAAGAAGAACAAGCGCTAATTACCTCACTCGAACCTCGCTGGTTACCTTACCCAGACGAAACGCGAAAGTAGAATTTGCAATTGCATTGTCAAGTTTTGATCGTGGGCCCCAGTTATCTCACTCACCAGACGAAATTTAAAAGTATTAACTACTTCCACCTCTTTTTAGGGCGCTAGTAGCCCTTTTTCGTTGTTTTTTTTTTTTCGATTTATGTCACTTGACGATATCTTCTATATTATAAAGAGAAAAGATTTGATTGTTTGTATGTATTGAAAAGGCTCCGAAACTACTGAACCGATTTGAAAAATTCTTTCATTGCTGGGAAGCTGCATTATCCCTGCTTGATATAGGCTATATTATATTTTCAAAAAAAATAGGGTTCGTTACTAAAACTTCAATAATGTAACCCAAAGTGTACAAAAATTACCAAAAATATTCTTTACATAGCGTGCGCTGCGAAAACTATTGATGATAGAATAAAATAATTTACTACGGCTTTGCAGAACACATCATTATTTACAAAAAGTGTCGCGACAGCATATGTCTAACTATTATGGTTATGCCACAATAAGTGTTATTTTATTTTAAAATTTTGATTGAAATGCCGCCGCTAGAAAAGGCTCTTTATTTGTATTAATCCTTATAAAAATAAATTACTTCATATTTAAGACTGTTTCAATATCTTTATATATTTTTTCAATATTTTTGAATTATTAAATTCGGACATTCCATTCGAGACATATCACAAGTTTAAAAATGTTAGTATATTGGAATTTAACTATCCAAACAGCTTAGTGACTGACTTAGTAGTTCTTATAATTTTTCAATCACATTTATACTGGTAATTCCTGTTCGATAGTTAGCATATTATTAAATACAAAGGCAGTTTAATTTTTTTTATCATTTTAAAGATCTCATCTTTCTAGAAATAGTTTCCAGGCGAGGGCATCAAAAATACGTCGTAATGAGGAATCATTACCGGAAACTAGCCTTAAAAGTCGAAGAGAGTCTAGTAGTGTTTGCAGCGGCTTGAAGAGCATATTAATATAAAGTACCCGGAAGACCGAGCTTTGTTCGGTTTGTTTTTTTTTTTGGTAAATCGTGTATTTTGGAAATTACATTTAGATACAAATTATTGAGTAATGAAATGTGCATAATATTTTTCGATCTTACCGACGTAATAATAAGAAAATATGAACTGATGTTTTTCACAAAAGAAAGAACTTTAAAAAAAAAAGGGAAAAAAATAACAAATCAACAAAAAATTAAAAATAAAGAAAGCAATGATCTGGAATCGAAAAAAAAGTAAAAAAATAAATGTGTAAATGATCGTGACGTGAACCACGGCCGTCTGTTTTGGGGCCGCCCGATTACCGACCGAGCTATTTTGACATTTTCTCTTATGGCGAAATTTACCATCATATTCGAATTATATTTTTCATTCCCTGAAAACAGGGATAAAAGGACATTTTCTAAAAATGAAACCTAGCTAGATCGATTTTTCGCCCCCAAATCTAGGCACATACTAAATTTCATGAAAATCGCTGGAGCCGTTTCCGAGATTCCGATTATACATATACAAGAATTGCTCGTTTAAAGGATAAGAGATATACAAATTCACACTAGGAAGTCGAGTTCTGAGCGTTCCCAACGCCTACGAGATTAGAGGGAAAGACAACAAACGTCAACGATTAGAGATCGTAATCGACTTTTAGCTCACAGTAACAGATCAGCTTTAATGCATTAAGCTCAACAGTCTTTTGTCCAAATCGGAGCCATGAATAAGATCTGCTCTAAGTGTTCTGCCAAAAAATGGGTCGATGAACCAAATGGTATGTGCTGTGCTTCTGGAAAAGTTAGTCTCCCGAATATTGAGGAGCCGCCACAGCCAATAAAAAATCTTTTGACAAACATCATTTACCATCTGGACATTTTTAACCAATATTCGAAAGAGCAATAGCTTCTTTCAAATGATTTCGTTTAGCGTGAACTTTTAAAAAAGAGGGACAAGTATACAAGTTATCATTATCCTCCTGCCCCTATCCCACCTAGGTGGGATCGGCACAACTATATTTATACAACCAGCCGCCTGCCTGACGTCAAGCCTCCTTGGGAAACAAATACCCACAAAACCTAAATTCAAAAATCAAATTTCAACTCTGTAACTATCACGGTTCATGAGATACAGCCTGTTGACAGAGGGACAAACAGACAGCGGAGTCTTAGCAATAGGGTCCCGTTTTACCCTTTGGGTATGGAACCCTAAAAAGGCCCTAGAGATATATTGCACGGTAGACACGGCCAACTTAAAAGGGTCTCTGAGTTACACCGATTGTATGATCCACTAAAATATCTCTTAATAGTCGTAATAAGAGAAGACGGTTAATATTTGACTATTCCTCAGCAAGGTACTGTGTGTAACAAAACTGTGACATGCATGCAATTTTATGCATTTAGGTTGATGGTTAGAGCTACCTGTTTTAATCCATTACATTATTACTGGGACTTATTAGGGTTCCGTACCCAAAGGGTAAAACGGCACCCTATTACTACGACTCCGCTGTCCGTCTGTATGTCCGTATGTCTGTCCATATGTCACCAGGCCGTATCTCATGAACCGTGATAGTTAGAGTTGAAATTTTCACAAACGATATATTTCGTTGTCATTTGTTGCCGCTATAACAATAAATACTAAAAAACAAAAAAAATATAAATAAGAGGGGCTCCAATAAAACAGACGTGATTTTTTTGCTGGTTTTATAGATAATGTTGACAGCAGTAGTGTTTTTGACAATATGTAAGAGTAATACTTCTATATTGAATAAAGATATTAAAACATGATTTTTTTTTAATGTAATAGAGTGGCACACGATCTGGCGGTTCACCTGATGTGACGTAATAACCGCCAATGGATATTTGCAACACCTGTAGGCAAATGAGTTGCCATCTTTAAATAAAGTGGGCCCCGGCAACCTCTCTCACCAGACGGAAAGTAGAAGTATAACACTTCTATTTTACCCCGGTCTTCTGTGAGGTCGGTACGGAACCCTTCGTGTGCGAGTCCGACTCGCACTCGCGGTTTTTATTCAATACATTGTCGATATGATGGAAAAAGATATCAAAAAGATTGAATTACATATTATGTCGTAATAACCAGAGACTGAGGGCTGGTGAAACATTAATCTTAGAGATGCTTTAAATCATGACATTAGCCCAGGTCAACGCGTAATCTGCAACGTCATATTCATTTACAGGGTCTCCGAATTATCTGCATTAAAAAACCAAAGATGCGATGATTTATGTCTAAAGCTATGGGAGGCCAGACTTATTTGTCACTTTTACGTGTAACCCCGAATGTCCCGTAATTAAAGCGGAACCATTATCTGGTCAGCGATCTTTCGATCTTCATAACGTCATTTCAAGGATATTTCATTAAAAGATTAAGAAATTCATAAAATTATTCACCACAGACGAAACGTTGGGAAGGTTTTATGTGTGTGTATGATAATTTTAATTTTTTTAATTTTTTGTTAAACTTCTTTAATATTTCTCCTCTGCGTGTGTATGTCACTGAACTTTTAAACGGCTGAACCGATTTTAATGAAATCTCTTGTGTGTCTTCAGGTCGATTCGAGAATGGTTTAGATTCACAATTCGTTTTTTTTTTGTTCTCTTTATTTATAAGTCACGGATTTAAGTCGTGTGGACAGGACAACACCTGTCGGGTCCGCTAGGGTTTATTGAAAAATGCGAGGGATTTGTGTTTTGTGGGTTTTTACAACATGCCACGATGGCAAAAATCATCAATAAAAGATACATAAAGGCACTGAAAACTTTCCGCATTCGGTTTAGGTTTCATTTGGGGCGCCCTCGTTTTCTGCCTTGCTCACAAGCTGTGCACCTGCGAAGACATACTATGCGACCGGCGGCCCCTCGGCACCACCACAGACCCGCTGCCTCCAGACAGCCGGTTCAAGATCGAAATCATCGGCGTCACGGATAAATATATACCGACGAGACAATACACAAGTATTCTAATTTTATTCTAAACATGGTTTCACATTGAGGTTCCAAATCAGACGTTTCCATAGTCAAGACTGTAATTTAGTTATTTATGTAATTTTAGTCATTAGGGTCGCACGACAAAACTACACATAAGTATTTTACTTTTATTTTAAATATGACTTCACATTATAGGTTCCTAAACACTCGTTTCGTGACCGGGACTGTTACTTTGGACTTGGACTATTGGTTACTTCGGACTGTGGACTTATTTAGCCACTGTTATCTATCTTGAATCACCCTTCTCTAAAGTATCAGCTATATAAAACGAGATCTAAGATCAACGTAAAAGTAACACTACTCGAGAAGTGATAACTTTCAGTATGACGGTGGTAGAGCCACGCAGCAGCCTCGGCTGTTGCACGAATGGGCAGGCTCGTCCGTGTATTTACCACTACCTCACAGAAGGACGGCGTAGAGTGGAAGTATAATACTTTCACGTTTCGTCTGGTGAGTGATGTAGCCGGAGCCCAATTTTCAAAAGGTTGTCAACGCATCTGCAACCCTCGGGTGTAGCAGATGTTCTTGGGCGGCATTCACTTAACACCAGGTGAACCGCCTGCTCGCTTTGCAACTTGTCACATTAAAAAATAGTCGGTTAAAAATAGACTTGTTATTTACACAAATCGATTTGTCTCAGTACGGCTATCGGCGACCGACAACACGTCTACGTTCGTTGCTTTCACGATATGGGCCCGCGGCGATATAAAGCCACACGACAAGAACCCGCAGAAGACCGCGCATCTGGACGAGGGGTTCGTCTTCCCGTCGCCGAACTCAGAGACGACGCCGAATAAGAAGTGCAACAACTCCGTCGTGCAGACGGATCTAACGCCCAAGACTTCGGTGGAGGTGATTTTTTTGTTTTTAAGGTTTTTTTTATGTGAGAAAGTGGCAAACGAGCTGTGCGGTGGCTGTCACTTAACATCAAGTGACGGTTCACCTAATGTTAAGTGACCATGGACATTTGCAATACCTCTAGGATTGCAAATGCGTTGCCACCTATAAATAAATTGGGCCCCGGCTCACTCACCAGCCGAAACGCAGAAGTGTAACACTACTTTACGCCGGTCTTCTGTGAGATCGTGGTGCTTAGCCGGACAGACCTGCCCATTCATGCAACAGTGAATACTGTTGCGTGGACCTACCACAGTGGTTGCAGGCTGTTTGCATCATGTTTATCGATTATAGCTACGTCCGTGTCATAACCTGTAGGTAGGCAGACACGTCGCCACATAAAAAGAACTCGGTAATCTAACTGACCACGAAACGCAAAGATGATACACTTCAATTTCCCGCAGTTCTTCTGTGGATTATAATGCTTCTCCAAAGCGAAATGAGGGCTTTTATCGTCCACCTCAGTGGACCCGGTAAGGATGGCAACACGAAGAAGAAGATATAGAGTCGACAAAGCAGCGAAGAAACCGGGGAAGGCGATATCAGTCCCAGAGTGTTAGAGTAAGAAAACAACTATAAACCTGTCTTCCCTACGAAGATAAGAGTATCTTTAGAAGATACCGAAAGAAGAAAGTGTTAACATCGTAATTTTCTTTCATGTAGTGAATCACTACATACATATTAAACTTCTATTAACTTTCGCACGATTCATAATTATGATTGCAAAAAATCCCAATTTGACTAACCGATTATATTCGTAGTATCTATCGAAACTGCCTCTTTCGTCAGAATGTGAGATCCTCACTACATAAAAAGTTTTTGAACGATTTTTCATTCATAGTGTTTTTCTAATGTCAAAAGTATAAGTACATTATTTTTATAGCTTTTTTAGTACCGAAATTACGGGCTTTGCTGAGTTAGGGACTAGATAAGGTGTAAAATCATGTACGGCAATATTTAATTTGAAGAACAAACACAATGTAGGCATACTGGAAGGCGCCAAAGAAGGAGAACAAGTGCGTTACGATAAACGCAGTGGTCGCGGTGAAGAGAGACGTCTGGTACAGACAGGACGGTCCCTTGTCTAAGAGGGTATGTGAGGACCGACGGAATGTTCTGGACATGCAACCGACCAAGAACGACAACTGCGAAGCGACAGAGGACGCCCGATATCTGGTATTAATCTATCTATATTGTCAATACGCGAAGAAAAAACTTTGTACCAATTTACGAAAATTGCGAGGACGGAGGAGTATGAAATATTCCAGACTTATAGTTTATATAGAGAAGAGGCGCAGAACACTAAATTTTTTTTATTTAAAATTTGGTTACTCAAGCGTTCACCTCCCATTCCATATCAGAGAATATTACTTAACTCAAGGATTAAGTGAAACGGTCTCCATGCAAAATGGATTATAAAAGTGTAAATGAAAAGATACCATTGCGATAATTAGTAAAAGTAGGCGTTACATAACATAATTTCTTGTGAACTTAGTGGTTTAAAATCTTAATCTTTAATCTTTAAAAAAATATATTGCCCTTACTTTAGGATAAAATTTTCCTGCGTTGTAAGGACGTTTTACAAACATAAATTTCACGTGGAGACGCTCAGATGCGAAACAACTGTCTGTGGGTCGCAAAATAGTTGTCCCGTGTGGGAATCGAACTCACGGCCCCCGACGCCGAATTCAACACTTTGGCAACTGCGCCACGGAAAAGCACTTTGCAAAAGTTTTCAGTAACCTAATTTATTCTATTTTCCCTTACGTGTGCTGTTATATTTTAATTAAAGATCTTAAATAAGCATCGTATAAAAAAAAATTATTCCTGTTTGGAGTCAGTTAAAAAAAAACTATTATATTCATATCAGTGAAGTGCACATCCTCTCCCTTTGTTATGATGCTGTATTTGTTTATTTGCTGTAGAACATGAACAATTAATTAATATTGAAAATAAGTATCCCGGTTGAATGATACGATGGCTATTTTCATTGTACGTTTCACGCGATTAAAGTTTAAATATGGCTGTCGACTAATTAGCGTTTTAATAACTGATGCATGCGGTTCCGAATTAATTGTTTCATGAGTCAAAACGTTTAATGTCGTGGCTCTAATGAAATAACAAGAAGGCGTGAGATATTGACCTTATATTTTAACGCTTAACCACGTCCTAAGCGAAGCGAGTCTAAATCTTATAGTTTAAAATCAGATTATCAAAAGGCCGCAATGAAAAATCATTCCTTTTAAAATTTTAAATAGCACATTAAACGATACGAGTCGAACTGCGATTATTTTTTAACAGCTTGCACATTTACTTTATCACCCTATTAACATCTGACCTTATCCGACATAAGTGGTTGGATTTTGGATAGGGTTATAAAGACTGGCCGCTTGTTCAGACAAGTCAACGTTCCTTGAGATCTAACACTCAGACCCGGAACAATAATGTTTGGGTCACACAAATACTTGTCCCGTTTGGGAATCGAACCCACGACCCGCATTAGCTTAGCAACTGCGCCATTGAGTCGCCAGCCAATACAAACAGTGCAATGTAATTACAGCTCACGTTCGAAGGTATGTGGTCTTACAACACCCACTCCAAGATGTATCCGGAATCTGAGGACCTCGCGCGGTTCAGCGACGTCGTAGGCGCCTCCCATAACAGCAAGTTCAACGTATTCAAATACAATTCGGATGCCAGCGAGGGATTAAAGAGGCTAGCAGAACAGGGCAACACCACGCAGCTCGAGATTGAGATTATGAAACAGGTGAGATTATATAAATTAGATCCCATTAGCCCATCAGTCTTAGATTAGAGACGGCTGACAGCGTAATTCAGGATTTCTGCTGCATGCAAATAAGCCTGAATTACACTGCATGCTGAGAAAGAATTCGAATATATTCATGTGGAAGTTTATATATTTTATGGAAAACCATCAGCTTACACATCATAAATAAGAAAACAAGATAAACAACAAGACAGGTTTTCACTGATAGAATACTTATTATCCTCGGTGCCAGCACCAATGACATTGTTAATTTTAAGTGCTGATTTAACACGTGCTCGGCGGTGAAGGAAAACATAGTGAAGAAACCTGCAAATTTCGAAATAATAAAAAAAATATTTCAAAAATATGTGAAGTCCGCCAATCCGCAGGGAGGTCGCGTGGTGGACTAGGTCCTTATACCCTCTTTACAGAGGAGGCCTTTAAGAAAATTCCCAAAATTCAAACTGACATAAAGAATATATCTATTAATCCCTAAATATTTTGTAAATATTATAAAAATATTTCAATCTCAGGAACTTTTATATTCCCAAATAGTAAGATACATTCTCAAATAATAAAAAATAGACTAGAGAAAGCGCGGTGATAAATGAGACCGAATGAACAACTCTTAATTCCCCCATCAGCTCGGCCGAAACGTGCGCACGATCGTGAAGGCGGTGGCGCCGTTGAAGACCAACATGCGGACCACGTCGATGTTCCGCGTCACGCGCGACCACCACCTGGTGTCGCTGGTGACGGCCCTCATCCCCTCGCCGGACTGGTTCCTCGGCGTGTCCAACATGGAGCTGTGCGACGTCAGAACGGGCGCGTGGGCGGACAACCTGACGCTCAACCTCTACCCGATGGACGCCGGCACTGACAGCGGCAAGAAGTTTGACGTGAGGCCCGTTGTTCCGAATTAGACGTTTTTAAACGGTTTTATTTAGCTCGACCCGTACGGAATTCGTTTGTTTATTTGGGTCAAAATTAGAAATTGAAATTTAAGCACCTTCCCGTTGTCAGATTGATTTGAAATTTGGTACACACATCTAATTTAGATGACAATACAATATTAACAAAAAAAAAACATTAAATAAAACCGTTTAACTTTAAAGTTTTTAAACGGTTTTTTTAACAAACAATACGTTTCTTATATTGCGTTTCGCTTTATTTTCTGCCGATTCAAATAAAACGAAACGCAATATGATTAATATACTACTATGCTAATTAAGAGACTTCAAAATAGGAGGGGGTACTATGTTCCATTTTATGTAATTTTTTTAATGAATGTACCACCGAATTCTCCCCCATTTGTGGACAGATTCTCAAAATTCTTCTTTATGCAAAGTTAGGTAAAGCCACGCAACACTCCTTGCTGTTGCAGGAGTGGTCCGTTACCATCCGAGTAAGTATGGCGACCTTAAAGTACGACCGGCGTGATGCGGAAGTGTAAAAAATACTTCTGCGTTTCGTCTGTGGAGTGAGCTAGCCGGTGCCCACTTTATTAAAAGGTCGCAAAGCATCTGCAACCCTACGAGTGTCTAATGTTAATGGATGACAGTCAACACTCAGGTGAACAACAAGTTCGCTTGCTACCTTCTCACATAAAAAAGGAGGCAAGCGAGAAGGCAGTTCAACTGATACCAAATGATTGCCGCCGATTTACAACTTACCTTGTAAATATCCATAGTACTTGCCAGCTATTAAAATGTGACATACGACGATAAAACGCCAGAGTATAATACTTCCAATTCATCATTCTTCTGTGAGGTCATGGTAGAGCACGCCCATTCGTACCACAGCATAAGCTTTTGCGTGGCTCAACCATATAGGTATATTGCAAATCTTTTTACATTTGTATAAACCAATAGAGTAAATTATACGAGTCAGTTATGTGAGAGTTAGTGTGTATGTGGGTAAATTAGGGATTCTCATAACAAAAACCTATGCAATTTTCAGTCGTCGAATGACGAAACAATGCCGCCGCAACCGATTTCCACCGCCGTGATCAATCCGACGGTGCCTAAAGAGGAGGTACGGCCCTTTGCTCGGCTCCAGTTTGACCTTATACGAACCTACCGGCGAACTTTCAACACCGAGCCCAGCATCGATGTCACCGAAACCGAAGGTATGTTGGCCTTTAAAAAGCTTGCTGTCCTGGGTAGAGGGAGGCGGTATTCCCTGCCGTCCGATCGCTTGCAGCTTTACAACGCGCAAATTCGTCAGTATACGAAGTACTGTTCTCAAAGTCAAAGTCAAGTCAAAGTATATTTATTCAATACAGGCTTAACTTAAGCTCTTATTGAACGTCAACAAAAAATTTACCACCGGTTCACTAAACTAGACCTGCACAGAGAAGAACCGGCAAGAAACTCTGCGGTCTTGTTCTTTTTCTTATATATATATATTTTTTTGATGCAATTATACACACTTATTTAGGTATAAAATCAGCAGCAGCCAGGGGTCTTGCAAGTGCAGAGCAAGAGTCATTTCCAAACATCCTTGTCCTCAATGTATTCTTGGATATTATAGTAGGCCCTTGCCATTAAGGTAGCTATTACAAATTGTTTGAAATTGTTTATACTTAGTTGTTTGTGGATGTCACCTATTTTATTATATCATCTTAGGGATGGGGAGTCCTAATACCAGCTTTTTCAAATTGAACGCTTTCAACGTAGGGCTGCTCGAATCGATCGTCTCTACTCTTTGGACTTTTTTATTTATTTATTGATTATTTAGATTATATAGAGGATAATATAGAGCGAGATATTTTTTATATATATATATATATATATATATATATAATTCGAATCTTTTTTCGTTAATAAATAAAAAAATACTTATTATCGAATCTATCACGGGGAGTGCTCAGAAGAGTTGTTCGGGTTACTACCTCCACTGAGCGATGTCAATCAAACTGCCAAATACCACCTCGATGGTTGGCAGTCCATGAACGTACATTTTTGCAATAATTGAGTCAACCGGTGGTAGTTATTCAAGTTCTTTTAGAGTTTGAAGTGGGCATGAACTGAATATTATAGAATTTTTTTTTTTTTTCCTTAGGGAGCGAAAACATCATCGAAATCAGATCAGAAACTGGAAGCAAAGAATATGTGACTTTTGTGTTTATTCATTATTAACGTGAGATGGTGGTAAGCGAGCTTAACCTGATGTTATTTGATAACCGCCGCCCATTGACATTTGCAAGAGCCATAGGGTTGCAGCGGCTACCTTACTCACCAGACGAAACGCAGAAATGTTACATTTTCACTTCACGCTGGTCTTCTGTGATGTCGTGGTACTTCCCCGGACGGACCTGCCCTTCGTGCAACAGCGAAGACCGTTGCGTGGCCCTACCACAGTTAAATCGTTATGTATAACGTCTGTAATCTAATCGATTTAACTTTAATGCAGTGGAGGACGCCGAAGAGGAGTCTGGCACCGCCACTGCCACCACTACCACTGAGTAAGTTGTTAAAGAAATTTTAATGACATTGTTTACTTAGGTATAAGGCTAACCTAACCAGCAAAAATAAATATAAAATCATTAATATCGACACAAAACAACAACAGAATACAAATGAGAGAGGCGGCTTTTATTGCAACATTGACAATTTGTCTTTATAAGACATGATTAAATTAATTTTGGAATATCATTCTACAATTGATTTAAAATAACGCAAACAATTAAGTTTACAAGCAATGTGAACATTAAAAATTTATATCTTATATTCGTTTTGTGAAATAAAAGTTTATTGCTCAAAAGACAATATAGTAAAAAAATGCAATGAAGTAACTACAAATGAAAATTCAATGCATACAAATTAATAAAACTGTTTTATGAATTCTAATAAAGAAAAACTTATTTTTATGTATATTTACAGTGATAAACACACTATTATTAACCTAAGCATGTAAAATTTAAATAATCATAATTACTTTTTTTAGAATAACCTCAGAAGATTCTGCCGAGAAATCTGATCCCAATTGTCCGATGTCAGCTTGGGATGAATGGTTGGAATGTGAAGGGGCTTGTGTGGACAAACAGATTGAGGGCTACCAGATCAGGTTCCGTCACCATCTAGTAAACAACCAGCCGGTGGATCTATATGTAAGCAATACATAATGGTTTACAGCACCAGTTCATGTAAAGGTTTCTTCGTTAATGTCAATAATGTACCAAATAATATTTAATCTAAAATTAATTCAACTTAATTGTAAGATAATACGAAAAGTAAAACTTTAACTTTGCATGAAAATATCACATAAAAAAAGAATTTTTAAACAAGAATAACACGTTCATTTGTCCTTTCTCGTCCATTTCATCATTTAGTCGCATCATTTGGTGTCGATGTTTAATAATATACAGCGTATCGTTACCACCGCGACAATAAATTAACACACGTCTAACGCTACTTGCCAATAATCATAAAAAATATGAAACTTTTTTTCAAACAAACTAATTACTTAGGTAAAAAAGAAACAAAATTTGTAACACCTATACAACTACAACTGACTGATTCATACATTCAGAGACTTGCATTCCTTGCCACAGCGTCGCATTACAAGCCTCTCCTTCTAACAGTATGTTTTGTCTTTTTTAAATTCATTCAACCCATTCATATGCTTTGTGACATTTACAAATGAACTTTACGTTACAGTTACTTTACGTAAGGGTGTTCTAAAATTCTTTGTTTTGGAAATTTTAATAACTCGGTAAATATTGATGTTTAAAGAATATAAATGTTTAATAAAAAGTTTTCCTCTATATGTGAGTTCATTTATTGTCGTGATTGTAAAAACACGCTGTATATAACGCATCGTCCATACTGCGGTTACTGGGTGGCGTATAAAAATTGTTCCGCTTTACATTATATTATGACATATATAAATGAATGTGACAGATGATATTGATGACAGATGACAGATGATATGCAGATTTCCGTATCTTAGAACATATGATACGGAAAGAGATAGCAGTCTATATAATTTAAGAGGGGCACTAATTGGTGTAATTTGTGTGCCTCAGTTTCGCTGCGCTAGTGTCATATCCATCTCGTTTTTGTATGTAATAATATTGTTCGCCACTTTAGATGTTAGAGTCTCGCCTTAACGTTCGTAATGTGTACAAAAAAGTACCAAAGACCGGGACAAATATTAATACATTTTGTGTTTATTTCAAAAAATTTATGACATAAAGATACAAACTTATAAGTTAGCTAAAGTTAGTCCGTATAAAACTAAAAGCAGTTTTCGCTAATTAATAATGATACTGTAATTTATGTTACGTTTATGATTTTAGTATTTGATAGTCTTTTGGAAAGCGGATAGCGAGACATTAAAATCTATTACGATCCGAAATGGAATAGAGCTTGAAAAAAGCACATTCCTAAATGCAATGTTGCCTTGTTTACTATGTTTATTAATGCTACTGTTAAGTACTGCAACTGTTCGGGCTTTGTCCCCAATATCCCCTATACGAGAAAAATTGTGGGATCAAAAAATGGGTTTTCCGAGTGTACGTGTATTTATTGTCGATGATAAGATTGTAAAGCTTTTACGTATAAAATTAATCCAGTGCGCAATAAGTCCGGAATTGCACGGAACTGTTCGAATAGTTTTGCATAAAATATTAAAAATATATTATATATATGTTATATTAATATATTGAATTTTCAGGGACCAATGAGCAAACGTATACCGAAAGATTGCATAGATAAGTATTCTGTGAACGAGCTTCGAGCCTGCACGGACAATTGTGATGAAGAGGAAAGCGAAGGTAACATTCACACTACTATTGTATTGTATTTTAGAGGTAAGGAGAGGTATAGTGTTCGAAAAAATATACGCTACAGTAACATTATCTTAATGACATTAAGGTGATGTTACTGTAGCATAAAGCATGTAAACATAAGTCCTATATTTTAATATATATATTGAACAGATTTTAAAGTACGTTTTTTTAATAATTAAACACGGCATTTATCCTTTCAGCGAACTAAATAAATCAGCAGACGAAGAATATTAAGGTTCAAAGCTATACGAATGCATAACGTTTACCCACAGTGTACTAAAGTTCGCAATTAAAAGTGTGTACTGAAATAATCTGTAAGTAAAGGAATATGTCAGAAAATGTGTTTTTTTTTACGTTTATATATAATATATCTTTCTATACATTTTTGGAGATTTCATTTCGGATCAAAGTTATTTACTATTTATTTTTATAATCTTTGGTTAGCACCTGCCTTGTGCTTTTCACCATGACACGGGTTGACTGGTAGAGAATGGCAAATGGCCATTTGCCATTCTCTTAGCCGATTGTAGTGTGTAGCAATAAAGTTTAAATAAATAAATATGTAAAGTAAAAAGCAAAGTCACAACAGGTCCCATTTCTGGGCAAAGGCCTCCTCTGTACAGAGGATATCGTGGCCCCACTGCGGATCGGCGGAATTTGCATATCTTCGAAATATTTTTTTTGATATTATTGCGAAAATATGTAGGTTTCTTAACGATGTTTTTCCTTCACCGTTGAGCACGTAATTAATCAGCCCTTAAAATTAACAATTTCATTGGTGCTGGCAGCGGGGATGGACCTCGGTTGCTCAAGTACCTATATTAAATTAAAAGCGAGCACCCGGACAACGAATGATAAATATGACGAAAAATATTTTTTTCATGTTTTCTAGTAAGGATTTATTTTGAAGTCAAAAAGTTGTAAAACATATTTTTAAGCTAAGAATCATGTATCTACTTTGTGTACCCTAATTTCTGCAATATTTTCATACACTGAAACAAGGTGCACGTTTGTGGCATGTGTGTGCAGGTTTGTGGGTAACCAGACGCTATACGGCGCTATATGCGTAATCATCTCTAGTTAGTTTGTTACGGCGCTTAAGTGTTTGACCAACGTTTAGTGTTCTAAAAATTGAATTCCGTTCTAAGAATTAAACTAAATTGTTTTTTAGTTTTTATTTGTCTTTGAGTACTTATCGCTCAAAAATTAAACAAATTTTGGCACTGGTTTTGTAGGTCTTTATAAGATTCAAAAAAATCGTCAAAAATCCCGAAGAGTTTAATAAGCAAAACATCTAAAAAAAAAGTTAAAGGTATTTTTAGAGGAAAATGGGTTAAAAAATGTTCATTTCAACGATCTAACACATTTTCATTTGTGACATGTTGTCTGATGGAAAGACCGCCGGTGACTACTGCTGATTCTACTGAGTGGTTATGCGAATCAGAATATGCCATTGCACCTATTAATAATTATTTCCTCAATTAACAATTGTATTGTAGGGAGAAATTGTAAAATATTAATTCTCGTTAAATTTTCTATAAATTATTTTTTTTTTCGTTATGTTATTTCTCGTAACCGATCGTTCGTTATTAGTACGTCTCGTTTCTCGTTTCCTGAACATTTGTGCAAGACCAGAAGCTGCTGTGTGGCTCTAACACATTTAAAATTACTCGGATAGATTCCACTATTGACAACGGACCAGGCCGAAATTCGAACCTCCATCTCATCCCTGATTTGTGTAGTGAGTACAGTTGTATTCGTAGAGTGTATAACTTTCATTACCAAAAGCCGCGGAGATGAATTGGAATGGAAGGCATCATTCAATGATTAGTGATTACAGTTCACATGGTGTGAACTGTAAACATTGGTTGTTTATTAATAGGTCCAATTTTTTAAATTGTTTCGAATTGATTGCTTCTATTCTCGTTAATGATTAATTGTTAAAATAAGGTGTTTTTATGGTTTTAGTTTTCATAACCGATCTTTCAACGTTAGTATGTTTCGCAATTAAAGCCTGAGGCAAAAAAGTATTCCTTGGGTATTTATTTCCTATCACAGATATGGTAAAGATGCTAACGCATGATGTTTCATATCAAGTCGTAGTCAATAGCGTGCACAGATAGTATCATTTTAGTAGTTTGTGGTCAATAGCATTAGCAAATAGCAATACACATTACACAGTCTGTGGTTTTCTTACGTCATTACTGCGACATCTTGTTCTACATTTTAATAGATTTTTCGGTCGATTCATTAGACAGTACAAAGCTGATTAGATGCATTTGTATAGGACTATATAATGCTTCAGAAAAAGCCGAAATCGGCATTAAAACGTTTCGTTACTTATTCGCTCGGAACTATATTTGTTGCTGAAGCTTTAGGTTTTGCAGTATCATATGGTCTATATTATAAATTGAATACTGAAAGGGGTAAGTAGTCCAGCCTAAAATGGAATAAAGATAAAAAAAGTACCCAGACGAATAAATCTTATTTCTTCGTCTTCGATCTCTTTTGATTAATTGTTTTAATACCATAGATAATATATCAGAGATTTTTTACTATCTCAATCTATTTATTGATAAAGCTATAAGAGTTACTAAAAGTGCGATCTAAAAAGATGTTATTAAAACTTAGTATTTAATAGTGTAAATATTTTTTTAAATAATAGCTATAATTTCAAAATTTACTTGCATAACAAATTATCATAAATATTTAAAAGTTCCAATAAATTATGGTACGAAAAGTATTTTAAACTGTTTCAAATGCCATCTTTAAAATGATACTATGAAATTAATCTTTCCATTTTAGAATTCCGTTATTATATGCACCAAAACTACAATTGGGTGTTAGAAGGCTACTACAGACTTGGTGAAGTGATTGGTGGGAACAAAACCCGCGAATTAGATTATAAAGTTTGGACCAACGAAGGCAAGATATAAAATTCCGGTGAGATGAGTGTTGCTGTTAGGTCCAGTTTTTGGGTGTTGATATTTGGAACCCTCGGTTATGGACTATTCAAGGTGGTCAAACCTGATAATGAACTGCTCGAGAAGGTCATTACTCTTTAATGTATTGGTTGTGTTTGATCACTGGTTTATATGTTTCTTGAGGGATCACTATCATTGTGTCATCAGGTATTGCAAAAAAAAGACAATTTTCAATCAACATGTAGACAATTTTTCTACTAATTTTAAGCTTTCAATGTTGTTAACTTCATTTCATTAACTTTGTTGAATTGTTTAAGCTCTTTTTACTTTGTTTGTATCACACAAACAAAGTAACAAGTCTTTCTCATTTATAACAACATAACCATAAATCATAAACTGTTTTTCGATTTTTTTATTTCATATATGATTGTAACTACTAAAATTTTATACTAATTTACTGCTTTAAATGTTTAAAGATTGTGCATTTCAATTGATGATTTAAAGGTTCAGATACAAAAATTGACAAAGTGATATTTGAAAGAAATAAAACAATTAAATTAGAAACAATTAAATTAACATTTTAATTGAGTTTTAACATTCATCAAATTTAGACCCTAAATGGGTACATGATAATGCTACAAATTTCATACAAAAAGCATTATGTTTAAAAATTGTTCTGTGGAAATTTTGTGGTAGAAGAAAAACAGCTTGCATATACAGCGTGTCGTTACCATCGCGACAATAAATGAACACACATATTGGGGATAAGTTTATAAAGATGTATTAAACATTTAAATTCTTTAAACATCAATATTTACAGAGTTATTAAATTTTCCAAAAAAAAGAATTTTAGAACACCCTTACGTATAAAACTGTAATTTAAAGTTCATTTGTAAAGGATACAAAGCATATGAATAGGTTGAATGAATTTAAAAGAGACAAAACATACTGTTAGAAGGAGAGGCTCGTAATAAGACGCTGTGGCGCGCGTTGTATAGGATGTTACAAATTTTGTTTCTTTTTTACTTAATTAGTTTGTTTGAAAAATATTTTTTTCTAATTATGGATTTTATTTAACGTTAATATTTTTTTATGATTATTGGCACGTAGCGTTAGACGTGTGTTCATTTATTGTCGCGATGGTAACGACACGCTGTATATTATTAGATTTTGTAATTTGAAACTGATGATTATTGTTTTTTTAGTTTGACCAAGAATCCAAGCACACCGATACAAGAAAGTTCTCCCGTGACACTATAGCTGTTCTTAAGGAATCCACTAATCCAGATTCCGAAATAAGTAAAAAGATAGATAATCTACTGAAAAAATGAGTGATCGTCATTCAGTATTAGAACGATTAAGCCGTAGAGATGCGCAACGTTTAGAAAAACTCCAAAAAGCCCACAAAGCTCGAGAGGAAGTTGATGCTTCTAATGAAAATGAAGACTTTTTCTCAGGTGCTTTTAAAATAAAATCAGAATACATAGAACAATTACTATCTCAAGTACCAACTCTAGAGGTTTCAACTTTACCTTCCCACTTTGATTGCATAAAAAAAGAAGTCAATGAACTACAAAAATATGTTGTAACATCATCATTTTTTCTTAAAGAATTTAACATGCGCAAATATTTAGGTATAGTTCAAAACTTACAGTCAATGTGTTATGAGTTAGAAGACAGATATGTCCCTCGTAAAAAATTTGGTTTCACAAAAAAGAAGCTGCCCAAATCTGACAGTCAAAAGCAAAATTCTATGGATGATAATGATGGTGTGGGCAAAGTAGACAGCAACAAATGGGATGAGAAATTATTTGGCTTTGATTCCAAAGATGGGAAGGTGCTTTTGTTAGGGAATGATGACCTTTTCCAAAGGGATGTTGCATTAAGAAACCTGAAGAACTGCACAATCGGTCTCAGAGGCGTCATGGGCACTCTGCATTTGACTAATTTAGATAATTGCGTTATTCTCTCCGGCCCGGTTACTTCTTCGGTCTTTGTCGACAAATGCATGAATTGCAAAATTGTGGCGGCTTGCCAACAGCTGCGTATGCACACTTCCACCAAATGTGACGTATACCTTCATGTTACAAGTAAAGGAATTGTTGAAGACTGCACTGAAATCCGGACTGCACCATATAACTTAGTGTATGATGATTTAGACAAGCATTTTCATATGTCATCTTTAGATAGAAATAGCAACAATTGGGATTGTTTGGATGACTTCAATTGGCTGGCACCGGATATACCTTCACCAAATTGGTCAATATTGGATGTAAAAGATCGTGTTGATGATTGGACCGAATGGTGGTCCAGAATTCCATCATAACAAACCTACAATCAGATTTTAAAAATTCTAAGCTAAGAATGACTAATAAATACCCTTAATATAACTATTTTCTTCTGTATGGAAATAAATGTAGAGACATTTTTATAAAAAAAATTGAACTGCTAATGCTGTTTAAAAAAAACTGGTGCTTTATAACCATTTGATTGCCTTTGAATGTTTATATTGGTTGCAATTTAAACCTGTTCAACATTTTGTAACTAACATTTCAAAATCATATATATATTTATTGTATATTGTCATTGACTTAAAAGTAACATTTTTCTTTATGTAATTAGCTTTGAATATTATTATTTCCCATACATATATATAAATATTATATACACATTGTTATAGAGCTTCATGATAGTTTCATGAATCTGTCTAACATTTATATTGTGTATTTATAATCTACATTTGATTAACAAGAATTAATGTGGATTAAATAGTGTGAAATTCGATTATTTTCTCTGTTTTGTGTTGCAAATGATTGATTACTTGGCTCCATAAAACGGATCGCGTCTAATATTTATTCTAGTGTTGCATATCGATAGTCTGCTATCGATATACAATCGATTATCTATCGATAGTTAAGGTAAAAGCAATAGTATCAGTAGTCTATCGATAGTGTTTTCACGTGTCGATACTATCGATGGCTCTCCAAGTACCAATACTATCGATAGTAATGCATGCGATAGTATTATATAGGATAGGCTATATTGAAAAAACTATTAGTCTTTACCAAAAACTATCGATAATATCGATGATTTTGTACTATCCTTTCAGTGGCTATCGATAATACAAACCTATCGAGGCTATGGATAGTATCGATAGGTTTTGTCATAAACTAATGGAAATTGCAATACTATCGCATGCATTACTATCGATGGTATTGCTGTTATCAATAGTATTGGCACTTGAGAGCCATCGATACTATCGACAGTATTGACTTATACGATACTATCGGTAGTACAATAGATATCCTGAATAGTTTTCGAAGTCAACTATTGATGGCTGTGCAACACTAATTTATTTTAACTATAGATAATAACTTTGTTTTAATCTGTCAATTTGAGAAAATGCCGAATGGTTGATAATAAAAGACAGCTCTAAATGTAGCCGCTTAGTTAACAAAATACGTTTATGAAATTTACAAATGTTTATAAGAAATAAAAAAAATCCGAAAACTTTGTATCACATTATTTCAATAATTTGTATCACATTATTTTAATAATTTGTATCACATTATTTTGATTTATGCTGTGATTGCTGTCTCCAGACACTCGATAGCTGTCTGTTAAATATAGGATAGTACGTCGGACATTGACACACAAATATGGATCTCATTTATGAAGTTCCGTATTTTTTTAAACAAAAAATGTACGTAACACAGTGTGGTACTTTATTTATTAATGTCAATGTCCCGAGTATCATCGTGTAGTTAGCAAACTATAGTTCAATATATTCGAGCGTACTAGGAGTGAGACGTATATATTGTAACAGGTAAATATAACAGGTATCTCGAGATAGCAGACTTTACCTGTTAACGAACAAACTTAACAGTTCCTCCTTGTTCCACAAAAATTGCTCCTTAACACACTGTCGCAAGCTTTCTTTATTCATGCTTACGACTATTACCTTAGTTAAAGAGATAAATAAAAACTTCGGTATACGTGTAATAGCTTTGTTAGAGAGAGGTACGGACATTACGTAACAGCTGTTACTGTATGGTAACAGTTACACAAATTGTCACAACATAGTAGGAATTAGGAAATAGCATGCTGTTATTTTATGACAGGTATTTCTCACTGTTACTTTTAGTACTGCATTTAACCTAGTATAGCTCACTCCTAGAGCAGACCTACCGGACTTCAAATCCTGGTACCGGAATAAATGAAATTATTCATTTTATTTTGGTGGGGAGCTTGCGGCTTTTAGGAAACCTGCATATTTTGAAATAATAATAAAAATTATTTGGAAGATAATCCAGTGGGGCCGTGTGATACCCTCTGTATAGAAGGAGCCTTATCCCAACTTTGTAACGATAGGTTGTTGCTTTTTTATTTTAACGTTTTGCTTTGAGAAGAAGTTATCGTCAAAACCGAAGCTACATAATATTTTAAAAAGGGTAAAAACTGAATATATACTTGTCAATTGATAAGTATGTAATCAAAGGAGTAAAAATAACACTGTTCTGGTACATAATGCTTTTACGGATATATGATCACCGCTTTTTTTGCGATTAGAAAGGTTAGGCAGCTAACAGATATTGACACTGCCAGACTCGTTTACTTCAGCTATTTTCAAAGCATCTTGTCGTACGGCATTTTATTTTGGGGTTGAGCATCCGATATAAATTCTATATTTATTTTACAATAACGAACTCTCGGAGTAATCTATAATATCGTAGCCTAAGAATAGTGACAGACATAAATTAAACACTAGAAAAAAGGACAAACTTACTACGCCATTGTTTTGCCTACAAAAAGTAAATAGGTCGTTCATGGGGCAAGGTGTGCGCATGTATAATAAAATCCCACAGTCGATATTAAGTCTGCGTCTTGATCAATTAAACGTAAAATCAAAAGTCAACATATAGTTAAGGCATATTACACCAATGCGGAATATCTCGACAACGCCTGAATGTGTTGAGTTAATACTGTTGACAGGCTAGAATAACACTATTATACCGGTATGTTATATTGTAAACTGATATTTTTGAAAAAGAGCAACAGTTGAGTTTTTTACCGACCTCTTCACAACAGAAACTGCTTTCCGAATCGGTGGTACTACGAACCTATGTGTATATAAAAATTTTTATGTAAAATTTGACGATTCATAAGAACGCGCAAGCGTCTATTTGAATAAAGATATTTGATTGATTAATTGATAGTGTGCTTATGCTCCAAATATTTTAGCCAAAATTTTATAAGAGAATAAATTAGCATATATGTTCGCAATTCAGAAAACTGTGTGTTCTTATTTTTTTCATGCAAATAAAGCAGATCTCGGATTTATTAAACAGCTAAGTTCATGCGCAAGATATTTGGCATAATCTCTATGTACTCTGTCAGAATACAGAAAGAACAAAAAGCAGCGAACTCGGCTAAAACTAAAGCATTTAAAACGACTCCAAAATGGTGTAGTTTGCTACGCATTTAAACTAAAAAAACGCTTTTATACTGCCTAGATAAGCCGTCTTGTGTCGTTCCTTCCTTCCTGTGTTAAAAGTAGCTGAATTCAAGCAGAAACATTAAAAGATCTCATTTTCATAATTTTAATATAATATCTCTTGTATATGATAACATTGGCTTTAGCCTAGGGATGGGCTATACTTGCTAAATCGCGTACCAGGTCTTAAAAATACGTCCACCTTCTCATACCAGGTAAAAGTAAAGTTACAGCCTATACATGTCCCATTGCTGGGCAAAGGCCTCCTCTGTACAGAGGGTATCAGGGCATTGTCCGCCACGCGGCCCCACTGCGGATTGGCGGACTTCACATATCTTCGAAATGTTTTTTTTGTTATTATTTCGAAAATATGCAGGTTTCCTCACGTTGTTTTCCTTCACCGCGGAGCACGTGATAAGTCAGCACTTAAAGTTAAAAACTTCATTATATAAGTATGTTGAATATTAAAAGCGAGCGCCCGGACACTGAGCTATAACGGCTCTTGAGCTATCTGGCTCATACCAGGTATCAAAATACTTTCAAGTATTTTCTGTCCAACGCAACGAGTCGAATATTTATTTCCTTGCAAGTTATACCTTGTTCTTATACAAATAAGATTCAATATATTCCAATCAAGACTTAAAATACTTTGAAAGTATTTTATATATAGTATAAGCACAATCTGAACCTTATACGTATGAACATAAGTTATCTAATCAAGTGAGAGAGACACACCGGGTGAGACCGATATACATTGCTTCGCCATCGCACGGCGCACGCCCTGAGCCCAGCCGAATTATACCTAGAACTACCGAACGACGAGGGAGACGAGTTCCGAGAAAAATACATTCGATTTCGATTCGTTCGACGTCCGAGTTCAAGTGACGTAGTAAATACATACTTTGAAGGGTAGTATACTTTAATGGAAAAATACTTTCAAGTCTTGAAAGTATATCGGGTCGGTACCTGGTAGAAAATACCTGGTAACGTAAATACGCACATCCCTACTATAGTCATATACAAAAGCTATGCACGAAATTAAGCAACGTCTCACCGGTGACTGTTGATCGAGAAGGGAATGAGTAAAAGGCACCAATAAAATGAATTTAACAATAAATATTTATTTAATCCTTTAAATCGAATTAAATACACATATATAAAAAGACATCACAGAAAATTTACAAAGAAAACTTGTCATTTACAGCTAGAATATGACAGTATAAATAGAGTTACATCGTGAAAACTAAGACCAATTTCTCGAAGTTTTAGTTGCAATAAAAATAGTAAAGTTTAGGCGTAAACACAGTGTAAACGCTTCGGAAATCGTCGAAAGGTCCTTATTATATATTCATTGAAAACAACTTGTAGAAATTACTATATCAAGAATTCCATCCTGGCAATTCTGGCTGTTCACAAGACGTACATAATTATAATATAAACACGAATAGCTCGTCCCATCTTCTATTCTAATTATGTTATAAATTATTGTTATTCACACTTCGTCCACCTTCTTTCAAGACCTCAGTCTTTATGTTAATGTTGTAAAATGGCCACATACAAGAACTAACCGGCGATATATCCAAGTGGCAATATTCAAAATAATAATAAATTTTACTACAAGAGTCTTGATTTATAATTGCTATTTATGTGTCGAAACGATATTCTTTATGTAGCAATAGAAGATACCTTAGTAATATAGATAATGTAATACGATAAAAATACATTTATTACGCTTTACATAAGTTTAAAGTTTATTGAGTGACAAAGGCAGTGATCTTTCTTTAATATTAAATGGTGCAAAAGACTTAATCTATAATTGAAGATATGATTTAACTAATTTGCAACTTACACTTCAAATGAATGTCGCAATTTAATTTCAGTATCAATTATAATTTTATGGTCAATTGGCAGAGATTCACACTGTTTAGTTTTTGGAAAGTAATTTAAACATAATTAAGTACATTAATATACTAAACACCTACTTCGTGTGGGCGTCTTCATATCTTCTCGTTAAACAGATTAAAAATAGTTTTATGTATATTTCATCCATGTTAAACAATAAAAAAAATGAGCGTCAAATGTCCTTTGTGAAATTAGCATATAGATTAAAAAAGTATAGGAAATTATTACATATTCAAAATTACACAAATATATTTTTTTTATAAATAATTCCTTTAAAAACGGTTTTAGAAAATGTGGTGGTTCCCAACGTTTATTATCTAGTGTCTCTAAATGTAGCCTAATTTTACTCATCCGTCGAGTAAATATAAAAGTAGAAATAAAAACGATTTTATTAATGCAAAAAATAAGTGTTTATGAAATAACATACTTACATGCCAAATAGCAATAAGGTGAGCTTCGTGATTTTATCCTCGATTTTACTATTTTTTATTATTTATTTTATTGTAATTAGTAGTTAATAAGTATGCCTGTAAAGATTTTTTTGTCAAAGTTGCGAAATTCTTGACTGATCTTAATAGAAGTGAATTTCATAAATTTAATAGTATGAATAAAACTGGGAACTACTTTTTTACTCAACTGTGACTTACTTTTTCTAAACAAAACTATTTTATTCACAATTTAAACATTTAAGAAGGCAATGTCATTTGATTTGTCCAATTGTTTTTTATTAATCCTTCGTAAACAGAAGAATTTGTTTACGTCAAGGTGCTTTGTCAACTTTGTGTATAAATAATATAATAATTATACAGCGTGTCGTTACCACCGCGACAATAAATGAACACACTTCTAACGCTACTTGCCAATAATCATAAAAAATATTAAGGTTTAAAAAATCCATAATTAAAAATTTTTTTTAAACAAACTAATTAAGTAAAAAAGAAACAAAATTTGTAACGCCTATACAACTACAACTGACTGATTATTACATTCGGAGACTTTTTCATTCGTTGCCACAGCGTTGCTTTACAAGCCTCTCCTTCTAACAGTATGTTTTGTCTCTTTTAAATTCATTCAGCCCATTCATATGCTTTGTGACCTTTACAAATGAACTTTAGGTTACAGTTTTACACGTAAGGATGTTCTAAAATTGTTTGTTTTGGAAAATTTAATAACTCGGTAAATATTGATGTTCAAAGAATGTAAATGTTTAATACAATTTTAAAAAGTTATCCTCTATATGTGTGTTCATTTATTGTCGCGATTGTAAAGACACGCTGTACATATACGTTAATATACATTGCCACACATTTTCTAAATTATAAAACATACCTATTACGAATGTTTATGGCCTCGATTATGGTGGCATTGAGCAAATAATAGCAACACTTTAAAATAATTGTTAATATTACTATCGAAATTGATATTAGGGAATGGTATTATCATAATGAACATAAAAAAATCTCATAACGAGTGCAACGTTAATAGACCAATAAATTCGTAAATTACCCTATTTTTTATTTTAACTAAATTAAAAGGCCCACTTTTATCACTAAAACGAAGTTCCATGTTGACTGATCTTGTGACGTTTTAATTTTTTCTCCGTAGATAAAAACGAAATATCAAAATTAAATTCCATATTTGGAGACGGATATTATTGAGTTTTTTTACAGTATAAACAATATTATGTTATGTTTGCGTATAAAACACTACTGTTTTCTTAATTTTATCACAAAATAAATTCTCTCAATATCTAATTTTTTTAGAGAATATATGATAGTAACAGAATAAATGCTATAATCCGCAATCGAAGGGCCTCTTTAGGCCTAAATTCCATTTCTTTTCTTTTCTTTCCTGGCGTCTTGGTTTAGCAATTGAAAAACTGTGGCGATTTAGTTACAGATTAACATCTTTGCTTTAAAAGTATGGATAACAAAATGAACACGAGAAAGCGGCGAATGTTCTTTCGCAACCAGTGAACGCAAATAAAATAAAACACGGAAGCATTAAGTGTCTCTCCAAAATGGCACAACGAAAACTGTACCGTGATGGGCGGGGTTATAAACTGTACCGCGAGGCGGTTTTATTATAGTCCTGTTCAGGGATGACATTACGCAATACGACTTAATTTAATCAAAGATTTTCAATGAGATAAATTCAATTTATAAATTTGGTAGCTTACTTTACCTTTGATATTTTCATTTTATATTTGAATTTTTAAAGAACCATACAGTTTATTGATATAATGGAAACTTTAGGTCCGTGGGGTCCCCATTCATCAAAATTTTTCAAAAGATTATATCCTAGGCTTTACGCTGCGGCTGGTGACAAGAGAGCTGGTTCTGTTCTCGCTCAAAGGTATAAGCATAACTATTCAGCGAGGAAATGCAGCTAGCGTTCGTGGCACCATGCCGCGTGGATTAGGTTTATTAGATAATATGTAATTTTAGATAGATTTAATCTTGTAAATATTTTAAAGAACTCCTGAATGCCTTAGATAACTTAATGTGCGTTTCATGTTTGTTTCCTTTTCTATTTAGATTTGCACAAAACGAAGAGAATAATGCATGAAAGCTGTTCAAGTAGAGAGACACGACTAAGAAGCCAAGACTTAAAATATATGATAAAAAGCTTAGAACTAGATTGCTGCTGAGACATTTTGAAAACCGTTCATGACCATGAATTACATAAATAAAAGTGTGATGTAGATAAATATTATATACATAAGATAAATATTTATTGGAAAATAATTATATTTCCTTAGTCCAATAAGTCTACAAAGCTCGTTGTGCGTATTTATAACGATTTTGTTTGCAATAAGTTTTTCTATTCTAGGGTAAGAAGCGAGCCTAAGAGAATCATTTTGGCTCGTCTCGCAGTACAGTTTTGTATATCACAAAACTTCACAACTTTGTCATAGACGGGGCGAGATAAGAAAGGGCAAAAACGTCTTTTGAAAAAAGTTATAAAAGGAGACCAGATATTGATTTTGATTTTTTATCCCCTATTTTTATTTTCCATACTCAAATATTATATAAAGGTATGGCAAACTTATTATGATGATGACATTGTAGGGATTTTATTTTTAGTTTATTCATGGTGAATCTATGCCCCATAAATCTGAAAACTAAGACAGAAGGAGTTAAAAAGGCGCATTAAATAATTCATAGTTGTTTAATTACATAAACATTCATTATGGCGTCTGGCATTACTGCAACGGCTTATCAACTACCGCGCTCAATGTCAGTGCTTGTGCCGCCATATTTTTAACTCCGAAACTGGCGTATTGTACAAATCACTGGAGCTAGTTTAACTAACAAATTATGTTTTAAGATAATTCAGTGTTTTATTGATTTGTATATAAGTGCCTGATTACTCTTAGAGTGAGTTGTGGTGCTATTTATCCACAATCATCTGTATGAACGTCCGGCTTCCATGTTTTATTTGCGTTCACTGTTCGCGACTAACGCCCGGTCTCTGAGACACTGATCAAGTGATCATCGTAGAAATTCATTAATCAGCTGTCAAACGGCTTCTCAAATGTCATTTGAGTTGCCTAAAGGATTTAATTTGGAAGGTTGCCATTTAACAGCTGATTTTAGTTAATTTCTACGATCATCAGTGTTTCAGAAACCGTGCGTAAGTTTATCCAACCACTCCGCACAGAATCAAGTTTTGACATCAGTCAATTGCGTCACGTGTTTTTTTCCCGATTTGACAATTGCACGCTATAAATTGCATTGATTGTACTATTATGTCGATTTCGATCGCGGATTTCAGCAAAACAAATTACGTACAAATTTTCTAGGGGGGGGGGGGGGGGGGGGGGGGGGGTGTCACAATTTTTTCGCAGCACTTGTGCCCGCGACTGTGGGGAGTGGAACGCGGTGGCGGTATCACCAGTTGGGCTTCTTGTGCGTGATGGTCCACTGCTGGAAGGTGTTGTTGGGGTCGCAGGGCGCCAGGCCGAGCGTGCGCGATTGGGGCTGGAGTGTCAGGCAGTAGCCGTGCAGCCGGTGCACCAGATGTTGGTGCACCTCGTCGTAGCTGCGATGACGACGATGATTTTATTGAAGCAAGAAGATGGCAAGCTCCAAGAAATCTCATGAGGGGGGGGGGGGGGGGGGGATCTCTAAATTCACCTCACGTAATTAATGAACGCCGCTTTACCTCACTCACCAGAGGAACGAGTAAGTGTTACATTTCCGCTTCACGCCGCTATTTTGTGAGGTCGTGTTACTTCACCGGGCGGGCCTGCCCATTGATGCATTAATGCAACAACGAAGACCGCTGCGTGGTCCGACCACGTCGGATGATGGAATATCAATTGTAGTCTTCCCTTCGAAGATAGAGAGCCCCCTCCAAACTGACAACCCTAACGAAGTTGACGGTCACAAAAATATAAATGTGCGTGGATGGATGGAGAGTTGGTGGAAGGTAGTTGGTGGAAGTTAGTTGGTGGAAGTTAGTTGGTGGAAGTTAGTTGGTGGAAGTTAGTTGGTGGAAGTTAGTTGGTGAAAGGTAGTTGGAAGTTAGTTGGTGGAAGGTGTTTGGTGGAAGTTAGTTGGTGCATGTTAGTTGGTGGAAGTATGTTGGTGGAAGGTAGTTGAACTAAGTTAGTTGGTGGAAAACACGGATGACGCTGACCCGGACATAGAAGTGCCTGAGGTGACTCCGGGCGAGTTCGGTGCGGCTCTTTTAAAGATGAAAGCCAAGAGCACTGCCCCGGGTCCCGATGGCATCCCGGGTCGAGCATGGGTACCGGCCCTTGAGGACGCTCTGGAGCCCAGGCTGAGGGCAATGTTTACTGCCTGTCTGGCTCAAGCCATTATCCCACAGAGGTGGAAGACAGGCAGACTCGTCCTCATCCAGAAGGAAGGGCGTCCAACCGACTCCCCGTCCACCTATCGGCCGATAGTGCTTCTCGACGATGTGGGCAAGCTCTTCGAAAGAGTGATTGCCAGCCGCATCGTCAAGCACCTGGAGCACGTCGGCCCGAATTTGGCGGACAGACAGTTTGGGTTCCGCAGGGGCCGGTCAACCATTCACGCGGTGCTGCGATTGAGGTCCCTCGTGCAGGAGGCGGTTTCCCAGGGTGAGGTCGTCTTGGCGGTGTCTCTTGACATCGCCAATGCCTTTAACACCTTGCCCTGGGCTTGCATAAAGGAGGCGCTCCGGTTCCATGGAGTGCCTCTCTACCTGCGCCGCATCATTGGGGCTTATCTGTCGCACCGACGTGTGATGTACCCGTGCCGAGACGGCTACGGGACCACAGAGGTGACGTGTGGAGTTCCACAGGGGTCGGTGTTAGGGCCACTCCTGTGGAACGTAGGCTATGATTGGGTGCTGCGCGGTGCCTACCTCAGGGGTGTCGAGGTAACTTGTTATGCTGACGACACCCTTGTCACCGCCCGCGGTGCCAATTTTCACCGAGCGGCTATTCTCGCCACCGCGAGTGTGGCGCACGTGGTGGGACGCATTCGGCGACTGGGGCTAGAGGTGGCGCTTAATAAATCCGAAGCCCTATGTTTCTATGGGCCCCGGAATGCGCCACCTGCGGACGCCCACATAATAGTGTGCGGCGTCCGAGTCGACGTCAAGCCGGCAATGTCTGTATCTTGGCCTAGTCCTGGATCGCCGATGGAATTTTGTTCCCCACTTCGAGCGCCTAGCTCCAAAAGTGGCGAGAGCAGCGGCAGCTCTCGGAAGGCTGCTCCCGAACGTTGGCGGCCCCAACGACTCTTGCCGCCGCCTATACACCGGGGTTGTAAGGTCTATGGCCCTGTACGGTGCTCCCGTCTGGGCCGACACCCTGAATCGCCGGACCTTGATGCTTCTGCGTAGACCGCAGAGGGTGTTGGCTGTACGGGCCATACGGGGCTACCGGACGATATCCGGTGAGGCGGCGTGCGATAACCCGGGGCCACCTGCCGACCTTAGAGGAGTTGAGGGGGTGTAGACTAACGTTGCGCTCACTCGCTATTGCTGAGTGGGAGCAGAGGCTGGAGCACCCCAGTGCCGGCCTAAGAACCATAGAGGCCATACGTCCGGTACTCAGTCGGTGGCTGGACAGGCGTCACGGCACCCTTACCTACCGGGCGACGCAGGTTCTCTCGGGACATGGCTGTTTCGGAATTTACCTGTGCCGCTTGGCGGGGAGGGAGCCAACAGCGGTTTGCCACCACTGCGACGTATGTGCCGAGGAGACGGCCCAACACGCACTGGAGGAGTGCTCAGCCTGGCGGGAGCAGCGCCGAGAGTTGACAGCTATCGTGGGGCACGATCTCTCGTTGCCTGCCGTGGTCCGCGCTATGGTGGACAGCGAGAGGTCGTGGGGTGCCGTCCTTGCATTCTGCGAGGACATAATCACCCGGAAGGAGGCCGCGGAGAGAGAAAGGGAGGCAACTGCCACCCTGGAAATCCGCCGCCGGAGATCAGGGCGCAGGCAGGCTGGCCTACGCGCGCAACCTTACCCCCCTGATAGCAAGCCCCGGGGCGGCAGATGTGGGACTAACTGCTGCCCCGCGGAGGGCTTGAGAGGGGTGCCGTGTTCATTGCACCGACACGGCACCATTTGGCTGGACCGGGTGTCCCTAACACCCGGGGAGAGGAGGCCTGAGAAGGCCACAGTCGCGCCGGGGTTCGCGGAAGATTGCGTTCTCGTGTTCCCGTGTCCCCGGCAAAGCGATAGCGCAGGTGCAACGTGGGTTTTTTTAGTGGGTACGTGTAACTCCCACATACCCCTGCTGCCTACCCACAAGGCAGCGGGGGATCCATAAAGGATTTTTCCCACGTAAAAAAAAAAAGTTAGTTGGTGGAAGGTAGTTGGTAGTAGGTGGTGGTGGTAGGTGGTGGCGGTAGGTTTGGATGGTGGTAGAGTGGATGGTGGAAGGATGGTTGGATGGTAAATGGTGAATCACCTACCTCCAGGGTCCGTCAACGGTGCCCAGGCGGCAGATGGCCTGTTTCAGGCTCTCGCTGTCGGCTTCCACACACCTCTCCCCGACGCCCAGTTGGCCCGCCTCGTTCAGCCGGAACAGCTGATTGTTACCCGCACCGTGGCACGTGGACGTACCTGAACGTAATCGTCTCTTGAGTACACAGTCTTAAGTATTTTTTTTAGGTGAGATGGTGGAAATCGAGTTCACCCTATGTTAAGCGATAGCAGCCGCCCTTGGACATTTGCAACACCCGTAGGGATGCAGATGTTGCCACCGCTTAATAAATAATATTTCGAGTTTAGGTGAAGTGTGCCAATTCGCAATGGTCGATTCTTCGAATTTGTTGTTGTTGTGATGTTTTTCTTCACCCTTGCACGGGAAAAAGGGGACCAGCGAGGAAATGAAGTAATTAATTGATTATTGTAAATAGATTTGAAAACTAAAATTTAAATTGAAAAGATCACTCCTGAAGGGGTGATTTTCACTGAGACAAGCCGGCATCGACACGAGAAGGCTTTCACACTAAGTTCAACTCACCTACATACGAGGGCGCGGCTTTACCCATCGTGTCCAAACATACCCCGGCCGCCTTGTTCTTCACCATGCCCCAGTGAACGTTCTTCGGCAGCTTGGGAAACTTGTCGTATACGTCGTACGCCACGTTCTCCATGAACCAGCCGAAGCTCTTGCACTTCAGCCTCTCCTTCAACGCTATCTGCTCGCTGATGTCGCCCATGTCCAGGAAGCGGGCCATCGGCTCCCTGGTGTAGAAGTACTCCTTGTGCTCCTCGTCAAACCAGGTCTCAATCACCCTCTTGTAGTTGATAGTTATCAGGGAGCCCTTGCGGTTCTTCGCTAGGCTGCCGAACGAGTAGGGCATGAAGGCGCGGTACACGTGGCCGACCCTGGAGCAAGGCACCCACTCTATGCTGCCGCCGCATTGCCATATCTTGAAGCTCAGCTCGAAATTCTCGCCGCCCCACACCAAAAGGCCCGGGTCGTAGGCGCCTATCTCCAAGAAATAGCGGCGGTTGATAGCGAACAGGCCGCCGGCGTGTGTCGGGCTCTTGTACGGCTCAGACTTGTGCTTGTGGAGGCTTGACTCCCGTTCGGGCACCTCGTTCTCCTTGTAGAGCATGCCCCACTCGAAGATGCCCCTGTAGTTGGTCCCGTGTTGGTAGACGGGCCGGTACTCGAAGGACCTGTGGTCGATGCCGTCTATGACTGGCACCGTCATGATCCTGTAGTCCCGGTATATAGGGGCAAGGAGGGGAGGCAGCCAGTTTACGTTGACCTCGCAGTGGGCGTCGAGGAACACTATGACGTCACCGGTCGCCTCCTGAGCCCCTCTGGAGCGGGTGCGGATTAGACCCTCCCTCTGCGAATTCCTGATGAGGCGCACTTTGCCGTTCCATCGTTTTATGTAGTTGTCAAGGTTGTCCTTCAAGTTGTCCTTGTCCGAGAAGTCGTCGACCTACAACCGACAGTGGGTTTCGATTTAAGCATTTTAGAACTATTAATTATTAAAAATATTGTGTTGTCCACCACGGGGGCTTATTAAAATTTTAAACATAATCAATCTTGAAAGTAAGGTAATAATAATACGTAATCAAACTTTAACTAAAGATCTCAAACATCACGAAGTATCGGAACTCTGAACATATTTTTGTCATGTGTTAGTATTATTCTATTTCATCGAAAGACCTCGGAAGTGTATTGTGTACTTTATGACAACAAAATATCAGTACGCTATAAGAATAGCTGTGTAAATAATGTTATAATCAAATAATTAAAATATCTCAAGGATAAACTAATATTCATCATCACCGTGTACGAGTAAGTCGAAAAATAATTCCTTGAGAGAAAAGTTGGAAGAGTTTCTACATTTGTTTTCAATCAATCAATAAAAAAAACTAAATAAATAGTATTTATTAGTAAATAATTAGTATCTATAGCAACTACTAATATACTAACTTTTAAAGTGTAACGAAATTTAAATGAATGCTAGGATGTTAATCAATTCTGATTACAAGTCATTACGACACGTTAAGAGTTCGAAAATGTATAGTTTCTAAGCCATCGGCTTTAGCACCGTGGGTCGTGGTTTCGATTCAACATATAATTGTTCTGGGTCTGGGTGTTTTTTCCCAAGGGTTGGTGTCCGGAAGGCGGCCGGTCGAAACACAACCTAGTTAATACCATTGACAAGGTTGCCCGCGACTGAAATTAAATTTGTGCAAACGATCTTTATTACGTTTTCTTTTTTTTTTTTCATCTCTCGAACACTCACCAGAACCACTTCGTGAAGAATGTGCGGCGGTGATCTATCTATGACTGAGTGAACGGTCCTCATCAGCACGGAGAATCCTTCGTTGTGGAACACGACGATCACGGAAGTGGTGGGAAGGTCTTTCGGGTAGTGCCAATACTTGCACTCCTCGTGACGGGTGTCCGGTATAGACCTGGCGATTGGACATTTCTGTATTAAAATGAGGTGCTAGGGATGTTGAAAAAATATCGATATCGATATTTTCAGCTGATGTATTTGGACCCGATATATCGATACAAAATATTTAAAATCGAAAATCGTAACAAAAATTATTTTTTTTTCTATTTCGACCGCAGAGTCCATAGGTGTCAAATATTTAATACTTGACATACCTTTTTTTAAACAAGGGGTATTCTAGGACCTAGATCCGATTTATCGTTATATCGAGGCCGATATTGATATTTTTATAAATATCGATATATCTCTTCACTTTCGAGTTCGACAACCCTATGAGGTGCAAGCGTGCAATCGTTTAACCGGTTACCGCTACCAGTGGAAATAGACAACACCTTAAGGCTTTTCGGGGAAAGAAGGCCTAAGAAGGCCATAGCGGCGCAAGAGTCACGGAAGATTGCGTCTTCACGTTCCCGTGCCAAGTTACTTTATAAAAATACATTATGAGTTTCGTTTTATTTTACAACCTGATAAAATGGTTGGATTCAACGAAAAGGCTATACACGCATCTTACTATAATATTTTTCTTAAACTCGACGTCAAATGAGTTATAATTTTTTTTTTATATGCGACAAGTAATCAAGCGGGCGGATCACGTAATTCCACCACCTCAGGACATTAACAACATCTGAGATTGCATATTAATTGCCAGCCTTTAAAAATGTCAGCTCCGGGTAACCTTACTCACCAGACAAAATATGAAAGCATAATACTGTTCATCCACCTGACGCCGGTCTTATGTGAGAGCGAGGTACTTTTCCGGACGAGCCTGCCCAGAACCTGAGTAACTCCAGTAACTTTGAATCAATTCGATCATTTTTATAGGAACCAGAACGGTTTTTTGACTCGGAAATTTTCGAATTCATACTACTTGATATCACAGAAACAATTTATTCAAAGAATATATCGACACTATCCTCCTGGGTATAAAAAGCCTTACCCTAAATTTTAAATCGAATTCATTATTTTTGGAATTGGCAGTTTTTTATTTTGAAAAGTAAACATGAAAAAAGTTAAATACAATTTTACGGTGGTAGGGCCACGTAGCAGCCTCTGCTGTTGCACGAATGGGCTGGCTCGTCCGTGTAAGTACCACGACCTCACAGAAGACCGGTGTAAAGTGGAAGTATAATACTTTCGCGTTTCGTCTGGTGAGTGAGGTGGCCGGAGCCCAATTTTCAAAAGGTAGCATATGTCCGTGGGCGGCGGTATTCACTTAACATCAGGTGAACCGTCTACTCGCTTGGTAACTTTTCACATAAAAAAACTATTTTTTATAAAATGAAATTTTTTGCTTTACTCATATCCAAAACGGGTAAACAATTATAGAAATTTAATAAACACTTAATGTACTATTAAAATGCGACGGCGTTATGATGGCATAAATCTCGAGGCTATCCTTATATTAAATAAATCAAAAACAGAAATATATCCCTTGAATATAACAAAATCTGAAATAAAACCGTTAACTACTGACGAGGAAATCGACTACAACTCGACCATTAAGGTGTACACGAAATGACAATTAAACCACTGATAACTAGATTAAAAACGAGTGCTTTGATTAAAGGGGAAAGCCGTTGATAAAAACCGTGTTTTTTAATTATGATTGGGCAACATTTTTTATATTTCTTTATTTCCAACATAGACAATTTTTTAATTCCTGTTCAGTTAAAATTCCCTATTTCACCCAGGCCAACCAGCCCTGAAGCCGGAATATATTAAAAACCGGTCAAGTGCGAGTCGAACTTCTACGCCCAGGGTTTCCACCTACAAATTATACCACCATAATAAAATTGACAAATAATTACCACCAATTTTCTCGAGAACGGGTGGACTTAGTAAGTTGAAATTTATACCAGATAGTGAAGTCTACAAGTAAAGGGAAAATTCCGAAAAATAAAAAAAGTTGAAAATTCAGGTAAATTTTGGTACTTCAAGTTTTCGCGGAAATTTAAATTTGCCCATATCTTTTTATCGTGTTGACAATAGACCTCAGTATCTGCTATTAATTTTAACTTGCTAGGTCCAGCTGTTCCCGAGAAAATCGGTGGTGACACACGGACAGATAGACGGACAAGAGAGTGGTCTCATAAGGGTTTCTTTTTTACCTTTTAGGGTACGAAACCCTAAAAATGAGTCCGAATTGACGGGCGTAGATTTTGCTTATTTTATTTAAAGTACCGATATAAATAATTTAATTTCTATTACACCGATTTTTATTGCCTCAGCTTTGAAAACCAACCTGACCTTGTAAGCAGTTATGGAGTTCAATTACATTACTAATACATAAATAATACTAATACTAAAACATAAAACTATATACATTAAAGTTATATAATTTTTGTTAATTACTTCTCAATAGTTATTCTAAACGACAGGTTATCAGTTTGCCGCCTGTCGATAAAGCGTGAGGGCGTAACAAAGATCGACGAACAAATCTATCGGATGTAATTGCAGTGTTTTTTTTTATACAAAATCGGCGAACGACAATTTAGACGTCATGAGCGCTGAAACTATATAGCGAAACGAAGTTGCAAATATTTTTGGTTGGACGCTTTATTGAACGCGATTCCGTTCGATTTCTTCACTTTCTTAATGTAGCACACTTTTTTGCACTGCCACGTTTTTTGATATCCGATAGGCAAAATATGACATAAAATATTGTAATTCATTGTTACCAGTGGCAGATGACCTCGTTGAGATGTTGCCAAGCGTATTGGCTTCGTCGTCGGGGGTCGTGGGTTCGATTCTCACACGGAACAACTAATTGTGTGACCCACAAATAGTAATTTCGGATATGGGTGTTTTTCCACGGGAATTTTATGTATGTAAAATGTCCTTACAACATTTTTTGAAGGGAAGACTACCATAGACCTTTCTAGGGTTCAGTAGTCTTTGGAACTTACTACTCAAAGCCTTCTACACATAATACAAATATCAGTGAGCCAAATATTGCTGTAGTACTAAGTTTAATTGTAGACAGATTGAGACTTCATCTTTACATAGTTTCAAACAAAGTTTCTCCTGTTCATAGATCTTTTAAACTACGCAACGGATTTTAATGCAGTTTTTAGCAATAGATAGTGATTCAAGCGGAAGGTTTATATGTATACATGCAAATTATAGAAGAGAAAATACGAGAAATTTAATATCTACATTATACTCATGGGAAACAGGGGCAGGTTGCTAGTTATGTATAATTCTCAGAGATATGAATAAAGAAAAAGGTCATCCGAAATCCTGATGGAATTTATTATTTTTCCTGATATTTAGGGTGAATTAAGATACTTTTAAATTAATTTGATTACATATTTTTTGTAAAACATAAACTGACCTGTTCATAGCTATGTCATCCGATGCTGCAATATTCATACCATATTCACTCTCCGATTCAGTGATGTCATTTGCCCGATCCTGAGACATGTGGTATGGTTTTCCTTCTTCGCCAGGTCCATTAACTGATCTTCGGGTCTTAGGTTCAAAGTTCCCTAATTCTGTGAAATGATCAGACCCAATATATTATTTTTCCTTTATTATATCTATTTTTTAAAATTATAGTAACAAAATACCTATATGATACATTATTTAGCTATAAAGTTATGTTAGAAAATGTGTTTAAATTAAAGCAAATTAATTAAAATAAAGATGAAAGGACAGTATCACAATAATACAAATGTGCAGCTCATGATGACATTGTAAGTTATTTAGTTTTATTGTCAAGAACTGCTTTTACCAATGCGTCATTGGTAAAAGCAGTTCTTAGACATAATTAAAAAAATTAGTTTTGCTTGTGATAAATAAAACAAACATTAACTTTTATTAAAGTATAAAGGTTAGCTTAATGCATATGAAGTAATGTTATTAGTGGTGCCAAGCAGCCCTGCATAATATGTAGGCCTGCCAAATAGATTGATTAAAAAAAAGATGTACTTTAACGTCTGTGAAGAGAATTTATAAAAAAGTAATATAAGTAAATAGAAAAAAGATTGCATTCATACAATTAATATAGGCGTATTAATAAACTTATACAATATATGTTAATATTAAAAATTAACATTGTACTTAATAACAAGCCGGTTCCCAGACTGAGTATTGTTGTAAGCATGGCAAAACAATGCAACGCCGGTGCATTTCAATACTAGGACACGTAACTGTAGATTTATTCAACATAGAGTGATTTGAACAATTTCATTACTTACCGGTATTAAGGGTGGGATAAACATTTCTGTGGAACTTGTAGTAACTTTTTTGAGCATCTGTCTGAATAATTTCATTTGAATCTACGCCGACATTTGTGCTAGACCAACTATGAAGAGCGTAAATCAAAACCAGCAAAATTGCGCAAATGCCCCCGATGCGGTAAATTCGCCCACGTCTTACGTTTGTTATTCTCATCTTCGTATCAGTTATTGCTATTACATTACAAAAATAACTTTTCTAATAAACGAAAAAGAAACGAAATTTATAAGCAAGTCGTGACGAGTGCACACTCGATGACGTTTATTGTTGCTTTGAAGTTTTTGTGACAACGTCAACTTTACCGTTCCGTTTCGCATTATTGTCGCACCACTATCTCTCGTTCTAATTTCAATTATCCCGTAACTAAATTAATATTTTTAATAATAAAACAATTTATAATTTCATAAGATATTTTTTGCTATTGCAGGTAGATTAGTAGCTACTCAATAGTATAGCATTATTGTCATGGACACATTTCATTTTACTTAATATTTATTCCATACATCAAGTTAAAATCATTGGCCTAAAGGTCCTTGATACCGGGTCATAAAATAAAAAAAAGTTTAACTTTAAATCATCAATCAAAATAACCGTTGGTTGGACTTGGATGAAGTTAAAACTTGAAATTTTTAAATAGGTAATTGAATTGTTATGGTGATGTTGAGTGAGTTGTTGAAGGAAATTTCGTAAATTGTTGTTAATTTGCTAAATAAATGCTTGCAACTAAATAGAATTTCTTATTACCATAAGTCAGAATTACCCTTAATCATGGAGAAAAGTAAGTACAATTTGGTTTCTCTGGATATTAGAATATACAACTGTTAAAAATTACAAAATTACTGTGATTATTAATTTAATACGCAAAATAAAGTGCTATTTTCTTTGTCATTATATCTCTAATTAGTACTATACGGTAAATAACTTTAATTGGTACTATTCTCGATTCATTATAGCTCCAGCATTAACAGTGGAGAACTTCATCGATAACTGGAACATTGATTTTCCGAACTATCCTCTGACGCCACCTGATCTTAAGAAGTCGCACACAGTAATGGGTGCGCTATTCCATGTTTTCGATCGACTTGGCATAGACAAGGAAGCTGTGTTACAGGTAATTGTTTACGTTATTGTAAGCAATGATGAATGTTACATATAAATGTCTGCTTTTAAGTCAGTGGTGAGCTAGTTGAAGGGGATGTCCACTGGTTATCTAAATTTCTGTGTCAAATATTGTTAGGCTATATTGATGGGCACTTATAAGAACAACATTTACACTTCACGCTGGTCTTCTGTGAGATCATGGTACTTAACCGTATGGATATGCATATTCGTACAACATCTAAGACTGTTGTGTGGTCCTACCACAATTATTGCTTCACAGGCACAGGTACTGGATTCAGTTCCAATGTTTTGTATTATATTTCCAAGTGGGAAAAGAATTTCAATCACCCACAAACAATTATTTGAGATATGGATATTTCTCTATCTAAACTTTATGCAAATATTTCTACATAACACATACTAATCTTATCTTAAAGCATTGGATTAAGAAATTGTAAATATTGATTTTCTTCTCTATGTTCAGTTTCTAATTTCTCAATTAGATAGAGATAAGTTAGACTATTTTCTATTTTACAGGCACCGTCTGAGGATGAAACAAATAAACATGTTATGTACTACAGGGATTTGGTTCCTGTGATCAACATGACTCGCATCATTAACCACCTTGTCTCTGTGATGCCACAAGTCGGGGCTAATATCAGCATCATTCATTTCCTGCAACCAACAGCCACAACATCACATTCTATACTACTGTTACTCTACAACCTCATGGTGTTCAATGAAGAGCGCCTAAGAGATATTGCACCATATGAAGAGGAGTTGTTCTCCAAAAGTGATGAGGTTCAACCTGCTTTTTTAATTGCATTTTATAAAGAGTGTTACAGCTAAATTAAAAGTAACTCAAAAACTGTGCATTTTTATAATTTCTTTTATGTTTTTATTTATTTTAAGTTACTTTTAAGTTTACTGTTTCCAAAGTTATAAGAAATGCATTTGCTGAACAACCCCTACTTATGCTGTATTTAATGAATGTGTTTAAATTTCTTGTGATTTTATCAAAATCACCCATATTGACAATACAATCTATTCTATTATTATCAGGCATTTCATTTGATGTTTATAAATTTGATTTTTGTTGTTGTTTTAGGCATCAATATTGATGTTGTCTTATAGAATTCCTAAGGGATTTGCATCCAAAGGTACTTTACATAGTTCATGACACTGAAAATAAAAATATTATTCGATGAAGACAATATAATAAAATACACATAGACTGTGACACTTGATAGGTTATTAAAAAATGGACATTACATATTGTCTATGTTATTGATGGTAACAGATATAAAAGTTGTTTGTATTGTTTTCATTTTAGTCTTATTTAAAAACTTTAAATTTCAGGTAAAAACTTTAGAGAATAGAAAAAATAGACTACTTGAAATGCTCAATGAGCAGGCAGAGGAAAAGGGAAAGAGAGCTGAAACAATGGAGAAGGTATTGTGATTAAAATAAATAAGGTATTGCTTTTGCAAAGCATGAGAGTTAAATAGTTGTCTCATCTGAATTTTTTCATTTTCAGCTAGAAACCGAAATAAATAAGTTTTATGAGGAACTTAAGCAAGAGAAGGAGGCCCACGAGAAAGAAAAGCAAGAGTTGGATATGATTTTGAATGAGAACAAACAAGCAGAGATACTTTTAAAACAGAAGAAAGCTCACCGAGACGGCCTTGTAGCAGAAGTCGAGAAAAAGAGATCACAGAGAGTATATGATGCGGATGATATCAAGGCTCAAGCGGAACAAGCAGCACAAAATGTTCGAGAAGCAGAGGAAAAGCTCAACTCCTTGAGAGCAACACTGATGCAGAAAGAGAACAGCTTGAAGAATTTGCATGCTCTAAAGCCCAATTTGGACACAGCTAACAACTTATTGCATGAGATTATGAAGCTATCAGAGGGCATGAAGTAATTATAATATAATAATTAGTATTATTATTATTATATATATATATATATCATCCAATAGAAAACGAAATGTAGATAGATGTCAAGATTTTCACGCCGTGATGCCATCGTCTGGCGCGAAACCAGAAGACGCAGGTTTAAATCCCACAGCACTGAAAGTTTTTGTTCATTTAGATAAATTTAACTACAATTTAAAGTTCCATCAATAATCGTCGGATCCATAAATTACAAATGATCGTCGAAAACAATTTCTAATTTCGTCCTAATTATCGTTGAAAAAGGTTATTTGGAATTGTTCCGTATCCATCTTTTATACCAGTATGACAACAGTTCTCACAGTATCTAGTATCCAGTATAGTAAAAAATGTTATTATTTGTTTCCAGAGACGATGATTCTGACGATTTAGAGTTGGACAGCAAAGATGGGGAACTAGAAGTGTTCAACATGGAATTGAACGAACTGGAGGCACAGTTAGGCGAGTTGAGGGCGGCTAGAGAGGAGGCTGCCAAAAAGAGACAGGAGAGTCAGGCCAGAAGAGAGCAGGAGAGGATGCAGGAGAAAATGTTAGTAATCCTATGCCTATAAATGTCCCACTGCAGGGCAAAGGCCTCCTCTGTACAGAGTGTATTAGGGCGTACTCCAACACGCGGCCCCACTGCGGATTGGCTGACTTCACATATCTTCGAATTATTGTTTTTTTTAATTGTTAATTTTGAAAATAAAATTGTATGTCGCTGAAAACTTAAAAGCGCCATAGTGAAACATTGAAATTTGTTGGAAAAATGGCCAGTTTTTCGCCGCCGCCGGAATCGAACCCACGTCTTGCGGATTCGCACCCAGACGCTTTAACAATTAATGTAATCTGCTGATTGCCGCACCAACGGTAATTTCAACGTGTTTTATAGACATTTTTTTTTTGCTTAGTTTTGTAACAACTTTTTTTTTTAAATCCGAGTTACTACAATGTTTACAAGTAACATGTTAAAATCAAACGTTCACAGGAAACTCGCGGATGCCGAAGAGAAGGAAAGGAAAAACCAAGAGAGGGCTAAGAAAGCGGCACAGCGCATACTGGAAATCAAACAACTGACAGTTAAATATGAAGAGGAAAAGGCGCAAGGAATGCAGGAGCTTCCCAGAATTAAAGATACATTCACAAATGAAGTGAGTATGATTTGGAGTTTGGAAAGAGGCGGAACAATGAATGGGTAAAGGCTGAATTTTTTTTTGTTAGAAGGCAAGCAAGCCCCACAATGCGACCCCATTGCAGATTGGTGGACTTCACATATCTTCGAAACATTTTTTGTTGCTATTTCTAAAACATGCCTTTTCCGTTTTCCTCAAGACGTTTTCCTTCACTGCTGAACGTGTGATAAATCAGCACTTTAAATTAACAATTTCATTGGTGCTGGCATCGGGACTTAAACTCAAGTTTTTTTAAATCTTTTTTTTAATGTTTTCTTTGTTTCAGTTAAATTCCATTGAAGAAGCTTTAATAAACAAAGCGTTGGAAGCCAAAAAGAGGATAGAGGAAACACTTCGGAGCAGAAATAACCGTTGACACATGGAGTTGTTAACACTGTTTAATGTTACTCGAGTTTGTTAATTTTGTTAAGTAATTATCGGAGAATGTATTTTGTGCACTAATCATGTGAAAATTTGTTTTATTTTCCATGCACAATAAAGACATCCTTATTTCGAAGTTAAGGAGTTTGAATATTCGATAATGTGGTTCTGCAATATTAAATTATTTGAGTGCAGGTGAAATGTGACCTTCAGGAACTAAGAAGTAAATGGAATAAAGAAAGTATAAATCTCGACATAAAATTTCAGTAGTTAGGATATTCCTGCAGTCTTTTAATTCATTAAATTCTTAGAAACCATGGAATAGTTGCTTAAAAGATGTGGATGTTTGATATTTATTTACTAGTGGTTTTAGTTGGTTTTTACTAGTAATTTTAATAGCCTAAAAATATCCCACTGCTGGGCAAAGGCCTCTTCTGTACAGAAGGTATCAGGGCATAGTCCACCACGAGGTACCACTGTGGATTCACATATTTTCGAAATATTTCTTTTTTGTTATTATTTCGAAAATAAGCAGGTTTCCTCACGATTTTTCCTTCATCGCAAAGCTCGTTATAAGTGAGCATTTAAAATCAAAAACTTCATTGGTGCCGTCACCGGGGATCGAACCCAGGTTGCACGAGTGCATTTTGAATTAAAGGCGAGCGCCTGGACACAGCTATCACGGCTAAATATATAGATACATATAAATATTATATACATGTATATACGACTATAAGTATATATAAATGTCAATGAACATTTGTGTGTGTGTGTGTGTGTTACATTTATTGATATTTATTCCATCACATCTTTAGATGGCGCCTTTTGCATTCTTTGCCCACATTGAGTGTTGAAAAGTTTTATTAATCATTCATTTGCAGTTTGCACTGATAATTTAGCAGTTTGTTTGTTTATTTTGCGTTGTGTCTGGAGTTTCATGTTGCTCGCTAATAGCGAGGAAAATAAACTCCAGAATGTCTCAATCATTAATATTTAAGTTTGATCGGACAAAAATACCCCTTTGAGAAATAATGGGTAGGTAATATATGATTCAAATACAGTATCGGTACTCAGCAAACCGGTTGTAAAGTGGTTACAGTATTAATTACATGTTTCTCTGTTGCGTCTAATAACACACCTACGACATTCAATAGTTGTCCTCTAATGTTCCGTCGGTGTAGTCTAACAATAGCGGCCAGCTATAATGTTAAACTGTCCAGTTTATTCTAGTACTTATAAAGTGTGGATTTCAATCGCTCATAACTTGGTAAATATTTACTGTGTTGTCGCAAATTATTTAGTGGTTAAGTATCGCTGGCGGTGATTCTCATAAGTTAAATTAGCTGTAAAGGGACACTTACATAAGTACTTAGGAAAGTACATGTAAAGTTGCAAAACTACGGCCCTACTTATGGATTCATAAGTAGGACCGTAGTTTTGCAACTTGATTATCTTGTGCTATTGTTGCCGAAGCGTATAGTTTAGCGACTGCGTTACCGAGTTATAATTAAATTATTACACTTCAATTACATGTATATAAAATATGAAATAACTAAAAATGTAAAAAAAAAAAATAGTATATATCTTAACCATAATAATCGTTATATTTCCAATTTAATAATAAATTCTTCACAAGTATCGATCCTAAATACAATGTTATCTCTCCAGGGTACCTTCTAGTGTATACTAGCTGCTGCCCGCGGCTATGTCTGCGTAGGATAGGCTGAAGGCGTAATATTCAGACAGAAAGATAGATAGATATACATAAAAATATGTAATATATTATAGCCTATGTCTTATTCTGATGTATAAGCTATATTATTGTAAAGTTTCATTAAAATCCATTCAGCAGTATTTACGTGAAAGAGTAACAAACATACATCCATACATACAAATTTTCGCCTTTATAATATTATATTAGTAAGGATATCTTATCTTTATCAACAACTATCACAAGATATAAAGCAATTGAACAATCCATATTACTAATTAGCAATGGCGAGTGTCACGATCGTACAGGGGACGTTGAGAGGAGGCAAAACCAAGACCGATGGCGGATTTGAATATTTCGAGTTTTTGGGGGTTCCGTATGCCAAGCCGCCCGTGGCAGAATTGAGATTTAAGGTAAGCCTTTCCCTGTGGTAGAGCCAGCTTCTGCTGATGCACGTAGGGTCGGATTTAGGGGAAGGCAACCGGGGCATTATATTTACATTTTTTTTTCGCACTTTAACCTATAGTACTTTGTACACAAATGATTACATTAAATATTAACAGAAATTAAATATTAACGGAACCCTTCGTGCGCGAGTCCGACTCGCACTTAACCAGTTTTTTTATGTGTCAACTTACTACTTGTCAAGCGAGCAGGCGGTTCACCTGATGCTAAGTGAATACAGCCGCACATAAACATTTACAAAACCTGAGGGCTTTTTTGATGCTTTTAAATAAGCAGGCCTCGGCTACCTCACTCACCAAACGAAACCCGACAATATATTACTCAGACTTTACGCCGGTCACCTGCCCACTCGTGTAACAGCCGAACCTGTCTCATGGCCCTACCACTGTTGAATGATTCGCTAGAGATCATTGTAGATAAGCTCAGCTAATTCCCAAACTAAAATCCAGATGTTTAAAAATTAGCAATTATGTGAATGAAACGTGTCGCCTCAGTAAATCAGAAAGGCATTGTGTCAATTTTACATAAGACTCAATAAAACTGTGCCAAATTTGCCACCAGTTAAACCTAAACGTTAGGTTTTATTTTGTGAAAAGTTGCCAAGCGAGCAGGCGGTTCACCTGATGTTAAGTGAATACCGCCACCTTGGCATTAGCAGTAGCAGACTCCCGAGGATTGCAGATACGTTGATAACCTTTTGAAAATTGGGTTCCGGCTACCTCACTCACCAGACGAAACGCGAAAGTAAATCTTCCACTTCACGCTGGTCTTGGTAATATCCTGTGAGGTCGTGGTACTATCCCGAGGCTGCGAGGCCATACCACAGTAATGTTATACCATATAGGTACCTATACTCTGGTACGTTACTTATTTTAATACTTCCAGGGTTAGGTTGGGATTTATGTTTTTTAGAGTAAAGTTCGCCTTTATGCGCTGCATGTGCTTACTTATAAAAGCATATACAGTGGTTTTAAATAAGTAAATCTGACATTTGGTTGGGTTAAAGAGTCCTCAGCCTGCAGAGCCGTGGATTGGCGAGTGGGACGCAACGAATGTTACCAGAGATAAAACGTCGCTAATATACGACGTATTACAAGGTCAGCTGACGGGGGGCGAGGACTGCCTCTATCTGAACGTGTACACCCCAAGACTGAGCAGTGATGAGCTGGAGTTGCTACCAGTAATGGTGTTTATTCACGGTGGTGGTTTTGTTTTTGGCAACGGTACCGTGAAGAACGAGAGCGGACCAGATTTCCTCATTGAGCACGGAGTAGTGATTGTCTCGATAAACTACAGACTGTCCGTGTTTGGTTTCCTGGCGCTGGACATCCCGGAGGCGGCCGGCAATATGGGTCTCAAGGATCAAGTGGAGGCCCTCAAATGGGTGCAAGCCAACATACGTAACTTTGGCGGGGACAAGAACAATGTAACGTTGTTCGGTGTGAGCGCTGGCGCGGCGTCAGTCGAATACCTGATGCTCTCGCCGAAAGCTGAAGGGCTCTTCCACAAAGCTATCCTTCAATCTGGCTCCTGTCTCAACCATTGGGCCGTTAACTACGAGCCTAGGAGATTGGCCTACCAACTCGCTGCAGACCTTGGATACGAGGGTTCGGAGGAAGACAGCGCGTCGATATACCAATGTCTTTTTAACGCGCCGGCCGATAGCTTAGCGGCGAAGTCTCTGTACGTAATGGAGAAGTACACTTTGGATAGAGTCTTCTTTGGTTTCGTGCCGACGGTGGAGAGAGATTTCGGTAACAGCGATGCTTTTCTAACGGAAAATCCATATACGGTTCTGAAACGTGGATTTTACAATCGCTTACCGGTCATAAAAGGCTTCTGCAATAAAGAGGGATACTTAACGTGCATGATGAAGCCGAAAGCGATAGCAGACATCTTGAAGAATCATAACTTCGTCGATCATTGGCCGTTCAATTTAGATGCGGTGGACTTTGAAAGATACGGCGAGGCGTTCAGACGACTATACGTCAAAGAGCTACAGCTGGACGATGACGATGACAAAATGGCCGTGGACTTTTACGGTGATTTAGACTTCGTGTCCGGTATTTGGTTAAGTGGGAAGCTGATGGAGCGGAATGGCGCGCCGGTCTGGTTCTACGAGTTTTCTCACGAGGGTGATGTTAACATGTCTCAACATCTGTTTGGTAAAAAGAGGAAAGGGGCGGGGCACGCCGATGATGGGAACTACGTAATATGCAATGATGTGTCGAAGGCAGCGCGCGATTATGATTTGACTGTCAGGAATGCTATGTGCAAGATGTGGACGGATTTTGCTAAGTCAAGGTATGGTTGGATTTTCCATTCCCTATTTATTTCTGAGGGCGCTGTCTTTTATCGATTAAAAAGCATTACTTTAAACATTATTAGGTGTAGGAGAAAGTATGAAAACCTGGTGATTTGTAAATGTTTCATATTCTCAATCACTAAGATGAGAATACATAACTTATTCTCTTACTCAGACAATAATTTTATAGTATATTTTTTGCGGTTAATATATACGGCTAAATGGAAAATAATTGATGTCGTATTTTAAAAGGATCTGTTATTATTCTCTCTCGTCCCGTAATTTCTTATACATATTTACGTATACATATTATATATTAAATATTTTAATAAAACTACTTAGGTATAATAAAATTGATTATGGAAAGACGAAAGAAATACTTTGGCTTTTAGATATTTATGTGTTATATACCGCAAACCCTTGTTTTTAGCTTACCTACACTTGCGTTCAACGTCGACAACTTGGAAGAGTGGCCGACATACACGGAAGACAACCCAGTCTATTTGAATATCGACAAGGAAATACAACTGAAGTTCAACCACGAACCGGAAAAGATGGCCGTCTTTGAAGCAATATACGAAAAATATAGGAAATAGATCTAGATTTCCTTAAAATTTACGTAAACCTTAAAATGCATGCTCTTTGCAGCTTCTTTTTTGATGTACAGTGAAGTTATTTGTATTATTAAAAAACGTTTTATTTGTTGTATGGAGAGCCATATTTAAATTGGGAACACAATAGTGAGGAGTTTTAATTTATGATCCCATATTTTTTCTCTAAAAATGATAGTAAAAAAAATTCAAAAGATATTTAAAAGAATTATAAAAATTGAACTCGTGCGTATGCAGTAACGTAAGAAGTTATTCTTCTATAGTTGTTAGGCTATATAAAAATTATCAAAAAATTAATTATATTTTATCCCTTGTGCCAGTACCTACTCTTTGTGAAAAAGACATTAAATGCAATTGATGAACTTGGGATTATAGGTAAATGTCAAAAAGTTGCCGTTAGTTAAGTTATTGGTTGCCATGGTAATACCGTGAAGTAGGTGAAGTTCGTCGCTTTGCAACCAACTTTATCATATAACTGTCGGTGTGAGCGCGCGTCGTTAAAAACTAATATATTTTCTATACGCGGCAAAAGGAGCATAACTTCAAAAAAATAATAATAACCGATTCGTTTGCCGTGGTTGTAAGTTGTTTATAAAAAGTTTTTTACAAAAAAGAACCGACATCAAAAAACGGTTAGCACTAAAAAGTTTATAATAATGTTAAATCTAATATAATCAAACCTATATAACCTAACCTACATAACCTGTAATAAATTTTAACAATTTTAGGAGTCGGTGCCAAGCCAAATATCTCTGATCTGAGCATAAAATCATTCTCTACAACTTTGTTACACAGTTTAGGTGGATTAGATACATAAAAATACGTATAACTAACTTTTAATCAATTTATTAGATAACTGCAGTATTAACCGTTGCTTGGCTTTCTATTTTTTAGCAAGGTGTTATAGTGTACAACCATTACGCATATGGTGAACAATGGCACCGACTCCAAAAATTGTTAAATTTTGTTACAGGTTAGGTAGGCTAGGTTATATAGGTTAGATTTTCAAGATTTGATTATACCAGATTTAACATTATTATAAACTTTTTAGTGCTAACCGTTTTTTGATGTCGGCTCTTTTTTGTTAAAAAACTTTTTATTTTTATTATTTTTAGTGATTTAATTTTAATACTTAGGTTTTATAAAATATCGGTAGACGTAGCAGAGATGCTGCTCGTATGAGTAAACGGCGTCAAACTGAAACCGGGACTGAAAAAGGAAGACGATTTAAAGCAAATAAAGAAGAATATCTCTAAGCATTTCAAATTAAAGGCCTGACCAGCGCAAAAATACATTGTTGAAAAAAGATTCTATATGTCTATGTCCTCAATAATCGTCTTAGTTTTAGTAGTTAATTCGCACTCGTATAGGTATAGCTATAGGATTTTTTTAGGCCCTACCCACAGCGGAGGGCCCAAACCCGTGGGTTCTGACTAGCCCACCGCTTCTGCGTCAGATGAAGCTTTAATAGTCTCGGGACTGAAAGCAAAAACATCAGATAATTCAAGAATACAAGAATATAGGTTTTTTGATAAAGATTACCACGATGGCGAATTGACGACGAACGACGTCAAGGAATACTGTTGATAAGAGGTTTTGCCGATGGAGTTGCAGTTCGAATTTATCCCACTGTCACACAAGTACACGCCTTCAATGCTGAGATGATAGCTGAGAATGAGAAAACAGCGTGTTAATTGTGTAAATACGCTGTTTTCGCGTTTTCAGGGAGACTGAACACGTTTGTTTAACCTTCTTGGATATACAGACGTGATGTTATGTTGCTTGATTGCGCATGTTAATTTTAAAGTTATAAAAAAATATATGGTCGTGGGTTTATAGTCCGCGTTCTCCACTGTGTTCTGCGTGGCCGAGGAATTTCAGCTGGGTAAGGGTTTGCCAACAGGATAGGAGTCACGAAGACGTCTCGAATCTCGCGGCAGGTGATGCTGCGTACCGGAATTCGTTGGTTGGAACTTGAGCCCCAATATGGGATGACGTTTTATTAAGTAAAAGACTTACTTCAAAAATGTTTACTAACATTATAGTACAACGTGTTGCGCAACCCGAGCCGTATCGTAAGCCTGATCGGATTCAAAATCAAGCACACTCATTCATATGTAACACGATCGGAGAACCTGTGAACTCGCCATTATGGTTTACGCTCCGTTATTAAAATGTAATAAATGAAAAATAAAAAAAATATAATAAACGAGATGATGAAATCGCGGTGAATACCCGCGTCTTCCTTTTTATTCTGGACACGTTAATCGATAGCATTGAACCATCGATGACCTTGAATTGTTAGTGTCAGCTTGTATTATTTTTCAATACATAGGCGACATAAGGAGACATCAAATAATGTATAATTTTCTACCTGTATGTTTGTGTATTATATATTTAAGACATAATTTAGTGAAAAAATTAAAAATTTCATCCTGAAATTTTGTATGAAAACTAAGGATCATTTGTTGTGTAATTTGCTGAAATATTTTAGGAGTAACCATTATAAGAGAAGTAGCGCGAAAAATTGATCTCTAAATACACATATACAATATCATGACACTGAGAATGAATTGAGTTAAAATAATTATAATTTCATAATACTGAGAATGAATTAAGTTAAAATAATTATAAAGAAAGTATGTTTATTAACGAGAATGGGTCTATACCTATTAAAAGTCATACATGTATGTATATTCTTTATATACGTTTTGATGTAATACATAAATGCACAGTGAAGTTTAAAAAGAGATAAAAATAGAAAAAAAATTTTATTGTGAAAAAATTCGGTTATGTATCTACATAATATAATAAGTAATAAATGTTTGAAAATTGTACGCAGTTGAACTTAGTAACAAGTAGTAATCATATAAGAAAACATACAGAGTAAAACACAGTAATTATATTAGGCCAGTAAAAATAGAATTTAACTTCGTACTAAATTACCGATCCAATTTTCATTCTATTCAATTCTCCAATTTTTAGTTTAGGAACACACAAAAGACGCGAAATTTGATTCTCTATATTATAGTCCTATAGTGGTTTCTATACCTGTTGCCCTAAATCTGTAATCCTAAAACTGATATGAAACAAAAATTGGATCGGTAATTTAGTGCAAGTGCACTTCGCGCCGGTTTTCTGTGAGGCCGCGGTACTTTCCCAGATGAGGCTGCCCATTCGAGTAACAGCAGAACATTGATCTTTCTCTGGTTTCTGAAAAATGAACTTATAAGGAAATGCTAAATGAGAAACTAGTGTATATTTGTTTCTATATATTTCGTTGCCTGAAACACCTATTCTCTTCACATACATATAAATACAATAAAGGTTATCAAAGTTTAGTTACGTTCAACAATGTACCACCGTTTGAACCAGTTGGATTGTAATATTGTTTTATCGGTTGCGTGTTAAAGTTCAAATCATTGGGAATCCCGTAACTGAAACCAGCTGTGGTGTTGCTGCGGAGATAACGAGGAGTCCCCTTTTCCGCGAGGCGAACACACTTTTAGTGTTCGTCTAGCTTGTATTTAGGCACGGCCGTGTCTGACAACAGACAGATTGTCATCCGACGTGTCGTCTGACGGTTGTCTTCTTTTGTTTCAATTTTTTTATTCGTTTACTTTTTTTTAAAACGGCCAGCGCCATGAAGTGCATCTTTCTTTTGATCGCCTTCGCTGTTTTCATGCAATGCGAATCGAAGACGCTAAGCAGATGCGAGCTAGTCCACCAGCTCCGGAGCCACGGGTTTCCCGAGGACAAAATGAGGGATTGTGAGTAATAAATGCTGCATATTTTGCTTTCATCACGTTGTAATGTAAACAACGAAGCAGTTGAACGTAACGATTTTTTATTGATGATTGTAAGACTTAAATTGTAAAACAAAATTTTATGTTCATATGATTTTTTTTTATTAATTATATTTATTATATATAATAATTATTTATTAATTTTTGCAATTTCAATGCGCCCACTGGAATTTATTGTCAAGAACCCTACGCAAGTTGTAACTCCACATGTCCTGAGGGGGTCCTACGTTACTGTTGCATACACAACATAAGTATATAGATATATAATATTATACCGATATAACTTGTATGTCTAACAATGTTTGTACGCGGGAAAATCGCGTCCATTTTGATTTTTAACAAAAAAACATTTATTTACCAAAAACATTTTTAACTTAATACTTAACACATAATGTTTGATGCCCAGGGGTGTGTCTGGTGGAAAACGAGAGCTCCCGCCGCACCCACCTCATCGGGAAGGTGAACAAGAACGGATCCCGGGACTACGGTCTATTTCAGATCAACGACAAGTACTGGTGTAGCAACACCAGCACGGCTGGCAAGGATTGCAACGTCACATGTAACGGTATGCGATCATACTAACCTCCAACAAACCTACTTCATATCGTTACCCCAATGTTTTGTTATATTTAACATACCAATTAAAACTAATTAGGTGATAAAATTAATAGAAGTTTTACTATAATACAAATAAAGTAAGCTCTTATTTAAAAACTAAAATAGTTAAAAAATGCTGGACAATTCGCCACCGTCTGTGGGCAGCGTGCCCAGTAAGCTGGCCAAGTTGTTACGTTGTATCGCGATGCTGATTCGCTGACCAAAGTACGAGCCAGCTCTTGGGTCAACAGAAATGGTAACCAGACGCGAGCAGATATCTTTGTACAAATCGCGTCTGGTCCCCACGACCCGAGTGTCTCCACGCCAAACGGCAGACATACCAATTATATTTCCAAACAAACTGGTCGTTTAAGATTCTTCTCCGCCATTTCAGATTTGCTGACCGATGATATCACGAAAGCTGCGAAGTGCGCCAAGAAGGTGTTCAAACGTCACGGATTCAACGCCTGGTACGGATGGAAGAACAAGTGTCAAGGTGCGCTCCCCGACATCAGTTCCTGCTAGAACGTTCGAGACTAAGAGGACTTGGAGAGGGAAAAGTTATACCAAATATCCTATCATATCTTTGTGATATTCTTCAGCATAAACATTAATTCTGATTAAATGTTATGCGTAACATAATTTATTTTACTTTCGTACTGAACAGATTAAGGGGAGTGCCAGTTATAAAGCAAAAAAGGTAAAGTACCAGCCTGTACAAGTCCCACTGCTGGGCAAAGGCGTCCTCTGCACCCCACTGCGGATTGGCAGACTTCACATATCTTAGAAATTTTGTTTTGTTAGAAATTAAAATTTTTATAGTGCTAATATCTGCAGTTAAGATTAAACATTAAAATTTGTAGAAAAAGTACAAAAATATTGTCGCCGCTGTGAGAATCGAACCCACGTCTTTGGCATTCGCGGCCTGACGCTTTAGCCTCTAAGCTAAACGGCTGATTGCCACACGGACGAAAATCTTAACGTCTGTTATCTACATTGTTTAGTAGCATTTGAAGCAATGCTTGGCGCATCCATTGTTATATACTTTCCAGCATACAATCGAATATCGTTTTACAATTTAACATTTTAAGTATATCTTTGGTGTCACACCATGATTTGAACTCTGGTTGCTCGAGTATATTGAATTAAAAGCGAGCACCCGGACACTGAGCTATTTCGGCTGATGAAAGAATGATGCATTTGGTAGCTAGGATAGAGACGGGAGCAGAAACAAAAACCTTATATAGTTAAGTGTAATGGCGTCCCCATAACACAAGATTCTATATGATATAATATGCAAAATGAAATATTACTCGAAGCCTTTTACCCAATACAGAATTTATCTAATGAATTTCAGCCTTCACTATGAACCAATTGACACGCAGCTTTTATTGGGTTTATTATTGACAATCATCACTTTTGAACTCAAACATTTGATTCATGCTTCGAATGTGTAAGGAAAAAGAAAAGAAGAATCATCCGGTGTCCATTTTTCTCTGGTAACAATGTGTTCTTTAAGATGCACTGTTAATAAGAGCAGTGTAATCATGGCTGTTCATAACGTTTGGAATCTTGTTGGAAAGTAAATGAAGTGAACTCTACATTTTCTAATTATTCAACATTTACAACATTAAATCTAAATTACATATTATTGAATAAAGCTTTTCTAATTCAAATTATCTGCTCTACTCGTGATCCATTATTTTATTAGGTTTGTTTATTTGTTTATCATTCAAAGATGGCACTTAAACAATGTGCTCAGGTTCACTTTGTTCTTCGATATTGTTAGCAGTATTGCTATTACTAAGATCACGACTTTCTATTATTTTCCGTTTTACTTGCGTTCCTTCAAATCACGTATGCTTTACGGTTATCTGGCGCATTGTAAAATAAATTATTATTATGCTCCATTCCATATCATTCCAATTTTTGTTAAACTATGTAACGTTTTGATGGACGTTTGAATCCATTGACAGTATGAGTTTAAATATTAATATTTTCGTCTCATATGTGCGTAAATATTTACGGCTTACACAATGCCCGATTTCTACCCGACCATATTAAAAGAATAAGGTGTTCTTTGAAAACAGCATTTATGATGACATGACCTTTAAATTTACATGAGATTTATGGGCGTAGTCGATTTTACAAACGCGCCGTTTCAAAACAAACACCACACGACACTCGCATAATAAATGAGATTGACGACTGATTGACTCAAATGACACAGACACAATCATTGTCCAAATGCTAGGCTAGGTTCCAATTTAGTAGATATTTAGGTTAGTACCGCGACCTCACAGAAGACCGGCGTAAAATGGAAGTGTTCTACTTCTGCGTTTCATCTGGTGAATGAGGTAGCCGGGGCCCACTTTATTAAAAGATGGCAACGCATCTACAACCCTACGGGTACTGCAAATGTTCATGGGCGGCGGTTATCACTTAGCATCAAGTGAACAGCAGCTCGTTTGACACTTTCTCGCATAAAAAAAGGATTTTATTGTTTTCAGTTTTAGTGATTCATTTTCTATATTAGGTATGTATGTCTATGTTGTATTATTTTTGACACTGGCAAAAAATTTGCAACTGTTTGAAAAAGCTAAAAGTAAAGTTTGACACGATTTTTTTTTTTTTGAAGTTTTTATTTGCCTATTACAATTTTAATGTGAATATTATAAAATTGAGAATTTTAAGAACAACTTGACATTGGCGTAATTGTGATAACTCACAAAGCAAGCCATTAATAAAAAGAAGAAGAAGAAAGTTTGACACATTTTTTTAGTTTCAACATTTAGTAAATAATAACTAAATTGATAGCTCCGAAATTTTAGGGAGATTAAAAAACAATGAATTCCCAAAAGAAACAAAGAAGGAAGAGTGTTCAGAACAGCGATCCCGGAAAGATCCTAGATCTAGTCATGAACTTAACGGACGATAAGTGTGCTCTTATACAAACAAAAATTAATGCATATGTAACTAATTATCCGTATATAGGGCTTTCACGATTAATTTTAGCAGTATACAATTTGTAATGACGAAATGTTTTCAATTAGATCCGTGAAGAGTGTGAAGCTGAATTGGCGCTTCTAATTGTAATAAACAGAGAGCATATGGATGCATTTGTGGAAACCGTTGGAACATCTGTGTTGCTACGAAGGCGCGAGATATGCGTATGTTGTTCAATAGTTATTTTAAAAAGACACTGGACTTTGTCATGTAATTTCAGGCCACGCTCTTGAATGGTAGATGTGGCTGATGGGATCACTCTCAAGCCAAAAAGAAAACTCTTTATTTGAACTTATTTTAGACCAAACGTAATGATTATGAAATTTATGTAAAATACAAGAGTTATGTTAGATAGCTAGACATGTTACTTCTCCAAGTGATTTTAACGGAATCATTCAAATATGACAATTCAGTCTGAACAAATAAAACTAACATTCCAAAATTAAAGTAATTCATACATAATATATAAATCAAACAGGTCACAGTTGACATCAAAAGAGTATGTATAATCTGATATTACCAATAAACACACGCAACAGTCTTCGCTGTTGCACGAGTGGGCAGGTCCGTCCGGGTACTGTGGTACCACGTTTTCACAGAAGACCGACGTGAAGTGGAACTATTATACTTCTGCGTTTCGTCTGGTAAGCGAGTGTTGAAAAAGACCATGAATGGCGGTTATCACTTAACACGAGGTGAATCACCAGCTCGTCTGCCACCTTCTCACATAAAACAATAATAAACGAGAGCATTCATAAGTAATCAATTGTCACCATGAAAATTGAATGATTATGCCAACACTTTGCAGTTGACTCAGAGGATCATCGACGCTCTTGAGTCCGGTACTGAACAAGCCGAGTACCTGAGTAGCATGGGAGATGATTTCAAAAGTGTTGTGGAACCTGTGAGTGTAGCTCATAATTATACACAACATATTTTTATTTCTAGATGATCTTTTTAAGCATAGTGATTCAGTATCCGCGGGTTGCTCGATTTGAATTAGTAATTCGCAAGGTAGGTACCTGAATCAGAAACCACGCATGTAAGGTTAGATTATAGATTAATAAATAAGTCAAGAAATATTTCGGATAAAATCACAAAATCACTAATCTAGAATATATTGCGGGTTCTAATACTCTCTGTTCAGAGGTGGCCTGTACCCTACTTTTGCTGTAAGCTTCAAAAAGGTTAGTACCTAATAAATAAAATTAGTATGTAATAAATCAAAAATGTCTTACTAGCTAAATGTGAAAATGGAAAAGGCATCAAATATTTTTTTTTATTAATATTCTCACGATCTACAATTTTGAATTTAGGTGTTACTAAAAATTGTTTCCCTTAAATAGTTCATGGGTCTGGAGTAATTTTAAAAACAAAAATAAACAGTAAAGTGTATTATTTTACAAAAGAAGGAAAAATTACAAATAAATGGATGTGTATGTACATGGCTGTTGTACGGGCGCCCCACTTAATAATTTTTTATTCCGTTTTTTAGTATATTTAGAAATACATCAACTGTGATAATTTCAACTGTCGCAACTATCCGGTTCATGAGATACAGCCTGGTGACAGGCAGACAGGCAGCGAAGTCTTAGCAATAGGGTCCCGTTTTACCGTTTGGGTACGGAACCCTAAAAAGTGGAGATAGACGCAACAGATCTTAATTGTTATAGAACTTGGAAGGGGAAAACCCCAAGAGGAGAATAGTGATGTACCCCATAGCGGACAGGCCGTTTTCGTTGGTCGTTTGCGTTATCGCACCGAAGCTGACGGAGGAACGGGTACCATTAATCGTCTACGAGGGCTTCTTGTAAGTTGCAACTTACTAAATAATTGTCGTATTAAATGAATCAAGTCTTAATTAAAGCACAACTCCAATAAATCGAGACGAGAAAAAAGTAATTCTTCTACATCTGTACAGCGTTTTTCTTCAAAATAAATATATTTTTAAGTATGTATGTCAGGTAAGTACCCATTATACCTTAGCTTAGTTTGTTAGATAACGTTGTGTAAAAATATGTCAAAAAATATCAAAATAAATTTGGAATAGAGATATACCCTATGCTTCGACAACACTAATTGTGTCTGTCGAAGTTGTTATATGTATCACTAGCTGTTAACCGCGGCTTCGACCGCGCGGTCAAAGGGAACAATGAGTTTTTTATTATTCAGCAGAATATCTCGCAGATTGCTGAAATTTTTACTACTTAGTTCACCCTTATTTATATTTTGGAAAATTCACACAATATCTTTATAAATTATAGTCTATGTGTTATTCCGATGTATAAGCTCTATTATTGTAAAGTTTCATTAAAATCTATTGAGTAGTTTTCGCGTAAAAGACTAACAAACATCCATCACACAAACTTTCGCGTTTATAATATTAGTAAGGAAGTGAGATGTGGTACATTTCATCAAATTAAGCTTTGTCTAAGTATCCAATGGAGTCTGTAGTTATATATTCGTAGTTTAGTTTGATATCATACCTTCTTAATTAATAAGTAAATATCTGTGTATTGTGATATTTAAAAGGTTTTTTTGGACCGGTGCTTAAGAAAGCAATCGCGTTGGAGCAAGAGTGTGCACTGAAACAGAAATGCCAAAAGTTGCTACGCGTCGCCAGACGTCTGTTCAGCCAAGTGAGATCTTTATTTATTACTCTGTCATCAGCATTGTTTCCTCTTTTAGACCACTGTTCAAAATAGAGCTCCACCATAGACTGACAAAAACCCACGATCTACGCCCTCTATCAGTCACAATTTAATTATTCAATATACTTAGGCTTAAATTAAACTCTTATTGAATGTCCAAAAAAACTATCACCGGTCACTAAACTAGACCTGACCAGAGAAGAACAGTGAAGAAACTCTGCGGTCTTGTTAACTTTTTGCATCCATAGACTTTCCGCACATTTGCATTATACAAGCACGTGAAAAAGGTAAAAAGACAGCCGCGTCACTAAATAATACCATAGTTTTATGTCGGAGTACATAACCAGGGACTTGAATCGTTTAAGATCTCTCCAGATTCAGGATTGATTTTCAATCACATCCATAAAACTTGCGACCGATGAAGATTTCTATAGCCCCAGTGACCTACAGCGATATAATTTAATTAATAAACATGCGGCAAGAGCGGCAAGACCCATCTGTACAATATGAGGTGGAGTGGATTGACAAATGTTACACAGATTATAAACGTAGAGCGTTCAGTGGTTTGTGAATGGCTTGATAAAGGAATATTGGGGACGGTTCGGTAACTGAGGTAACAGGACGCCCACTACCATAAAGTCTCATGTAACTGCACGCCATTGGGATTGCGAAATCGTTAAGAGGTCATGGGTAATCATCACAATCAGGTAAACCGCTTCCTCGTTTTTTCCTTATGAAATGTAAGCAAGCGAGCACACAAGTACAGCCAGATTCATCGGATGTCAAGTGATTACCGCGTCCCGTAGACAACTGCAACAATATTGTTATAATCTGGACGTCCATTTTTACAGAATTTGAGAAGATAGGACGTCCAACATATGCGTCGTGAACATAATTATGATGCACTAACTGAACGTTCTAAATTTTTAGATAGACTCTTTGCCGGCACTACTGCATGTTGTGACGGAGCAAGCAAAGTTGCTCCTGAAGGCCGAACATTGCTCCGTGATGCTGATCGATGTGGAACACATGGACCTTTTCGAGGTTCAATACCCCAGCAACAATGAAATGGTATTTAATTATGAATGAATGAATGAAATAATACACTTTTAAATCACCACAAATAAAAGTATATTGAAGTCCGTAGCCGAATGGTGCATTGTAAATAAAGTAGGTAGGCGAAAAAATATATTCGAAAAGACATATTTATGTATATCTTTATTATCTTAAAGAGGAATACGCAAACGGTGAAACGACGTGTCAAAATGGGCGCCGGCATCACGGGCCTCGTGGTGAGCACCGGCAAGCTTGTCAACGCTAAAAACCCAAAGCAACATCCCAACTTCGACCCGACCATAGATTCGTACCCGGATATCGAGTGCAAGTTAGTAATTGGCTTTAACGTTATTTACAGGTGAAAACTAACAAATGAATCCTAGAGATAATTAATTTTGGGTTACGGTATAAAAAGAAAATGCTTTGAAAACATACATTTTGACACCGAAAATTCGCTATTTCGCTTTTGAGAGTTACAGATGATTGTTGATCCAGATTGATGATCTGGGTCTTAGTTCCCATGGAGGGTTGACATTACGCAGGCGGCTGGTCTGCAATACCCTATTCGAAACCACTTACAACATGATTCACATGCATGTTGTGCCACCATCTAGGTTCGATTAGGGCAGGATGACCATGAAACAAGAATGACTCCTCTCCTCTCATATTGTGTTGAAGGTATATATGTTGTAAGTCATTTATTATCTAATAGTGAACATGTAAAAAAGTTACCTTTTGAAATCGCCTTGGCGAACAACGTCTGCGCGTCGGAGGGACGCCTAGAATCTCTTATGCCCCACGCATTTAAGCAGAGTCCACGCAGATTTATCCATGATACCGCCACTGGTAAAGTCTCCCTCTGCGCTCTAATTGTCGTCTACAATAGGACCGTTTCCTTGTTTATAGCAAAACCGAGCGGTAAACACTTTGCTACGTCAGGCCCCTCTTGATAATCTATCATCCACCGCGCTCTAACCGTCGTATACAATAGGTCCATCACCCATTTTATACCGAAACCTCCCGTCCAACACTTGGCAACGACAGGTCCCTCTTGGTATTCCCGATCCGCGACCAGAGCGGCATCATCGGCGTCGTCAGCATCGCCAATAGAGCCGGCGCTTCTCACTTCGACGGAATGGACGAGGAGATGGCGCTCGCCTTCAGCGTGTACTGCGGCGTCTGCGTCGTACACTCGATGGTGTACCAGAAGCTGCAGGAGGCGCACATCAGGAACGCGCTGGCGAACGAGCTGGTCATGTACCACATGAAGGTTGGTGCAAACGCCTCTCGGATACAGATCCGTGCCGCGGCCGATTTTTGTTTGAGAATTTCGTGTAGTGAAAAAGGAGATAAACGAGCAAGCGGGTCAACTGATAGTAAGCGATCACCGCCGCTCGTGGACACCTTCAACAAAGGAGAAGTCACAATTGCGTTGCCGGCCTTCGAGGTTGGAGTAGGCTCTCTTCTTGAAGATGACTAAGTCGTATCTGTCCGGAAATACCGCTAGTGACGACTGGTTCAACAAAGTAGCCGTGTACTTTAGAAAATTACATAAAAAACGACTCACACACCGCCCTGTGGTGTCGATGGTAATTGGCGGTTTGACGAGTTGTACGATGTTGAATTTCGGCAGTTAATCCGATCAATTCCTCTGAGCACCCTTGATAAATCTATTTGGAATAGATGTGACGTTTATTGATGATGAGTGTGATGATGACTCCGTGGCGCAGTTACCAGGGTATTGTGCCAGTGGCTTCGGCGTGGGGGGTCGTGGGTTCAATCCCAACACGGGACAGCTATTTGTGTGACTCACAGATTGTTGTTTCGCATCTGTTTGTCCACGTGAAATTAATGTTTCTAAAACGTCCTTACAACACAGGATAATGTAATCTTAAAGTAAGGGCAAAGTCTTTAAAAAAAAGAAAATTGTTATGGGATAGGTAAGCGAATCAGAAGTGTCGCGGTTACTGGAGTGCACGGGTTTCCATGGCAACCCGCACGTCGGCAGTCTGAACTTCAATCCGCGCGCTCTGCCGCTACGCGAGTTGCCCTGCTACGCACTCAAGATGTTCGACGACCTCGGTCTGATAAAGAAGTAAGCGATTCCATGGCTCTTAAGGGTATCGACCATCACTAAGTTTCTGAGACCTGCTTTAGAGTGGTGTAAGTTCGCCATTTATGATGACAGATGCTGACTAAAATTTGACTCGAAATTATGAATTCAAATTATGTTTTCAGCGTGTGTAGGATTTTTTCAGTATCAATATTTTGCTCCATCTCTTTGGTAAAGCGTTTTGTAAAAGTATAAATAGATATTTATATAGTTCTTTACTAACTAGTAAATTCGTTTTCATTAATATCGTCGATAAGTCCTCATTGTGAAATGCTTCTAAATTTAACCATAATCAAAGCGAACATATGAGATAAGTATCAACTACACAATAGTTTAAAGAGGATTAGAGACACTTAAGTTTATGCTGTTTTACGAAGTACCACTGCCTCAAATAGTACGCATAGAAAAGTCCTTCTAAGTTAGTAAGTTAGAGCCCATGCTATCACCAAGGACCTCGTTTTCCAAACAAACAGCATAATCGTTTGCCATCAACTGATGTCGTTCGTTTGCCTTTAAAACATGTCTTTAAAAAAGTTCTAACGAAATGTTCTCGTGAAGGTTCAACCTGAACCGTGTCAAGTTGGCGCGTTTCATCCTGCACGTGAAGAAGGGCTACCGAGACGTGCCGTACCATAACTGGCTTCACGCCTTCAGCGTGACCCAGTGGGCTTACGCTGCCCTGGTAAACTACGACCTGGTTGCCAAAGGATACCTCAAGTTAGTGAAAATACTGGCATTAGAAATGTCACGGTGGTATTTCTTAAAAAAAGTAACGACAATATCATCATCGTTATCATTTCAGACTGTTTTAGTCCACTGCTAAACAAGGGTGGGGCCCTTGATCTACAGACTGATCCTGAACCATCTACATCAATAGACTTCCCGTACATTTGCACAGGTCGTTACTCCATCTAGTGGGGGGGGGGGGGGGTCGTCCTATACTGCAATGCATAGACACAAATTGAAATGTATACACAAAGTGATCCTACACAACCGACATGAATTTTTTGCGGTTTTTATAGATGTATGGTAATGGTACGGAACCCTTTTTGCGCGAATCCGAGTCGCACTTGGCCGGTTTTTTTTATTAAAGCAAATTGTGCATTTAAGCGTGTATAGTTTTTTACAAAGGCCTCCGAATACTATGTTATTTGCTTTTCAGCGATTTGCAAGCGCTAATGTACCTAATAGCCTGTCTTGTGCACGATCTGGACCACCGCGGCACCACGAGCAGATTCCAGATAGTGGGGCGTGAGTGTCTTCAAAACTTTATTTATATGTTTACGGTGGAAACCAACATTTATTTAGAACAACGAGAATAAATTGTGATAACTACCTTATATTTTTACTCATAGTATTACATGCATAATGGCAACATATTTGAACATAACATTATAATAGTCGACATATTTGGAATATGCGATGAAAACAAGTTATACTTACTTATTTAAGAAAAGGAATAATTTGATAATTTAATGTAGGTATATACTAGAAATATGAAAAAATACAAATATGTGTACTTATGTACGTACGTAAGAAGTTATACTTGTTTAGTGTATCTAAAAATTTTTATCCCGTGTGCCACTACGCTTGGTTTTTAACAAGACATTAAAAAAATTATAACGTTTTAATTTAATAGTTTGGAAGTATAGGTAAACGTTACAAAGTTCAATCAAAAAGTGCCCCATGGCCCCACTGTTAACCACTTTTTGAGGTTTCTCAACTTTGTGACAATCGCGCATCGTCGAAATTCCCTCTTTTTTTTTATTTGAAAAGTTAACAATCGATCAGACGGTTCACCTGATGTAAAATGAATACCGCCGCCCATGGACATCTGCTACACCCGTGGGTTACAGATGCGTTGACAACATTCTGAAAATTGGGCTCCGGCTACCTCACTCACCAGACGAAACGCAAAGTATAATTCTTCAATAATAATATCGTTTTAACCACGTTTCACGTACGGCGCGTTCGTACTTGGTAGAGACCCCGCTGGCGGCGTTGTATTCGAGCGCCGGCAGCGTGTTGGAGCGGCATCACGCTGCCCAGGCCGCGTGCCTTTTGAACACGCAGGACTGCGACGTGTTGGCGCCCCTGCCACGCGCTCAGTACGACCGAGCTCTACTTCTGCTGCGCGACAACGTGCTCGCAACGGACCTCGCGAACTTCTTTAGGTACCTACTTAAATGTTATAAAAATTTCGGGGCATATTTTTACACCATGTCTTTTACACCATTATCTTTTTTTTGTGTGAGAAAGTGGCAAACGAGCTGGCGGTTGAGCACGTGTTAAATGTTAACCGCCGCCCATGGACACTTGCAACCACCCGTAGGGTTGCAGATGAGTTGCCAAATTTTAATATAACGTTCCCCGGCTACCTCACCACACCTGACGAGACATAATGACAAACACCCATGTAACACATCTACTACACGCCGTTCTTCTGCGAGGTCGTGGTACTGACCCGGACGGACCTGCCCATTCGTGCAACAGCGAATGCTGATGCGTGGCCCTACCGCCTGAAAAACCCTGTAGAAAAATCTAGTCCCAAACTACACAAAGCTTGTACTATCGGTACTAGGTAACTGATAAACATACTTAAATGTAATTTTCTTTTGTTAATAAATACATACTATAGATATATAAACACCTGTACACTAAAAAAACACTATGTTTTTCATATATTTTTCTAGAAGTTGAGATCTAACCCACGCAATTGGGTAAAAAAATGTTCTTTTTTTTATGCCAATTTTTTTTTTTTAATTTTATATTTAGATTCGGAACCGTAACTTCTTGTTCATCGCCGTTCATCAGCTTTTGGTTCAACATTTTGGTGTGTTCGATCTCATTAGCATAAATTACGTCCAATACAGAAACTGTAAAGTTACGATAATTAGTCTAGATGTTAAATATTTCGCACCTGCGTTGAAGGGGAGGATTAAGAAAATCATTATTTTGACTATGTCAGGAAACGACCTATAACGATTTTATGACGAAAGCTATATAACGCATACATCGGTCTCTTTCACTCCCCTCCGATCACCGCGTTTGTTTATAAGTGCAAAAATTTTATGTTTTCTAAAAATTGATATTTTTTAAATAGGTCTTTATAAAATGCAAGCGGAGCGGGCAGTTCTCTATTCAGTCCTGTACACATGACTTAAATCCGATAACATAAAAAAAAATATTTTGTATCTAAACCATTCTCGATCGACCTGAACACACACAAAAAAATCGTTAAAATCGGTTCAGCCGTTTAATAGGAGTTCAGTGACATATACACGTACAGAAGAATTATATATTTAAAGATATGCACGTGGCGTAGAGCCGTGATAGCTCAGTGTCCGAGCCCCCGCCTTTAATTCTTCAATTTACTCGGGCAATCCGAGTTCGATCCCCGGTTCTAGCACTAACGAAATTGTTAATTCTAAGTGTTGACATATCATGTGCTCAGCGGTGAAGGAGGAACATCGTGACGAAACCTGCATATTTTCGAAATAATAACAAAAAAAATCGAAAATATGTGAAGTCTGCCAATCCGCAGTGAGGTCGCGTGGTGGACTATGCCCTGATACCCTCTTTACAGATGAGGCCTTTGCCAGGCAGTGGGACATTTATAGGCTGTTACTTTACTTTACTTTTAATGTAGCGTACGTCAAGGGCGTTGTGCCGGAACTCCTACCGCTCTGGGTTGCAAGGGTCACTCTGTCATGATGCGCAGGAACCTGGACGAGTACAAGTCTATCGCGAGCGACTTCCAGCCGTCGAAGCGCGCCCACTCGCAGGCTCTGAGGGCGCTGCTGATGAACGCGGCGGATCTCAGCGACCAGCTCAAGGAGTGGGCGGTCGTCAAGAGCACCGCCGTAAGACCGAACCCTATAGAATAACACGATCTCGACCGCTACCCGTTAGCGCCAGCATTTGTTAGAAGGTTCTTTATAATTAACTATGCTCCGACCCACGCAAAAAGACCTTTAGTATCTTGAGGTCTAGTACAGTTTTGCTTGGAATGACATTTATGTAAACGCCAATCTCGATCTGTTAGCCCCCGTTTTCGTTAGGTTGATTATTCTTATATAAATATAGCTTTCTGGTACCGACGTGATAATTAATTAGTTACATTGCAGATGATATTTATTATTATAATGACTTGCTGGCATCTTTTAGTTTCACGGTGAAGCTTTTAACTATTGCTATTTCCTTTGTTATTATTATTTTTTTTGTTAATCGTGTTCTGTTAGTTAATGTCAGGCTGGGGGACAATGTGTGTAACAAAGCTGAACCCCAGAACTTTTTATCTAAAATATGACCAAAATAATTGTGTAATAGATTACTTTTACATTATTTATGATTTTAAACCAATAAATATGTATTAATATTATTAAATGACACGCTTATTCAAATGCAGGCGGCTGTTTTGACGGAGTATTTCAAGCAGGGCGAGATGGAGAAAAGTCGGGGCGGGGCTGCTCTGAGTATTATGGACCGCGACAAGTGTTTCATCCCAGAGCTAGAAAAGGAGTTCCTCGTAACTACTTGCGTACCGCTTTACGAGTTAGTATACACACCGGCTGGTTTTCGATACACGTATATTAAACTTTGTAGAAAAAAATGATGAAAAGTCTTTCTCTGCTGCGTGAATCGAACCCCCTTGTTTCGGATTCGCGCCCAGACTCTTTAACCACTATGCTACAGCATCAGGGTCGCGTAGCTATCTTTGACCATCATCATCATCATCATCATTTCAGCCTGTTTGAGTCCACTGCTGAACATAGGCCTCCCCCATACGATCCTGAGCCACCTGCATCCATCGACTTCCCGCACACCTGCACAGGTCGTCACTCCATCTAGTGGGGGGTCGTCCCACACTGCGATGGCCAGTACGAGGCTGCCACTCGAGAACCTTTCTTCCCCAACGGTTATCGGTTCTACGAGCTATATGGCCAGCAGTAGGATATATATTTCCATATTTTTTTTTGGTCAAACTTCGTGATATTTCTTTGTGCTTGTAATATTTAAGGCGTTGTCCTTTGGCCTATTATTAGGACACAATAATAAAAACGGTTGATAGTAATATATTAAAATATCACTATCATTTACAGCATACTCGCACGCATAATACCCAAAGCTCAGCCTTGTTTGAAAGTACTGGAAAGCCACATTGAGAAATGGGATGCGGCGACGCACGTCTTTGCCGAGGTAACTGTTGATAAATAAATGCGCTAAACATGAACATTTACACATAGTGCGATACATTATGCCTTATTTTATTATCCCTTCCCCTTTTTTCTGAATTACACCAAGCTTTCTCACTTCAATATTTTGAGAGTACAGAAGACGAAATTCCGCTTTGAATATACGACCTACAAATATCATTGTAATCTGTGAATGTTTACTTTATACTTCTTTATACGTATATACTTTTTACGCCAATATTACAATCTGTTATAACTATTTGTTTTATTTAATTTATTTTATTTTATTTAGCGTTTGCTGCGTGGATCGGAATAAACTTAATAATTTTTTAGTTGACAGTAGCCCTAGTTTACAAGGACGCCTGTCATCTCAGTTCAGTATCTCTTTAAACGTAACGTAACTGTAAACTTATCTCTTCCACCTGCCCTTATCCCACACTAGGTGAGTTCGGCACAGCATGTCCTTCCTTAACACTTTCACACTTTCACAGACATATTCTTCACACAGTCCAGCAAAATATTGTGGACACAAAAATACCGAAGCTAAATTTTTGTATATTAATTATTTATTTTAAGCAAGGCATTCTTTCCCAGTGAATTGGGGTCGTGGTGAAAAGTCGTAGTATGTGCAAATGTTACATATAATATTTATAATTATTGACTATATACAATATATACAGACATATAAATATAAGTATAATAACTACACAAAAAATAACAATGACATACAAATACAAACATACATATATAATCACCCAAACGGTAGTGGCACAACGATAACATCAACATCCTAGCTATTATATATTGTAGCTTTACCATTTCCTTTGCATACTAAATATTCGTCTGTAACTTATTACGTACCTATAGCATGTAAGTTATTACTTACATAAATTATTAAAATAACATATTCAAATCGAATGTTGCGCTCGGTTGTTCTTGAAATGCAAGTTTAGTTTAATGTATCGGTCCGCTGTAATTTAGTTTATATTATAATTTGTATTTTGTAACCGCGCTAAATAAATAAAAAAAAAAAAAACGTGGAGTCCCTCCGCGCGGAAGAAGTGAAACTTCGTAATGTGGAAATGAAAATAGGACGGGGTAGAAATTGATTTTTAGTGAAATTATATTCTTTCTTTAAGACGACTAACTTTATTAGTAATAATAAATAAATTAATTATTATTTTAATATTAATAATCGGTCTGTAACAGGTATACTACGCGCATGCGTTCGAGTGTCTCTTTCTATTCCCCCTGTCTCTTTCTATTCCCTGTCTGTCTCTTTCTATTCCCCCTCCCCAGGAGCGTTGAACGTTTAACGCCAAAGTGCTTTCATACCCCCTCCATGACAGCGTTAAACGTTTAACTCAACCTTGTAGGAAGTCGGATCAGAAGTTTCACTTCAACAAGTAAAGTTTACAAACACGGGCACTTTACGCCAGGTGCCAGTTGCTGCCGGCTTAGCAGTCCTCCTCAGCCCCGAGTTGGACACCCTGATAGAGCAGAGCGCAATGGAGATCGAGAGGAAACGCTTGCTCGAAGCCGAGGAAGAACAGGCCAAATAGTTGGATGCGATTGTATTATCTGTTTCATTTAAATTTTTTTACGATATTTACTCTGTGTTTTATTTATTTTTCATGAATAATTTGGTGAAGCACTCTACAAATTTTAATGTTTCTTGTTAACGCACTGGAAAAATTTTAATTTGTGACGTGTTTAATAATTAAGATGCAAATAGGCGGGTGTTGGCGCCATTGGGCATTACAAAGATGGCGGCCTTCTCGGACAGATTGGTATCGAAGCATAACAATCGAGTTGTATCATTTACTAACGAGAAACGACCGAAGAACATCACGATGAATAAATTAAGAACTTGAAGTATCACGGCCTCGCAAAATACCGGGGTGAAGTGGAAGTATATACTTTCGGCGTTTAGTCTGGTGAGGTAACCTCGGCGCACATTTTTAATGCTTGATAATGCTTCTGCAACCTGTCAGGTGTTTCACATGTCCATGGGCGGCGGTAATCATTTAAAATCATATGAGCCGCCTGCTTGCCAGGTAGCTTTTCAAATTGAAAAAAAAAAAAAAAAAATTAGTTTTTCGTCTAAAATATTATTATACGTTGATGCATATTTGATTTAAATATATGTCCTGAAAATTTGTGATGAAAAGCGCTGAAAGAATTTTTTATTAGAAGAGATGCGATTAAGGTTTTCGATGATAATTATATGAGATCAATGAGACTTTAATGATATAAGTTTAATGAAACGACCAACAATTTTCTTATCTTTTATTAATAACACAAACGTGAAAAGAGGTTTTACTTGCTCCAGTTGCAATTATCACATATATTCACAAACTGCCACTTGGTAATGCCCTTGCCAATATTGCCTTTGGCAAAGGCATGCTCTGTAATACTATTACATACAACGTTCTCAGACATGCATGTCAAATGTAGATCTAAATTGTTACGGTTTAAATAGAATTTATCACAGCAAGGAATAATTTCGAGTGCTTTGGAATCGTAAATAAATAACATTAAATATAAAAAGTGGTTACATTTCTATTGAGACGCAAACCAAAAATATACGACATACTGGAATTCACATTTCAAGTCACAATCAAAATTTATCAAAAGTTGCCATCAAGGAATAAATAAGGAATGTTATGTGCAGTGGTAATAAGCAGTTAAATTAATTCAGGTAAAGATTTAAATCTTTCCTATGTAAGGTAAGCGAATTAGATATTAAAAGTATAAATAAAAAATTAACGATTAAATACCTTAATAAAATAAAAAAAGTTCAAATGCAACATTCGAGTATAAATTCTAAAAAAAAAAAACTTAAATAAAGAGATTTGTAAAACCTATTTTAATCCATTCAGCTAACTAAATTTGTATACATTTAGGAAATAATATTTGTATGTAGAAACTAGTCATAAATTACATTCATTAAATTGCAACCGAATTAATTTAGCCAATCAAACCGTTCTCTTTAGGCTGGAGAAGTTCTTCTATAAACTCTTGGACCATAGCTTCGAGTTTTCTCTTCATATCGTCCTGTTCCCTGTAATTATAGAGTTATAATAAATATTATACATACATATCAGTTATTTAACGTTCGATATGCAGTATTTATTGTACTAATAACGAATTCTCCGTAATATTGACTGTTCAATCCACGCATTCGCCTTTAGGTGTTTGTACATAAGTCAATTTTTTTTTATGGGAAAAGTTGCCAAACGAGCAGACGGTTCACCTGATGTTAAGTGAATACCGCCGCCCATGGACATCTGCTACACCCGAGGGTTGCAGATGCGTTAACCCTTTGAAAATTGGGCTCCGGCCACCTCAATCACCAAACGCGAAAGTATTATACTTTCACTTTACGCCGTTCTTCTGTGAGGTTCGTGCCCATTCGTGCAACAGCCGAGGCTGCTGCGTGGCCCCACCACCGTAATGTTCCTTGGCGCTCGACATCCGCAGGTCAGCTTAAGCTGGATGCCGGTACTCACCGCTCGGTCGGCGCGTCGCAGACCAGCTCCGTGTAGAACTTGAGCTTGGGCTCTGTGCCGCTGGTGCGGACGGTGACGCTCAGCCCGTTGTGGCAGCGGAAGGCGACCATCTCGCCGCTCGTGTAGTCCTGGTCGAGTCCGGTGCCGATCACGGCTGCGGTTGGAATCGTTTTTTTTTTTATTTTAGAAGGTGGCCAACTTCCGAATATCGTATTGATACGTCAAGTTATAACCCCCCCAATAACGTGTTGAATATTTGTGATTTTAGTTTGTAACTCTTGTTAAAGGTGCATGTTGGCGTTAAAACTGTGTTTTTTTATGTGAGAAGGTGCCAAGTGAGCTGGCGGTTCATCTTCACCCGATGTTAAGCGATAACCGCCGCCCGTGGACGTTTGCAACACCCGTATGGTTGCAGATGCATTGCCACCGTTTAATAAATTGGGCCCTGGCTACCACAATCACCGCACGAAAACGCAAAAGTGTAACACTTTCACTTCACGCCGGTCTTCTGTGAGGTCGCGGTACTCACCCTGCCCATTCTTGCAACAGCGATGGCTGTTACAAGTTTAGTTTAGCAGAAAAAAAATTAAAGTAACAGTGTAAGTAACCTATAAATGGGCTGGGCGAGGGCCCCCTCTGTACAGACGGAATCAAGGCATAGGCCACCACGCGACCCCACTGCGGATTGGCAGACTTTACATATTTACGAAATATTTTTTTGTCTCATTGCAGAAGCAATGAAATAAATAGACCTGGATATGTATGGATGGGTGTTTTAATTATTATGATATTTGTGTGGGCACAGAGCTTGTGGAAAAGTTGCTTATCACGACTCCGAATACACGCATGTCCACATGCGTCTCTCCTTAGGGAGGGTCTACCATTAAGTAATTGTAGTTACTCATATGGGCATGCGTGACTATAACTACTAGGTAATTGTTCACGCACGCATGCTGACATGCACATGCCTGCGTGAATAAAACCCGGGAATTATCGGCTACGGGCCGTCGAGCTGCGACATGTGCGCCGTTGTCAATATCAGCGGTTGTTTTTAAAAAAAATTGATAACAACATTTAACGAAGATATCGCAATTCATTTTTAGATATGGGCCAAGTGTGCAAGAAATAAAATTTAGAAATATTTAATTGATAATCATCCAGTAGTTTTTCCGTGATGCACGCATAAGAGAAGTCCTCTATCATCTTATTAATAAAGATATTATAGTATTAAATTATTTAAAATTATATAAAATGAAAAAGTTACACACAAGTAACTTAGTGGCTAGAGCGTCGGGACGAGTAATCCAAAAGGTACAGGTTTGAATTCTGACTTGTCGAAAGTTTTGTGGCATCTTTTTCTTATCTACAATTTCTTCATCTTAAGTGCAGCGATAACTGACACTTAATATTAAAAATCCAAAACAATTTTTATTTGTACTTACTTAAATGCGCCTCTCCGTTGGCTTTCTCTGGTATTTTCACACCTTCCGTGAAGTCGTTTAGATGAACGATCTCGCACGAACCGACTTTCTTTGGATACTGTAAATAAATACTAATTAATATACATTAATATACATTTATAACATATAAATATGAGTAACATATAACGTTACGAAACGTCAGGAATGTAAAGTCGAAATGAAATGCGATTGAATCCGTACAATACTTTCATTAATACACTTACAAAATAATTCATTTAACATTTTTATTGACATTTTAAACTGATCACAAGAAAAAGTATGAAAAACCAAAAAAATAATAAAACATAGAGATTAAAACAAATTAAAAAAAGAATGAGCAGGAGAGGCAACTACCTAATCCTTTATTATTATTACAGTAATATTAACATTAGATGTTTATCATCATATTATTGGCTCTAATGTATCTTTCTTTCTTTTGTAATTATTAGCACTGATGTAAGTACGATAAATTACGTTTGTGAACATTATTGAAAGTTTTGTATACGTATAATTGACAAGCATTTATACAATGCTGTGTTGAATTTATTTTTTATATAAGTGTTTCACTGTTGGTGTACCTAATAAAGAAATATATAAAGAAATAAAGAAGAAGGCACGAGAAGGATTTCTTGCCACATTCAGAACAGGCAGTTAGTATGTTTAAAAATCGTGTGAGAAATAAATAATTAGCTCTCACCACACCGGAGCCGTGATAGTTCCTGATGCGCCTGAAGATCCTCTGGATGGTGGCAGGCTCGTGGCAGACGTAGTAGCCGTTATGGCTCACGTGGTAGCCGAACTCCCTGTACAGGGCCTGCAGTTGCCCGTTCAGCGAGAGACCCTTCGAGTGCAGATGCGAGGCCAGCGATGCCACCTGATTGTGACTTCTGATGTATCTTGTTCGTTGATTTTTTTCATGTGAGAGAGTGGCAAGCGATCTTAAGTGATAACCGCAGTCCATGAACATATGCAAGACGCGTACGGTTGCAGATGCGTTACCACCTTTAGCAAAATGGGCCCCGGCTACCTCACTCACGAGGCGAAACGCAGAAGTGCAACACTTCTACTTTACGCCGGTCTTCTGTGAGGTCGTGGTACTAACCCGAACGGACCTCTTCGTCTTCACACCGCAAACACTGTTGCGTGGCCCCACCACAGTTAAAAGAATGGGTTATTTATATATATATAATACGTATTTATTTCAAAAAAAGTATGTATAAATATGTCTATCAGTTATCTAGTATCCACAAGGGTTGCTTAGTTTGGGACTAGGGGACGTGTAAAAATTTGTTCTGAATATTTATTTATTTGTTTACTAGCTGCCGCAACTTCGTCTGCGCTAATTCTACCGGGTCCATACGTTTCTACTATTAGCATAGAGCCATCTATCGGATACTTACACAATCAAGCCGATAAATTTATCTTACACCGCTATCTGTTAGAATCTTATGGGACTCACATAGCTCAGTCATTTAATAAACAAATAATTTTCAATAACAAATATTGAGGTCAATAATTGAGATAAAAACTACCCTATCTCCTAAGTTGAATCAAATTACAAATGCTTACAAAATTTGATTAAAATTGGTTCAGTAGTTTCGGAGTTTATCGCTAACATACATAGTGTCACGAAATTTTTATATATATAGATTTGTTACCTGTACGGCCGCAGAGACGCCATCTTTGTCCGGCACCCGGGCCCCGCACATGTAGCCGATTGCCTCCTCGAAGGCGAACAGCGTCTTCTTGTCTTGCTGGGACAGCAGTAGAGTCGTGTTGCCTGCGAAAGAGAAGGAAAGAGATAAAAACAGATAGATATACACAAAAGCTTCAAAATGGTATTCGAATCGTTAAATTTGACGAAGTGATATGGAAAATAATAACCTAATGCCGGTTCTAGTGTTAAATAAGTAGTGTTTTTTTGACAATCAATAAGCTAGTGTAATGCTTCTATATTGAATATACTTGAATTCGAATTAGAAGAACAAAAAAAAACCTTCCCGTACCCATCCATTTGAATCCGGTGAGAGTCTCGACGAAGTGGCCTTGGCCCTTGACGATCGCCTTCAACATCTTGGAGCTGACGAAGCTCGCCAGCAGGTAAACGTCCCTGTCCTGGCTGTGCTGCTGGTGTTGCCACAGCATCCACCAACCGAGGAGTGCGCCCATCTCGTTGCCGGTGAATACCTTCCACGAGCCTTTGCTGGAAGGACCAATTTCCAAAAGGGTTGTCAACGCATCCGCAAACCCTCGGGTGCAGCAGATTTCCATGGGCGGCGGTGTTCACTTAACATCAGGTGAACCGTCTGCTCGCTTGGCAACTATTCACATAAAAAAAAAGTCGGCGAGTTGTTGCAGCGAAAAATCAACGGCAGCTCCCTTTTTATCATAGTTTAGCGACCCGCCCCGGTTCCGCGCGAGTGCAATGTATTGTACATATAAACCTTCCTCTTGAATCACTCTCTCTAGTAAAAAAAATCCGCATCAAGATCCGTTGCGTGGTTTTAAAGATTGAAGCATACATAGGGACAGTCAGACAGCGGGACGACATTGTATTTAACCGACTTCAAAAAAGAAGGAGGTTGCTCAATTCGACCGTATATATTTTTATTTTTTTTATGTGTTCGCGGTTAACTTCGTCGTTTACGAACCGATTTTGATGATTCTTTTTTTTGGTGGAAAGGAGATATCCCAAGGGTGGTACCATGGTAAGGAAACCCCGATCTGCTGATGGCATCCCAGAGAAATCGAGAGCAATCCTCAAATGTTATAGGCGTCGACAATGTTTTATTAGTTTCCGGTTTGAAGTCAGTTTTTTTTTGTTGAAAATTATTTAGTTTCCGGTTTCTTTGGTATACTATGTACTATACTTGTATACTGTGTAGTGAAGGAGGCAAGCGAGTTCACATGTTGAGTTTTTGTGAGAAGATGGCAGTGGTTCGCCCGATGTTAAGTGGTGACCGCCGACCATGGATGGACATTTGCAACACCCGAAGGGTCGAAGATTCGTTAGTGGCAGGTATGAGTGTCTCAAGATGGTGCTCGTGAGGGTTGCTGTGCTAGTTGCACCGGCACAGCACTATTTGGACAGAGTGGGTGTCGTAGGACCCGAGAAGAGTAGAAACGGCAAATTGAATGGTGCGTTAACAATAAAAGAAACGGTCTTGAGATTGTAAGTTTGATAAGTGAGTTCAAAGCAAATGAGTCCGTAAGTCGATGGCGGTAAGGTCGCCTTTCGCATTCAATAAATACAAGGCAAATTAGTCCGTGACGGTAAGGTCTATGACAGTAAATCAGTAAGTCGATGGCGGTAAGGTCGCCTTTCGCATTCAATAAATACAAGGCAAATTAGTCCGTGACGGTAAAGTCTATGACAGTAATTTAATTCGTTAGTCAATGGCGGTAAGGTCGCCTTTCGCGTTCTATAAATATATGGCAAATTAGTCCGTGACGGTATGGCGGTAAGGTCGCCTTTCGCATTCAATAAATACAAGGCAAATTAGTCCGTGACGGTAAAGTCTATGACAGTAATTTATTTCGTTAGTCGATGGCGGTAAGATCGCCTGTCGCGTTCAATAAATACAAGGCAAATTAGTCCGTGACGGTAAAGTCTATGACAGTAATTTAATCAGTAAGTCGATGGCGGTAAGGTCGCCTTTCGCATTCAATAAATAAAAGGTAAATTAGTCCGTGACAGTAAAGTCTATGACAGTACTTTAGTCCGTAATTCGATGGTAGTAAGGTCGCCTTTCTTGTTCAATAAATGCAAGGAAAATTAGTCCGTAAGTCGATGAAGGTAAGGTCGCCTTTCCTTTACTTAGCTACCTTTTGGTCGTATTCGGCGACGGCGAGCATGTCGGCATCGGGGTCGTTGACCAGGACGAGGCTGACGCCGCGCTGGTCCGTGACAGTAAGGTCTATGGCGGTAATTAAGAACGGCTTTCGCGTTCAATAAATGCAAGGAAAATTATTCCGTGAGTCGATTAAGTTAAGGTCGCCTTTCCTTTACTTAGCTACCTTTGGTCGTATTCGGCGACGGCGAGCCTGTCGGCGACGGGGTCGTTGACCGGGACGAATACTGAATTAAAATGTGAACTCGCTGAACTTCATAAAAGTTATATGGACATAGTGGCACAGCGGGATGAGTTAAGTGACATTGTGAGTGCATTCCATCAGTGCAGCAATGAGCATGAAAGGGCACACTAAATAAAATAACGGAACTTGAAATTAATTTAAAAGAGGCAAATAACTCCATCCTCGAATTGGAACAAATTAATACATCTTGCAGTGCAAAACAAACCCAAAATCTTTATACTGAGCTGGTGGAATGTAATTCTCAAATGCTTATAGACTTGACAAAAGATGACTCTTGTATCAAGCAATCTTGCTTTTCACACAATAAGCTTAAAAAATACATTAAAGTTAAAAGATTTATAAAGAAAACAAATAAATTATTAAGAAATAGATATACATTCAAAGAAATTTATGAAATAAAAAATGAACGGTCAAAGTTATGTAAGTTAGTAAAAATGTATCAAAATAAATTGGAACAAAGTAGGTCTGAGTATGGCCGGGTAACACTTCAGCTTCAAACTGAAATTAATAACTTAAATAGCACATTACATATATTAACTGCTAAATATGAATCATCTCAAAAACAAATACAGGAACATATTCTAGCAGCTGATAATTTATTAGATCTTTGTAATTATAATTATAATAGATTTGAATCATTTACTAGCAAAAATACATGTTGTTGCTCCAACACAGAATCTCCAAATAAATTAAACACTCAGAATATATCTGCAGACACGGGAAGTGACCTGGTCATACAGAAAAAAAAACGCAATCAGCCATCATATAATAAATTTGAAAATAAATTACATTCAGTTGTCAAATCATCCAGTATCTCCAATAATAAACATAAAGTTATAATTGTATCGGATAATATAGGACAAGGTTTTGGTTCTTTACTTTCCAAACATGTAAATAATGTATATAATATATGTTCACCAGGTGCCAGTTTTCATAACAATATTAACAAATTATTGACATTAAATTTAAATGAGAATAGTACTATTGTACTACTTCATGGGGATAGTTCATCTGTAAGGAAACAGGAAATTGTTAATAATATGGAAATATTACTTAACTTACATTATAAAACTAAGTGCAAATTTATATTATGCTCATTTCCATATTCCTCTTTCCTTTCAGAGGAACAAAATAAATACATATATAGTCTTAACATGACTATATATAACATAACTCACCGTCGTAGTGACGCTTTCTTTTATTTCGACTTAAATAATTTTATTAAATCTAGTTTTAAGGTGACAAAAAATACTTTGTATTTGCCACTATATTATAAGAAACTAATTGCTACTCTAGTAGCATATAATATACAAAACCCAGTTGTAAATAGTACAACTAAGAATATTTTATTATGTAATAATCTTTCAGCAAACAATGTTAGTTTAAACTAAACATTGAGACAACGCCTAGGCCACTTAAATTAAATATTGTGCATCAAAATATACAAGGCTTAAGCGGCAAAGAACCCGAAATTGAATTGTTCCTTAGGAAATTTAATATACATGTCATCTGCTTCACAGAGACATGGTTACATAAGCACTGTAATATTGTTAATATAGAAAATTATAAATTGTTAAGTTCGTTCGTAAGAGTAAATGCTATTCGCGGTGGCTCTCTTGTATTAGTTAGAACTGATATAGTCTGTAAAAATCGACAGGATATAGTGGCACACTCTGTCGAACGTTCTATTGAATTATCCTGCGTTGAGAGTCAACAGTATATTATAGTATGCGTATACCGGCCCCCCTCAGGTGATTTCGATCAGTTTGAGTGTGTAATGGATGATGTTCTTAAAAAACTATGTTCAAGTAGTAAATCATTAATAGTTTGTGGAGATTTTAATGTGGATTTATTACAAGTAACACAACTCAGTAAACGACTTTTAAATTTATTTAACTCATTTGAACTTAAAAATCTTTTTCATGAACCAACTCGTGTTACTAACTTATCCTCCTCATGTATAGATAATGTATTCTGTCACAGTGATGTATATGATAAATATGTTATAAATCATCTGAGCTCGGATTACTTTGGGCTAAAATTTTCAATAAATGAAAAAGCTAATACAAGCAAACTTAAGATCAAGTGTAGACCAGTCACTACTAATAGAATAAATGCTTTTAGAGATAAAGTGGCACATCATATGTTAAATAAAGATATAGGAGTCAATAACCCTAATGACTCTTATAGATCAATGGTTGACTTCCTCATATCTTCTTATAATGATACTTTTAAATCGCGCACAATTGTTAAGAATTCAAAATTAAAATTTAGTGACTGGGCAACAGTGGGTATATACAAAAGTAGGGATTCATTGTATGAATTATATAGTATGAGGCAGTGGAATCACGATCCTAACTTCCTTAAACGGGTACAAACATTTTCAAAAATATTTAAAAAAGTCTGTATTCAGGCAAAATCTATTTATATAAGAAATAGCATAATAAATTCAAACAATAGAACTAAAGCCACATGGGACATCATTACCCGTATATCTGGAAGAACCAAGATATTCAGGGAACCTATAAAACTAGTTATAGGTAATACTCCCATAATATCAGATAACGAAATTGCGAGTAGTTTCGAAAGCTATTTTTCAGACATTGCGGTTAATGTCACACGTACATTAAAATCATCTCCCGCAGACGCAATTAATGTTTTAAGAAATAATGTTACCCCTTGCCTACACACATTTAAATTTAATCACGTAGATACTTATGATATTATAAAAGTTTTGAATTCTATTAATCTTAAAAATACAGAGGATTTATGGGGTATGTCCATAAAATTAATGAGCACAATAATGCCATATATTGCACCACATTTGGCTTCTATTTTTAACAACTGCATAGATTCTGGAATATTTCCAGATCTTATGAAATTTAGTAAGATAATACCTGTCTACAAAAGTGGTGATAAAAATGATCCAGGCAACTATAGACCTATTTCCATATTGCCATCTCTTAGTAAAGTTTTTGAAAAGCTAATATTAAATCAACTTTTAGTTCATTTTAATGTGAACAAAATCTTTCACGATGAGCAATATGGATTCACTAAAGGCAGATCGACAACAGATGCGGGCGTCGCACTTGTCAAACATATTTATAACGCCTGGGAAAGGTCACAAGATGCAATAGGTGTCTTTTGTGACCTTTCAAAAGCCTTCGACTGCGTAGACCATAAAACTATTCTTCAAAAGCTAGAATATTATGGCATTCGTGGGATCGCCCTCAATCTCATTGCCTCTTACCTTAGTAATAGAATTCAAAAAGTATCTATAAATGATGTTAATTCCACTGGGTCCCAGATGAAAATGGGAGTCCCACAAGGATCAATCTTGGGCCCATTATTATTTTTAGTATATATTAATGATCTCCCCTTTTATGCCAGTGGGTTGTGTGATGTTGTACTGTTTGCTGACGATACATCGCTTATTTTTAAAGTTGACCGAAACGTATTAAATTATGACGACGTGAATAGTGCGCTTTCACATATCCTCCACTGGTTTACTATTAATAATATGGTATTAAATGCCAAAAAAACCAGATGTATTCTTTTTACCCTTCCCAGTATAAGAAGGAAAAGTTTTAGTTTAATATTAAATAACGTACCCATTAATCCAGTTGAGTCTGCTGTATTTCTGGGAATTACAGTAGATTCAAAGCTCCAGTGGAGTCCCCATATATCATCTCTTGCGAATAGGCTGAGCTCCGCGGTTTTTGCGATTAGAAGGGTTAGGCAGCTAACAGACATCGACACTGCCAGACTTATTTACTTTAGTTATTTTCACAGCATCTTGTCGTACGGCATTTTGTTGTGGGGTAGTGCATCAGATATAAATACTATATTTATTCTTCAAAAAAGAGCTGTCCGAGCAATCTACAATATCGGAGCCCGGAATTCACTCAGAGATCTTTTCAAAGAGGTTAATATACTCACTGTTGCTTCTCAATACATTTATTGTAATGTTTTGTATATACGTCATAACCTTAATTATTACCTAAAGAATAGTGACAGACATAAAATAAACACTAGAAATAAGGACAAACTTACTACGCCATTGTTTCGTCTACAAAAAGTAAATAAGTCGTTCATGGGGCAAAGTGTACGCATGTATAATAAAATCCCACAGTCGATATTAAGTCTGCCGCTTGACCAATTTAAATGTAAAATTAAAAATCAACTGATGATTAAAGCATATTATACCATTTCGGAATATCTCGACGACGCCAATGTGTGGAGTTAATACTGTTGATACTCACGTAGGCTAGAATAAGACTATTATACCTGTATATTATATTGTACCCTGATATTTTTGAAAAAGAGCAACTGTTGAGTTTCTTGCCGGTCTCTTCTCAACAGAAACCGCTTTCCGAACCGGTGGTACCTTACGAACCTATACACATAATCTTTGATGTAAAATTTGACGATTCATAAGAGCGCGCAAGCGTCTATTTGAATAAATATATTTTGATTTTGATTTTGATTTTGAGGCTGACGCCGCGCTGGTCCGTGACAGTAAGGTCTATGGCGGTAATTAAGAACGGCTTTCGCGTTCAATAAATGCAAGGAAAATTATTCCGTGAGTCGATTAAGTTAAGGTCGCCTTTCCTTTACTTAGCTACCTTTGGTCGTATTCGGCGACGGCGAGTCTGTCGGCGACGGGGTCGTTGACCGGGACGAGGATGACGCCGCGCTGGTCCGTGACAGTAAGGTAATTAAGAACGGCTTTCGCGTTCAATAAATGCAAGGAAAATTAGTCCGTGAGTCGATAGCAGTAAGGTCGCCTTTCCAGCGTACCTCTGGTCGTATTCAGCGACGGCGAGCCTGTCGGCGTCGGGGTCGTTGACCAGGATGAGGCTGACGCCGCGTTCCTTCGCCAGCTGGATGCTTAGCTGCAGGCACTCTTTCTCCTCGGGGTTGGCGAACTTCACCGTCGGGAAGTCGGGGTCTGGGTTCTGCTGCTCGGCGACGCTGAACGGCTCCTGGGGGGGAGGGGAACCGGTGTAGGAGTTTATCTAGTGACGGTAGTAACATATCCCACTGCTGGGCAACGGCCTTTGTACGAAGGGTATAGGGCACAGTCCACCACGGGACCCCACTGCGGATAGGCGGGGTCCACACATTTGTGAAATATACCTTTTTGTTATTATTTCGTCATGATCTTTTCCTTCACCGGGGAGCGCGTTATTAGTCAGCGCTTACAATTTCACTTTTGAGTTTGAAAGTATGTTGAATTAAAAGCGAGCGCCCGAACACTATCATTGTTCACTTGATTAATTTTATGTAATAATAATTGAAGTTTTTATTAAACCTCGGGCTGTTGGTAGAAATGCAAAGCGCACTCAAACTTTCGTCAAGGACATAAAGTTGCATAGCGGTGAATAAATAAAAACTAAGAGCAGAGGTGTCAGATAATCGATTCGAAAATTGGATTAGGGTTTTAGGGCCTTAAAAGGGCGTTGCAGTGCCCCAGAACTAACTTCACTGCCAATAGAACGCAAATGCTCCGTGACCACGAACGGTGCGAAGCATTCGAGCCTATCGTTGAAAAATTAAAGCTATATAATCAGATAGAGAAGAAATTTTACTGTATAATTTTTCGTAAAATCACTAGCGGTCGAAAGGGGGACCTCGATACACCATGCCCACTGTCTCACCTCCAGATCGGCGGCGGCGAACGCCTTCAAAACGTATTCGTAGCCGACCCCGTGCATTGCGCTGTATACGCATCTAATACCGCTCTGCCTGTTCTGCTTCAGGACATCGCCGTGAAGGCTGTCGCGTATGTACTCGTTGTACTTCTCGATCACCTCCGCGCTGCAGTCCTTCACCAGCTCGTGGCTCCTTATGCCGTCGACGCTCCAATGTTCGTCCGGTATGCTGCAGGGGGGTGGATAGATTACGACTACAGATTAAATTGTGGAAGCTAAAAGAACAGCCTTAAGATTCGACTAGAGGCGTGGTTAGCTTGATGTTGAGCGATTTCCGCCGCCCATAGCGCATACATCTAAAATACCTGTTTACAAGCGTTTAATAAAGCGGTTACCTCATTCACCACATGCAAGGGTAGAATATTTCCACTTCAGGCCGGTCTTCTTTAAGACTAGGTAGTCCGCCGAGCCAGTCCAATTCGTGAAACATCATAAGCTGATGCGTGACTGCATTGACACGAGTATGGTCCTTCGAGCCGGATCCATTAAAAATCATGAGATACGAAACTAAGGTTTACTTTGGCAATATGTTTAACATATATACGGTTTGTAGCTTAATAAAAATGTATGTTATTCGATATATTAAAGCGATAAAAGCCTACATCAATATCATATACAATAAGTACGGAATGATGGGTACGGATGAAGATGGATTTTCGCAATATGTTTAACATATATACGAAAAGGTTTGTAGCTTAATAAAAATGTATGTTATTCGATATATTACTCGATATACACTCATTTCGGTGATAGGCCACGCAGCAGCCTCGGCTGTAGCACGAATGGGCAGGCTCGTCCAGGTAAGCACCACGACCTCACAGAAGACCGGCGTTAAGTGGAAGTATAATACTTTCGCGTTTCGTCTGGTGAGTGAGGTGGCCGGATCCCCATCTTCAAAAGATTGTCAACGTATCCGGAACCCTCGGGTGAACCGTGAACATCAGGTGAACCGTCTGCTCGCTTGGCATCTTTTCACATAAAATAAAAATAATTTGCCAACTTTGTCAATTGCGTACATATTTGATATTTGCTTAACTAGAAGCAAGACTAAGTAAGCCATACAGAATTTAGTAAATTCATAAAATTTCCCAGGAAACTATTAAAATGTATACGTGTCATATTAATCAACTTTAAAATTGAAAGGGCTTCATAGAAACTATTTAGGAAGTCCCGAAGTTCATAATAGCCGGCAATAAGCCAGTATTCTACGAGCGAACATCGACTTTGTACTCACTCCAAACACTGCCGTATCTCGTCCAGAATGTTCTCGTCGTGGGGCCCTATGACCTGAGTGCCGTTGCCCCAGTAGACCTTGTAGCCGTTGTCCTCGCGGGGGTTGTGGGAGGCGGTCACCATCACACCAGCGGCCGCGCCATACATGATGGTGGCAAACGCCACGTAGGGGGTCGGGCACACCCTCGAGAAGAGGTGGACCGGCGTCGAAGCCGATGCGAAGACCTTGGCCGTCAGCTCGGCGAACCTTCGAACATGGAGCAGCACGTCTTTGGGAGTGGCAACTTAGCCCTGGAGTGTTTTTTTTAAGGAAAAAGGAGGCAAACGGTAAGCGAGTATTACAAAATTTTTCGAGATATTTATATTTTTCGCTATATGAAAAAATATGTCTTTTTTCAATAAATGTTTCCTTTATAGATTAATTTAAAAGTAATAATAATCCTTATAAGTCATTGAACCAGATATACGATTCTTATTTATATGTTACAGCCAAATTAATTAATCTACACACTATACTATCTAGTCATTACAGATACATATAAAACACTACTATATAAAACACTACCAATTTAAAGAAATTGATTATTGACAATATAATAAAACACACCAAATTTGGTTCATTCTTTAATATATTAATTTTATACAGACTAGCAAAATTAACAATCATCACGTATTTCTGCTATATCATTATAACAAGAGTTTACATAGTGGATATCATTTTAAATAAATCAACAATGACATTCAAATTTCAAGCATTGAATTGACCTTATAGTCAAAGCTAATAATAGTAATAACGTTTAAAAATAGCACGGAGATTGTATAAAAATGAAAATGATAATACTAAAAATACTAGTCAGTATGTAACCGATGATACATCTTTTTTTATTTTTACAGCCGAAGATGACATCTTTTATTCTTACATCCGAAGATTGGACAAATATTTGATCAACTTTTACCGTTAAGACTTTCAGTGGTTTTTTTTTATTGAGAACAATTTCTTAGTTATATATTTTGTTAAGTAAAGATGGTGCAGTTGCTTCGGCGTTGGGGGCCGTGGGTTCGATTTTCAGTTCAGAAAAATGTTCCGCATCTTGGTGTTTGTTCCAAAGAAGGGTTCTCGTCAATAACTTGGCCAGTACGAATAATAACACTATATACATGTTGTGCCAACCCTACTTTACTTAAATTATTTAATACGACCCATGATAGCTCAGTATCCGGGGGTTCGCTTTAAAATCAATATACACGAGCAACTTGAGTTCGTGTATATTGTCAGTGTAGTTGTGTCCCGGTGCCAGCAACAATGAAATTGTTCATTGCAATTTTAAGTGCAGACTTATCACTTGCTCATCGGTGATGGAGAACATTGTGAAGAAACCTGCATATTTTAATAATAATAAAAAATATTTCCAAGATAAGTGCAGTTCGCCAATCCACAGTGAGGTCACGTGGTGGACTATGCCCTAATACTCTCTGTGCCTGCCTTTGTGGAGAAATAGGACTTATATAGGATGAACCTTTACTCATGCTCTAGTCTTAAAAATATGTTTACACTTTGCTTCGCCGCAATCGGATGAAAAACAAAATCACGCAACGCAAGTCATTGGTATCAATATAGCATATAACATTATTCGAATCAGTTCCGTTCAATTTCATCTTTTGTTTGTTATAAATATAGGGGCGATAAAAAAAATCTCTATCGATCTGTTTATTGTCCAGTTATCGAGTTATCGCGGCTGTGACCCCCGCGTGGATTACATCAGCCTCGATGTTTTGTATTGCCGATAGTTCTAAGTAAGCAGTGTTTGCCACGAAATATTGTATGAACAAATATAATATTTTGTCACTTAACCACCATTACAAGTAGCTCAATGAAAAAAGACGGGTAACGAGCCCAGAGTATGGTCGAATCATGGCAGTCCAAAAGTTTTCGGCAATTTAAACTTTAAATTTCTATTAAGTTTTATCTTCAGCGTGTTATATTTTCAAGACGTGGCAAACCATTAGCCATTCGTTAAACATTGTGGCCAACCTTTTAAATTCTTTAATTTAACTAACTGATCTACTGGCTAACATGATCACCCCACTGACTGGAAGAAACGTATAAATATACTACGTTACGTTGTCCTATAAGGCCGTAAAACTCCCGCGGTGGCAACCAAATATTCAGCAAAAAAAATATGACAGATGAAATGTAAGTTTCTTATGTCGATGAATAAATGATTTTTCTTTATTTTTTTCAGCACCAGAGACCGCTACTATCACTGGAACCACGAAAAGATCCCAATGACACACTTTCATATCAATGATTAAAGTTAATTACAGTAAATCAAAAACGCACATAACAATAAATATAAATATATAATTACTCCCTTATCTTTCCGATCCTAACATGGCATAGTTAAGAATCTACTTTGTATTTACTCAACTTACTTAGCCGCAACATGTGACAAGCGGTAAGCTTGTCGCTGAACCTTATGTTTTTAAATCTGAGAGGCTAAGCAAGCGCGGTCATCTGCAAGGTTTAGGGTAAAAGTTATTATAGACAGGTCTGGTTTCCTACCTCTCACTGTTATGGCGGCCATCGTAGCCGACGACAACTCCGTTTTGAAGTTGACTTTGATGACACACCTTTCGTAGATAAGAGAGAAGACCCTGCAATTAGGAGAAAACCTTTAGGGATAGACATTCTTCGCTTCAAGGTAATTCTAATAGATGTTGCAAAGAGTGATAAAAATTTAACTGTAGTAGGGACACGCAACTGCTTCTGTTGTTGCACGAATGGGCGAGCTCGTCCGGGTAAGTGCCACGACCTCACAGAAGACCGGTGCGAAGTGGAAGTGTTAAACTTCTGCGTTTCGTCTGGTGAGTGAGGTAGCCGGGGCCCACTTTATTAAAAGGTCACAACGCATCTGCATCCTTACCAATTCGCTTGCCATCTTTTCTCATAAAAATCTCTTATTTAAAACTAGAATCATAATTATTTTATTAACGTGATGTAAGGATATTATAGGTATGTATAATGATAGACTACAAGTCCTAGCAAACGGACACTGATTCTTATAATGAGTGTTTCGGGTCGATAATGGAATAAAATATGAAAACTTTAATACAGGTGAATGAATGAATGAATGAATACACTTTTATTGTCCACCACAAATGACGATGTATACATAAAAGTGACAATAGAACAACAAACTTATGCAATGTAGAGGTGGTTGCGTGCTACCATCAAGGAGGTTGCGTGCTACCATTAGGATCGTATAATTAGGTATTTTGATTCCATTTTTATAAATTGTTATCGGAGGTAGGTTTCACTAAAATTACTTATTTTTAAAACTGACTATAGTCTGGGTTCACAGTGATATCAGAAAGTTCAAGGCGTATCAGTATGTTCATCAACAATGAATGTATATAATAAAGAAATAATCTCTATAAAACTATTTGTGGATCTCCAGCGGTAAGTGCTTAACACTAGGTAATCACTCCTTACATTGCCTTACGATAAATAGAAGTAATAACAAATTTGGTCATTGATTAAAAACTACAGATATTTAAGCCTGTGGTTATATACATACAGAAATTTCTGCTTTGCCAACAAATAGTTCAGAACTAAGATGGTGCAGTTCTTAAACACTTCTGGCTAGGGGTCGTGCTTTTGCCACAGAAAATTCCTGATTTGTGTGTTCACTGGGTGAATTCGACAGCGCACGTGAATCGAGTTGTAGCGACCACACCTCAGTGGGATAAGTGCCGGAGAGTGATGATAAAGCCTGAGCCTGAGGAATGTCTGGATGAGAATGTTTTTTTTAAAGCTGTCAAGCGATCAGGCGTTTCAACTGACGTTGAGGGGGTCCTGAGGGGTGGTTTACCTGTTATGACAACTTTTAAAAAAGTAGCCCCGGTGGACTGGTACCACTTCACTCACCAGACGATATGCGAAAGTATAATAGGTACTTCCACTTCAGGCCGGTCTTCTGCGAAATAGTTCCCCGGAAGAGCTGGCCCAAACCTGCAACAGGAGTTGCCGCGTGGCCCTACCACGGTAGATCTTCGACTTTAACCACACGGGCCTGACCTGAGCAGTCTGCAGCACCACCACGTCGTTCATGCACTTGTAGCCGGCGCCCATTCGGCCACGGAGCCCGGCGGTGCCGAAGCTCAAACGGTGGAGCATAGTCCGCCTCAGCTTGTCCCAACTGGAGTTGGCGATGTCGTCCAACACCTCCTGCCTTGTGGTTGGATTCTGGAATGCACATTGATCGTACAACAAACGCAAGCATGCGTATACGAACTGATAGTCTTCGACCGCGTGAAGAACCAATAATTGTTATGGGACTAAAAATAACTATCACCATATTACAATTCCTGCGGATCCTGAAGAGAGTACCAACACTTGCACAACTATCGCATTAATGTATGATGTGCGCAGTAACGTCCTTCCTTAAAGATAATAATAACAAAGTGCCAAGAAAACGGTGAACTTTGGAGATATCTGTATTACAGACTGGTCAACAACAACAAGAAATCTTTGCTACATAAATGTATTAAAGCACACTCATTTTATCGACCAGGAACAATTGAGCGAATATTGGTCCAAAGTAGCATGTATAATAAGATAAATTTAGAGCAACATATCGGTGACCGACATGTGTATGAATATCTGTGAATTTGCATGCCCCGCGCTAACTTTCGAGATAAACTTAATGTCATACAATTTGACTTTAATAAGAATACGACCGGTTTTCTTCGCCAATTCTTCTCTGGTCTAGTCTAAACTTGCTAATCCGTATTAGTATCCAGATCAGTTTAGCAGGAACCTAAAGACTTTTTTAATTATTCCTTGCACTATAGTTCTGTTTTAATATCAATTATATGTGTCAATGTCAATTAGTAGACCGAACATAGTTCGGTCTTCTAATTGACATTGACTTTTCTTTGTTCATACTCATAGCAGTAATAATACGAAATGTGATATTTGCTTTAGAACAGTGTGGAAATTACTCTTGCTGTCCTCTTGTAAGTCTCCTGGCAGCTGCTGATTTTATACTTAAATAATCTTGTAAACTTATATGATAATAAAATTATTAGATAACAAGAACGCAGTTTCTCGTTGCTTCTTCTCTGGTCAGGTCTAGTTGAGTGAACCGGTGGTTATTTGACGTTCAAAAAAAGCTTAAAATAAGCCTTTATTGTGTGTAGCAAATTTTATTTCACTTTGAACAAGGAAATATTTAGGACGATAATTACGCAACTCAGTAAAAATGTGTTGAAGTCAAAACTTAAACAGTTGTTTCTTGATGAATTATCATTGGTGTAGTAGTTACATTTTAACAGAAATATATCATTTTTTCAATTAACTCAAATTAATGAGTAGTGATATTACTAATACCTAGTAAATATGTATAATACTTATATAAATAAATTAGTGGTATGCTTAGAAGGAATTATGTTGAAAAACGAGGGTGTCTCGCCGCAATCAAACGTAAAAGTTTTGCGAGAATAGCTGTGTAAGCATATTTCTTTGTATATTTTTTTATTAATAAAATGAAATAAGAAAGAATTAAGACGATAATTGAGAAACGGAGGTCATTAATAGTACCTACTATAATCTCACGAGTTATTTGCGGGAGGCTACCTAATACATTGGGGGGTCGATACTCTGCATGATAAGACCTGTTATCGGAGTCGTTGGCCGTAATTTTACTGATTAGTATAAATTTAGAGTTCTCAAGGTCACTACAATCTCACACACGTAATGATCCGTCACTTTGTAGCTCAATGTCACATATTCTTGTACGAGATTTACGTGCAAGACAACGATATTGTCTTCAGATTGTCCTCAATGAATGTCATCAGATGTGTGTCAATTGGACGCATGAGGATATAAAAAAAATATGACACATGCGTATAACACATTTACATATCATTCCGCGACTTCGTCTCCGTCATATTATTTTAACAACGTATTTTATGGTCAGAGAAAGCATCAGAATGATCGGAAAGAATGAATAGATACATAAATACTGAATGTAGAAGAACACCCCAATAAAAGACACATCTCTGAACACGTAGTGCTTATAAAAATAAATCGTTATTCTTAAAACTTAACTTTACAATAAAGATATCACAATACTTTTTTTTTAGATGAGGGCCAAGTGTCTGTCTCTAGAACTTAGAAGAATTCAAGTAAATCTATAAAGTAGCTTTTCTGTTCGCGCACAACAGACCTTGCAGAGAGCAATAAGTTATTTATATATATTTCTCGATGACATATAATAGATGGATAATAAAACACATAATTAATCTATCTCTAATACACATATGTATTCAATTGATCATCTTGTATTCAAGTCAATGGCTCCTAAGGGTTAGTGGAACAACACTTGGGAGAACATTCAAACACTATTCGCCCAATACAGTGCCATCTTGTTCGATGTTAACGTAACCTTGCGACGTCTTTACATTAATTTAGAGCGTTACATAACGCATCATGACTAGCGGGGACAATGCAAATTGAACGTCAACGGTTTTCTCTTGAAACGTGTCATTTTACCAACAGCATCGGATTACATAATGACCTTACTGATTGATCCCTTCCATTGTAGTTACTACAGACCTCGCAATATTATGCGCTTCAGTGAAGAGGACTAACTAATGTTTAACAATACGTTTACGTTATAGAATAAGAATGTTTCTGCAACTTGTATTGGATGAAAGAGAGATTTGGACTGTACTGTGAACGAGAGAGCAATGTCGCCCCTCTCACTCCCACAGGATGTGTTCCCTCTGATACCTATAAATTGTATACAGCATAATCTTGGAAGTTTTATCCTGCCTAATTAGTCAGATTCTTGGGGAACACATCAGTATGTAACGAGTTCAAGGATGGCACATTGTTAGTTGTTACGTCTCAAAGCGCCACTGTGTAGGTATAGGTCTTGGTTATCCATGATCAGCAATACAGTTGATATGCAATGTCATGATACTTTATTTAAAACCCAAAAGGGACGACGAGAGTGACAAATAATTGTTTAATCAGTATATATGTTTACATTTGAATGTTTTTTATAAAAAATAATATAAAGCACTGCATAATATAAACATAATTGCAACTAATCAGAAGTAAAGATGACTATATAGTATGGGACTATATAGTATAAAATGGGAGTCCATTTTATACTATATTTTATATATATAGCAGGCTCTCAGTTATAAAGTTTGACAAGTTGTATTGATAATTAATTCTTGTGACTTTGTTGTAATTCTACCATTTTTTTTTTCTCTGAAATTAAACAAAATGCAAAAGCTCAATATAATATTAATTTAAATGAAATCCATTAGTATTATATTGAGCACATAACCAAATGAGTGTTAAGAAGTATCAAACATTTGAAGATTTAATGTTTAACATCATAAGATGAATATCAGAAGGTTTTACTTAATAATTACAAGTGGAAAACTATGTGCAATAAAAATTGCACATGCTAAATCATAAATCTTGAAATTAAATTAAAAAAAACTACAATATACGAGCAATGTGCCCGGCCCATCGCCACTTCAGTTTGCTAATCATCTGAGCTATGTTGGCTGCTTTTGTTCTACTGCAAAAGTCTTCATTGCGGATATATAGCACTTAGAACAGTTAACCTTTTGGAAAGAAATATTCACGAGTGGCAGCCTCGTACTGGCCATCACAGTGTAGGACGACCCCCCACTAGATGGAGTGACAACCTATGCAAATGTGAAGGATGTCAATGGATGCAGGTGGCTTAGGATTCTGCTTTGTTGCAGTCTGTGGGAGAGGCCTATGTTCAACAGTGGACTCAAACAGGCTGAAATGACGACTATAAAATACATTCTCTTTTCTAAAGTACATTCTACTTAAGAAATGACAGTATCAGTATTTTTATATTTGTACAGTGTGTGCATGTACTTCACACATTATGCACTTCTCCATGGTGAATTTTTTTAATACATTACTTAAACTTTCATGACATACTGAACATACCAATAACAAAAAAACATGTGACATTAAAGTATTTAAAACCAAAATATGAAATAGTTCTACGTCACGTTGATTAAAGAGTAATAATTACAAATAGGTCCTGTTTATTACATCAGGATTTTTCTGCTGGTGATGATGATAAACTGTAATATTAAATAAATTAATTGACTTAATAGCAGGAACTGAAGTAAGTACCGACCTTGTCATGTTTCAACCAACTCTCCACTGCCGCATCTAACTTCCCATCTCCACTGTTACAACCTGACATTCTTTATAAAACCCGGCAGATATTATTGTTATGAAAAAAAGGAATTGTACTTTTTGAATAAGCTGTAAGTTAGGAACAACCAGTTCTTTATCAAAACTTGACAGCTATGAAAACCATTAAGAATTTAAACTAACAAACTTAAGTTATTCTTACTTTGTAACTAACTGATTACTGATTGTGAATACTGAATAAGTATTAGACTAAATTGATAATGTGAAGTTAAACATCAGTTGTCAATGTGACAATCATTTGACATTGACTACAAATCTCACAGCACTGGGCAGCGTCAAAAGAAAGCTTTTTTTGTAAAATTTTGACAGTCTTTTTGTTAAAGTTTATAATAAATTCTTTCCTGTGTTTTGTTTTCCATTTTGTCAGTCTACTTAAATTAGGGTACGTTCCATCCCAGTGGCTTTTTCAGTTTCGTTCTACGCCGAACGATTGCTTAGGATCATTAACAAAAAAAATATCCTAAGCAATCGATAATTACAAAAAAAATAATGTATGAAAACAAATAGTTCAAGTTAGTCGGGGAATGCGCTTTGCCTGGTATATAAAGAATTAAACTGATTAATGAGTTCGTTGACAAAATTGTTTTTCAAAATTTCAAAATTGCTTGAAGCTGTTTCTTGGCGGGATTAACAACATTGGCAGTTTAACAATCCTTTTGGCAACTTAAATAATATTTGAAGAGGCATTTGACATCTGATTAGTTGAGTTATACGATGATCAGTCTTTCAGACACGGACGTAAGTATAAAATACACCGATCTATAAATGTATAGTATTAGTTATAACAAATTCATTCAATCATTGTTAATTTCGTAATTTTCTGTTACTGAAATCCAGTACCTATTTGATGGTTTGAATTATGTTGGAAAGTTTAATGCCCGGTTTCTGAAATATTGATCATCGTAGAAGGAAACTCTTTGAATTGATCATTCTGATCAATTCAGAGAGTTTAACAATCCTTTTGGCAACTCAAATAATATTTGAAAATCCATTTGACAGCTGGTTAGTTGACTTCTACGATGATCAGTGTTTCATAAACCGGGCGTTAATCTTCAATCGCTGTTGATTTATTATCTACCACTAAGGAGCTTATTATTTAATGGTTTGCATTTATTATAATCATTTTTATCTCTAAGCCTTGTAATGACGCATTAAGGAAAGTTCTGATGGAATACTTAATGAACTAAACCTAAAGAGATAAAATTGGTCGAAATGTCTATTTTACCTTCGCCGCTTCAATTCACTGTTTCTGTGTGGTATGTAATGGCAGGTTTAGAATGTGAATAAATGATAGTTCATCAGTTCATGATCATCATGACAGTTGCCTAAAACAAAACATTCGATATACCTAATCCTTCAGTAAACGTAGGATAGGATAGAAAAGATGGCTCCTATTGTTTTTTTATAGCAAAACTGCGGAGTTATGCAATTGTTATAAACAGTCATCGCAACGGACCCTTTTTTTATGAAATGGTGATTGTGCAATTGGTTCATCTCTCGACAGTTTTTTGAGACGCCGTGGTACTTGTCCCATTTGGTTTGTTAAACTTATTAAGTTTAATTGTAAAAGAAACTAATCACCGATAAATAGCAGTAAAATTCCAAGATGTCCGATGATTATCTCATCGCCACGCAGTTCCAATATTGTGCGCTTTCACTAATTTGCCACCATAAGATTCGCTTTCAAAGATATTGCCTTGGTATCGTTTTCTGGGCCGACTTTTTACTTTAGTTTACAAAGCTTCTTTCACCTTGATTTTTTGTTACTTAAAACCAGATTCCCTCAGTCAACATTGCCGTACTCCGTGTATAATCATACCAGTTTCGGTGAGAGTGAACAAAGTTGTGGACTGCATTAAGTCTTCACTTACTGGACCTTAGTTATGACGGAACAGAAGAAGTAAAAGTGTAATTTCTAAGCACACTGCTAAATAATTAATATGAGGTATCCCTATACTCACTTTGTTACCGGTATCGTGAGCCTTCTTGGAGTAAAAACACTTCAAAATTGTAATATGTTCCGTTTTAATTTTGTAGGTTTTTCTGGATAGGTAGTGTAATTGATTTAATTAAGCTATCCGTTTTATACTATCCGAACGAAACGTGAGAATGTATGCTGTCACACTGTTTTGAAATAGGTAGGAACACTTTCGACCCCACCGGTCGGTTTTGTATGCGTATAAAAAATCATAGCTTATTCAAATTTTAAGTAAAACGACGTAAATAATTTCTACGAGATTCCGGGGAAAACAAGAGCTAATATAAGCAGCTTAAGCAAAATATAAAATAAACTAATCAGTGAGACTATTTTAAAAACGTAAAGATATCTTTGTATTCGTGTGCTTTTAAAACGTGCGTCCAAACGTTCGAGACAAGACCGAAGGAAAAAGTATGCACATAAATATTGAAAATTATGATCACATATTTTGATTCTCATTTTCTAATTGTTGATTTAACCCGTTAGAGTAAGTTTTCTTGTTCAAATCGTTCGCTGAGAGTCCCTGCGTTTATTTCTCCAATTACAGAAAGGTTAGGACCCGTTCACAGGCCGGACAATGGGTACAAAATGAGGGACATATTTTGAAATTTCAATTACATGCAATGCCCTTAACATCACGGAATCACAGTGCGGAAATTTTGTACATTGCATCCTCTTCGGTATTTGCTATAAATAGTAATAATAGTATATTGTGTATTATTGTATTAACTGATGTTTTTGCTTTCAGTCCCGAGACTATTAAAGCTTCATCTGACGCAGAACCGGTGGGCTAGCCAGAACCCACGGGTTTGGGCCCTCCGCTGTGGGTAGGGCCGCGCATGTGCTCATGCGTGCGTTTAACTACGACATGTCATCTAAGGGCCATCGAAGTTGCGGTGCGGACCGAGACCCTGATGGCCGTCGACTGTGTTTTTAGCTTGCTGTGTTTTTAGCTAGTATATTGTTTACTATTTATAGCATATAATAGTTCAGTATGTAATACCTCCTCTATACAGAGGATATCAGGGCATAGTCCACCACGCGGCCCACTGCGGACTTCGCTTAAAATCAACAATTTCATTGGTGCCGGCACCGGGGATCGAACTCAGGTTGCTCGAGTACTCGTATAGTGAATTAAAGGCGAGCGCCCGGACACTGGGCTATCACGGCTCGTAAACACACAGGTAAATCTTTTTTATTTTTTAGTTTGGTTACGATTGGGGATGTTTCTAGGCCTGTGCATTTCTTGACCTACAGAGTAGAAGAGCTTTGAGCCTATATTTTTTTTTGGATTCAATGTAACGTTAAATTAGAACGACTTCACATAAGTATGCATTGTCACCCAAGATAATCGTGTATATCAAATTTCAGCTCAATCGGTTAAACATAACTGATTTAAATTTCAGTTGCAAGATTCCATCCGGACAAATATAAAGCTTGTAATACATAAAGCTAGCATGTAAATAAAAATGTAAAAGTTCCATCGTTGTATTAATTAATGGGCACGCTAGACTGTGCATTCAAGGACAGTGAATACCACTTACAAAAGTAAAACTTATATTATTATATTCAAAGAGGAAAACATTACCGTCGAATGTATTGTACGAAATGATTGCGGCGACAATCTTTTCGTACTTTTTCTACAAGTTTTAATGTTTAATCTTAAGTGCAAGATTAGCACTATAAAAAACTTTAAATCTAATTCAAGTAATTTTTTTTGAATAATAGTTGGTGTTTCAGAACCACCCCACTTTAGTATCCATACGAAATTTCCGTCAAGCTGGATGCACACTACGAGTACATTGGATTTATTACTATCTAATATTTTTAGTTCTACCAACTCCACTTTCGTTTTTCTTTTTGTATTGTTACAATTTTGGTCTACGTATGTTGTTCTTTTAATGATAAGTAAATGAATACGGGCGAATGAGAGGGATGCGCTGAACCTTTTCCCTCTGTCCACACGAACATTAAGCAGTCCGCTTCCATTTGCAGCCGTTCCCTCACCTGCGGAGACGTCATCGGTCAGTTGATTAGGAAACTGATTTTTCAATCAGCGGCCAATCATACAATTGTAATTGCTGAACGGAACCGACCACTCCACGCCCCCGCGCTGCGTCCCGCGTCCGGCGCACGTCGATTTCCATTTATATACAACGCCCGCCGCCCGCTGCGGAAACTGAAAGCTGTTGGGCAACACTTTTTCCCGCCATTGCGTTCTCTGTCAATGTGACGTTTGAGTAATTTGGCGGGAATTTAGTGACCTGCTTATTTGAAAAGAAATAACATTTGTATTATATTGCAGCCGTGATAGCTCAGTGTCGCTCGGGCGCTCGCCTTTAATTTAATATAGTCGAGCAACCTGAGTTCGATCCCCGGTGACCCAATGAAATTGTCAATTTTAAGTGCTGAATTATCACGTGCTCAGCGGTGAAGGAAAACATCGTGAGGAAACGTGAATATTTTCGAAATAATAACAAAAAAAATATTTCGAAGATATGTGAAGTCCGCCAATCCGCAGTGGGGCCGCGTTGTGGACTATGCCCTGCAACTCTCTGTACAGAGGAGGCCCTTGCCCAGCAGTGGGACATAACAGCCTATACATAGACTGATACTTTACTTTACTTTTATATTGTTTTTGATTTTGTTTTTTAATTTACTAATCGCCCGGCTAAAAATGCGTTTCTTATTGGTCAAACAAAATTATTGTTTTCTCTCTTTCTGCTGTTTTGTTATCCTTATTATTTAGTGATATTACTTCCACTTGTAAAGCTTGGATTTTGCAACGGAATTTACGTTAAAAAAGACAGGATCGGTGTGTTTCTAAAATGAATTAAGATTGACTTCGTTCATGCTTTGCAGTTCGCATCTACTCGTAATATCGAACAAATCCATAAAATATATTTAAAAATATTAAACGCATTTCATGCACTCAAGAAGTGCGATTGTTTTACAAAAATATTCTCGGAGATAAGTAATCGTATGAAAGTAAAGTAATTGATTTATTAATTACTTGATTAAGTTTACTTGATTTAATCTTTTTGAAACATTAATAACTCGTTATCTTTAAAAATTTCATACACGAAATTTTGTAACGGTTTAGGAGTTTTGCGACTATATGTTTGCTGAACACATATTTGAAAAAAACACTTGATGCTAACGAATTGTGTTGGCATGACATCATCTGGATTGTACTGGAAGTGGTGAATTCTCTACTGCTCTTTTTTATCAGAGTTCTTATGGTGGTGGCGGCGAAGGAGCCAGTAGCCCCAGAAGTATCATCGCAGTCTATCAAAGTGCGCAACGACAGCGAATTAACAATAACAAACTCGATTTTTGTGTTCGTGGTATAAATACACATTAATATACCACCCCCTTCATGAAGGAGGCTTATCGGTCCTGAAAAACTACAGGCGATACCCAACGGAGGATTTTTATTTCTCCATTATTAAGTGTATTCCGATTCTCTAACAATAAATATCACTAAAGATTTGATTAGGTTGAATCAAAGGTATTAGTTTCCACAAAAATATTACCAGGCAAGTATATTAATTCGAAATTTTTAGAAGGATACGGGAACTTGACATCTCTTGATGGTAATAATTAATCTTTATGGATATGTATTTTCATGGCGTTGGAAGGCCTCCCTCTAGGTGGACCGACGATATCATAAGAGTCGCGGGGAACCGGTGGATGCAAATGGCAAAGTGTCGTTCGTTGTGGCGTTCTAAGGGGGAGGCCTATGTTCAACAGTGGACGTCTTGCGGCTGAAGATGATGATGATGATGATTTTAATGAAATAATGTTTATTGTCAATAAAACGTCACTATCTAAAGTAGAATTTTTGAAGATAAATGAATAAAACGTTTCCACATAAAGTAGTTTTCGGCACCGCGGCATTCAAACCTGCATTTTCTGGTTTACGAAGCTTTACCAATTAGCAACATTTATCTACATTATTGTATTTTTAGCAACCCTAGCCTCTAGTGTACATACTTTACAATATGAAACACCTTAAAAATAACACATACCAATAAATATTTAAAAAGATCGTGAATTTGCAATATATGTTAACAAAGCTAGTTGTCTGTTATTTTAGTCAACCTCGGTAAATTTCCAATAGATCCTTGACTTACACTTTTATTCGCGATGCATGATTCAGTGGTCGGTGGATAAACCTCTAACATTTGTCACATACATTCTTTTTAAAACTTTCATGTCCAGGTGTACAAGCCGATGACCGAAGGGAACTTACAAGTATAAAGGGAATATAAACGTCGGATCTGTCAGACGCATAGAAAATTATTAATAATAACGGCTCCGCTGCGAACTTGTTACATGCCGTATTCCCACATACTCGTACCTACCATAGCTTCTAATTTAGATCATTCCAAAGACCCTCAGCGCGTTTGTTGTAGGATGATATAGGGATTAACTGTAGGTACCGGTTTGTACCGGTGTATTTCCACAAGGATTTTTTTTTTTTTGGCTGGATGAGCCACTGTTGGCCTTAGGGGCCTTTACAGATCCGACGGACTTGAGGGGGCCGGGCGCTCGAGGCGCCTAGCCTGAACCTCGCGTATTTATAATTACGCGTTATGGTGACTAAGCTCGAGGGCTCCCGAAGGAACCTCGGCTCGGGCCGAGTTTCACCGGTTTGGGAGGCCGCCAAGCTCTTAGGGCGCTTTGGCGGACGATCCATGGAGTGATCAGGCTCAAGGGTCCCCGAGAGGGGACCTCGGCTTGGGCTGTCACTCAGCACGCGTTTAGCATTCCGATTCGAGGGTGCCCGAGAGGGCCGGACCTCGGCTCGATCGGTAGCTGTTAACTGACTGGGGGATCTCTAGAGATATCGTTACTACCACTTCGTAAAGCGTTGGCGCTGGGAGAAGAAGTGGCGGAAGAAACTCCAGCAACGCTTCTATCATTAATAGGGGAGAACCTGCCAGGTGCGTGGCGGAACCTAGTATATGTTTGCCGCACTCGCCGGCGAGTGCGGTGTGTGTTGGTGTGTTTACGTAATTTATTGATCCTTTCGATGGCGATAGTCGTCTCATCGTCAGGGAGGTCGAGAACGTGTCGCGGTCTACGGTGAGTGCGGCGGAACGTACCTAGCGGCGTGGGTCTGTAGGAGGCGGCTCCTACGATTAACGGGTTGGGGTGCGCGGCGGCGGAATCAAAGTATCGGCGCGACGCCGACTTTAGGAATTGAGCGATGGTGGGCAACTCTAAATCGACATGTAGGTCAATGTTGCGCATGAACCAGGGTGCTCCCGTGGCTCTGCGCATGAACCGATTTTGGATGACCTGAAGACGGTGTATTTGTTTCGGGGCGATATGTGCGAATACCGGACTCGCGTATGTCATAATAGGGCGAACTACTGCCTTATATAAAGTCACCTTGTTCCGAAGGGACATTTTTGAATTTTTTGTTGAGGAGCGGATGGAGGCGGCTGAGTACGAAGGCCGCCCGGTTCCTGACCCGAGTCACGTGCTGGTTGAATTTAAGTTGGGAGTCGAGGACGACACCTAAGTATTTGACTTTGTTCACCCATGGTACCGGACTATCCATGAGCTTAACGGGAGGTGGTGGGTTAGTTAAATTTTTATGTGAGAAAAGGACGGCCGCGCTTTCAGCGGGATTGATCTCGATCCTCCAATGCCGAAACCAGTCACCGATGGTGATGGCTGCGGTTTGAAGGCGTCGATGGATTCCACAAGGCTTTGGGAAAGACAAGTCAACTAATGACGTAACTGAATAAAATTTGAACTATTTTCTCGTAACATATAGTTTATTAGGAATTGGAATCGGTATATAAATTTATAGATACATTAATTTTAAAAGCATAAAGGTAATTCCTATGAAAGAAAACATCGTCGCTTATGAAGAAATGTTGGCTTAACGAAATACACATAACATATATTTTTTTTAATGTGAGGAAGCGGAAAACGAGCTGGCGGTTCACCAGATGTCACGTTATAGCTGCCTACCCATGGACATTTGCAACACCCGGCCCTCGGCCCCGGCTACCTCACTCACCAGACGAAACGCAGTAATGCAACACTTCTACTTTACGCCGGTCTTCTGTGAGGTCGTGGTACTAGCCCGGACGGACCTGCCCATTCGTGCAACAGCGAAAACTGTTGCGTGACCATACCACCGCACATTACTACGCACAGTTGAACTTTAGTCGATTTATATATCGCTGTACAGAATGCACTTGAAACTTCAATGTTTCTATCGTCGTGTGTATAAATAAACTCAAACTTGGCCGATTGGCCATCTATTCGTTCGAAAGCTGACGCCACTAGCCCGTCGGGGCTGACGGAAGTTGTTTGCGAAGTGAAACTGGTATTTTTTGATTTTTTATTCTCTTCTGAACTGTCCTCTGTTGTGGATATAATGGGCACGGATGACCTCAACACGTTGTTGTCAGTCGAATTTGAAGTATTCGGACAAGTGCAAGGTTTGTTCCAAGTTGATTTTATTTTAAATTACTCATATATTTTCAAGTGACAAAAAAGTCGGCTCCTACCAGATACAGACAGTTTGTAGTGACGTTTTATGCAATTACGTTTTGATAGTGATTAAGTGTGACGAAAGCTATCGATGAGTGATTATCAAACAAATTAATTAATTAGTGACATATCAAACATTTGCTATTTTTAGTCACTGTTTATTTAATCATTAAAATCGCAATCATTTCCAATATTTTTTGTAAATGCACCATATGTTTAGATCAAGTTTAAGTTTAAATCAACTTCTTAATGTTAACACTGGCGCGATAATGTTCCTTACATTTCTTCAATATTTGATAGTTGAGTAAGTTATTTGCTAAAATTTGTTCTTGTAAAGATTTATGTTTCCTTTTACATTATGAATAAAACACTTATGTATAAGTATTTTTTGTCTACTATAATGCTAAAAATCTCAAGTATCAGAACCTTTACGTTAAATTGATATCTACTTTATGTATACTGTAGATATTTTTTTTATGTTCACCTTATGTTAAATGAATACCGCTGGCCATGACATCTACCACACCCAATGGCTTCCTGATGCGTTGACAACCCTAAAAAAAGTTGGGCCTGGCTACCTCACTCCCCAGACGAAACGAGAAAGATTAATACTTTTACTTCACTTCTTCTGTAGGCTGTAGTATGTATAGCCCCTAACGAGCCTGCCCATTCGTGCTTCGCCCTTCCTCAATAAAAACAATTAAACTTTTACGATGAACTTCTAATCATTAAGTTTAATGTCATTGGATGGCATTAAGTATTTTTTATATTTGCACAAATGACAAAATCTCTTTTATGTTGATAAAGTTGCCCGTTTGTGCGATACTAAATTTAAATTTGAATCGCTCTATATTCAAACCTCCTTCTTAAAGAAGTATGAAAAAATAGACTACACATACAATCAAAGAGAACGTTTTTGTAGTCTTTATAATAACGAATAACTAATTAATAATTATTATATATTTTATAATTATACTAATTATAACTCCGAAATAAATTATCATAAAATATAGGCGTCTAACAAAATAACACTGCGGCTAAAAGTAAAATAGTTATAACATAGGAGAAATGCTTTTTGGAGAATTTCCAACTGTCAATTTTCTAAACTAATATTAGATATTATTTTCTTTTTGTAATTGTCTGAATTATGGTTTGAGCTGGTATGAGATAACAGCTTTTTTAATTTCCGTTGAGAAGGAGAAATTATTTTTAAAGTTTATATAAGTGGTAAAAATTCTTCTATCGTTGGATTTACCGGTGAAAGATAGATACGACGACGATTCGACGATAACTTGCAAAAAATTGGCAAAATTTAGATGATAGCTTTCTGAACAGGTTGCTTCTTCACGAAATACTGTAAGGACCTGGCGTTGCAGCTTGGCATCAGCGGTTGGGTGAAGAACACGAAAAAGGGCACGATAGTGGGTAAGCTGCAGGGGAGGAAAGCGGAATTAGATCACATGTACGTATGTACTTCGTAAAATAACAAAGGGTATTTGTCATTCAACTAATTATAAGAGATTGCCCCGCCCATGGCAACATCAGTGCTAATGGACTTGCGCTGTCAACCTATAAAAGAAGCAAGAAATAGAATAAAAATCACAAAATAAGCTGGACATGCGCTGATTGGGAAAATATCGAAATTTATATTAATCCTTAATTTTAATATCCTCTTTGTGTCGATATCTATCAATAGTCTTAAAATACAAATGTTAATTAATAGCTCATTATGCACTTTTAAAAACATCTTTACGATACCGATTTTGACGTTTCAAGAATTTCAAAGCATTCATGGTGATCATTAAAAGTCTGTTAAACCGCTACGCCGTACTGCGTAACACTTTTTACTTGTGTATAGATAAATACTTAAATAAATATACATAGCAATTGGCGATGTATTCTATGTTACCTACAAACTCATCATCATCCTTTTCAATCATCAAACTTTTTGAACTAATTAGAGAAGGGAAAACACTAGGGCCACATAGAATACCGTAAACGGAAAGTTTCATTCTATAAAGTCCCGCCTATAAAGGCTAACAACGTACTTGTAATCCCGATGGTGAAGCGTATCTCCAGAACGAACTGCTTGCCAAATGTTGATAGAACTTATTTTATTTAGACGGGTGCGCTGATTGGTAAAAAAATATTGGTTAATGCTTCTGCTACCAAACTCCAAAATTGAATTCTTGTTTTTACGCGAATATTATACATTGTTAAATGATACTATTTCACGGATTTTATCGCGTTTAATTAGATTTTTAAATACCTTTCTGTTCCGTGACCATGCTGGAAAGGGTTTGAAACGTCGGGAATTTAAAAAAAGTAATTAAATAATCTGAAAATTGCCTGCAAATTTATATACATAAAATTTTTTGATTTTTGTACATTTATACATATAAAAGCGATTGTTTATTTGCTTATAGGATCGAATGGCTCAGCAACACTGGCTCGCCTGGCTGCAAGATAGAGAGGTGCGAACTATCCAACTGGGTGTATCTGACGCGTTTCGACTACAATGACTTCAGCATACGTTTTTAATGTCGCATTTTGTATAAATAAATAAATGGTAATAAGTTTAAATTTATATCACCTTAGAGTACTGCTTCACCAGGCTCAGTCATTCGGATTTGAAGAGCCAGTCTGTTTACACAGCCCCTGAACAAACAGCATTTAGGTCTATAAATAATAAATATAAATAAATTAACATTTTCGGACATATTTTTACACAACGTTCTCTAGTTCCAAACTAAGCAACGCTTGTACTATAAAACTAATAAATACATACTTTATAAATACATACTTATACATACTTTTCTTTTGTAAATAAATACATATTATACATATATATATATAAACATCCAGACACTGGAAAAACACTATTTTCATCACGCAATATTTTTCCAGTAGTGGAAATCGAACTTACTCCCTCTGGCGTAGGACGCAGGTTCAACTCCCCACGCCAAACGGGTCGTCATATCGCAGTAAATAGTTCTAGTATGCGTTGTTTTTTCTCATTAATTTGATCGAACACTCTAGTTACTCTGTCTCTGTCTTACCTCACCAATTCTTAAGGGGCCGCAACGTATACTACACTATTTTGTGTGATTTTGTTCATTTATTGTCGCGATGGTAACGACAAGCTGTATAGTAGATGCAGAGGTTATTTATATATTGGGCATTTTAACTACGGTACGTTGAGATTAGTCTTCCTTCAAAACATGTATGTTGATCGTCAGACAAATACTTGTACTGGTTCTGAATCAAAGACTTGACTAGTAGCGTTGAACACCATGTGTTTGATATCTGGCAGGAGATTCGTGTATTGTTAAACTGATCTAAACGTTAGGTTTATCAAGGTTCGATTCGAGTATTTTTCGTCGATGTATTTGGAAGAGTGCCACTGTAAACAATCAATCAAGATCAAAATAGAATGCATACGTTATTTACTGTGATAATATCTTTTCACAGGTCTTATTATGGATGCATATGCATATTATTACAGCTGCCGTGTGTAATCATTCCCCCAAAAGTGCAACATTTTGGGGGAATGATGACGTCAAGGTAAACGAGAATCCTTTATACCATCGAGGGGAAATAAATCATGAGATGAATTATTTATTTACAATACATTTGTTATAAATAGAGACTTAAGTAGGTAGGAGGGATTGTATTAAAATGAGGCCCCACTAGAATTTGTCATCTACAATTATGCCAAGGAATACAGTCGAGTCGATAGGGTGTAACGCTTCTCTTATAGAAGGAGTTGTAAATTTAATACATTTAGAGTTTTTACTATACAACATAAGTCGTTAGCATTGGACCAATGCACTACAGTGGAGAGAGAATTGTTAAGATCGTCATAATTTAAAGAATATCGTTTTACTTAAAAAATTAAAGAATTATCATCAGCAAACAAAACTATCTCATGATCATTATTAACAAGATAGGGTAGGTCGTTTATGGATATGAGGAAGAGAAAAGGCCCCAGAATAGATTCCTGCGGAGCCCCTCTACTAACCAGGGCCCCGGGAGATCTATTGCCGTTCGAGTCAACGATCTGAACACGATAGCTCAAGTAAAATGTCAGAAGATTGAGTGTAGCATCTATTATACCATTAGTGGTGTAGTTTCAAGACCAAAGTCTCATGCTATATACGATCAAAACCTTTGGTAAGTCATAAAATATACCCAAGACATCCTGTGACTCTTCTCTGCCCGCATCTTTCTTGAGCGAACCCTAGTAAACCCATATCGCTTGTTATGAACCCTAAGAACACTGTTTTTGTACGTGTCATATTTTTTTACTTTACTTAGTTGAAAAAAACAATCAGAAATAAAAAGGTACCTATTGCAATTCATCACCAGCTCTAGATCGCTATCGGATATTGAACGTGCACATGCCTCGTGTTCGTAACGTGCCTGATATCCATCACCGATAGAATGTTCAATCAATGCATCAGTAGACAATCTATATCGGTATCGATGTTAATCGACCACTTTGCTTGAACTGTCGTATTACATCAGATAAGTATGCGATAGTGTATGTGAAAATAATTAACTGATTTTTAAATTATTAGAAAAAATTAAGTTATGCTAATGCCTATATAAAATACGAGGTCAGGAGACTCCAGTAAGATCTCCAGCCTTTTTTGCTCCAAAGATAAGTAAGTATCGATTATTCTGTTCACCACTGAGCATATGGTCGTTAGTTTCACTCCCAAGGATTTGAACTTGGGTTACACAAGTGTAATTAAAAGCGAGCGATCAGACACTGAGCAACTGTGGCAGCTGCATTGGGTTTAAATGAATATTAATAAATTAGATTACGTCCCTTGGCTCCTAATGTACGTAAACATGACAAATAATTGCAATAACATTTTCCATTATCTAGGACACGTTGTAAAGTCGATTTGTTATAAGCAACTTAAAGATGCAACATTTATTTTATTAGTGTGAACTTAATTCAGTAAATTATGTGCAGCGAATTATGTCAGAAATAAAAATTTTATGAGTCAATACGATACAGCCGGTAAAACAAAGACACGTTTCCATTGACATGTTTCACTTCTAACGTAGATAATAAGGTGATGTTTTTATATCCACATCAGATTGTGCCTTACTTATCTAATCCTAAGTGTTCCTACGCGTAAGACATCCCGTATCGATCATATTGTTAGTAATATTATAGACGTAACTGCAGCGGTGTTATGATTCTATCTATCTAATCATGACACAGCAATTATGAGCTTTGTATTCAAATTTGACCAACAAAAATTGCAAAATATCATATTTATAAAAGGAAATTGGAAGAATGTCTGCGAATGTTATTATGGTCAGAAGCATACACGGAAAACTATGCCTACGTTGAGTAATATTGCGCTATGGTCTAGGAATGTCAGCACTGACCAAAATAGAACGTTATTAATGAAAAAAATAATACTTGCCTATCTGGGCAATATATGGCAACCCAGAAGAGTCGTGCAAGCCCGTATTATAAAACCTGGCTGATTGCCATTACAAACATGTTTACAACAACTTTGTATACCACGTTCTATGCCAATAAACTATTAAGCCGTGGTAGCTCAATGTCCTGGCGCCCGCTTTAAATTCGATATAATCGAGCAACCTGTGTTAAAGTCCCGGTGCCAGCACCAATGCAGTTGTGTTTATTTTAAGTGCTTAATTATCACGTGCTCAGTGAAGGAAATTTTCGAAATAACAAAAAATATTTCGAAGATATGTGAAGACTCAGTCCGCAGTGGAGTCGCGTGGCAGACTATGCCCTTATATCCTATTGTATAGGTTTGTATAGGCTGTTTTTTTACCTTGCTTTTATTATTATTATTATAATCGTGCAGTGGAAATGTATATTATATTTATTTCGCGTAAGTCAACATAGATCCATAAGTTCATATTGCAGCAGGACGTGATATTAACAGTCTGTGTATATATATGATTTCAATTTTATTTAAGGATATTTGTCCAGATAATACCTTAATCTAAGCTCGCGGCATAGGTTCGAGTGTTAGTGGGGTGTAGAGATTTGCCGTTATTCGATTTACTTTATTACAAAAATCATTACCTCTTAGTAGTATTCAGTTGACGGTGTCAGTTCCCGTTTCGTGGCCTACTGTAGAGTTAACCTGAAGATACCTAAGGAATTATTACGATTACCAGGTTTTAGTAAACTTGGAAGGATGACCAGAGTATATACGTAAAGCATTTTGAATATCTGTCAATCGGAACAGGTGGTTCCAGTGATGTTAATGATTTTCATCGCCCATTGACATCAACAATACACGTGAGGTTGCAAGCGTGTTGCCAGCGTTAAAAAGTGTGGATCTGTGGATTTCTACTAGTTCGATACTATTTTTACTAGTTCGATAGGACACGTTTTTACGATAAAACTATCACAAAGACTTTGTATTGTTAACATATTGACTGTCTGAACGGCATGATCGTCTTTGTTTTGGTAACGTAGATAATTTTATTGGCACATATTTTAAAGTAATAACGTATTTAATGTCTGACGGGATAGATAGATAACTATTGCGTACGATATACCAAGGCAAAAATTGTTTGCTCATCGTATCCGTACCCTGAACTAATTTAAACCTGGGCACGAACGAGCGATTTACTTTTGAAAGTTAAGTTTTCTTCATCTAAAGTTGTTTAGAGACTTTAGAGTTTTTTTAGGGTTTCGTACCCTATTACTAAGACTCCGCTGTCTTTCTGTCTATCTGTGGATCTATCTGTCTGTCCGTCCGTCTGTCACCAGGCTGTATTTCATGAACCGTGATAGTTAGACAGTTGAAATTTTCACAGGGTATGTACTTCTGTTACCACTATGAAAACAAATATTAAAAATCAGCATTAAAAATATTAAAATCCAGTTCCGCGGTAATTTGGAAGGTAATGCCCAATTGGCCTCAAAGAAGCTTGGTGTGCTCAGCAAGGCGAGTCAGTACTTCACGTCGGCTCTAACCTAAGCCTCAACTCAGCATCTTCTACCGCATTTATCACGGGAGTGTTCCGAGGAATTGTTTGGATTGATCCAGGCCGTTGAATTTCACTATCGGACATCGCGCCAAAATCAGAAATTTCATCCACACCAACAAAGTTTTCCACCGTCCTTTAATAAAACGTCTTTTCGTACGTCGCAATTAAACACCAGTCCATTCCATTTCAGTGGCTAAATTGGGCGAAATGAAATACCATGATAAATTAACGTCAATTTATTACAAGCCAGCACTCACAATTCGATGTACATACACTATTTACATGAACTTACATGCTATTTATAATACAAAACGTGGAATGATGAAGTTTGACTTAGATCTCATCACCTACTCAAACATAAAGAAGGTCACAATTATTCAAAGTTCTGTGAAAATAGTAATTCCTAAAAAAAATATTTGTTAATTACCACTCAAAAAAATAAATGTATGTGTAAAAATATATGACATAGTGTTGTCGGAAAACATATAAAAGATGGAAAAAAAACATAATATCAAGTTAAAATTAACGTCAATAACAGGTGAATTACATAATTTACTATTATGTAATTCACCTGTTATTGACTTCCAAATAAAGTATCTATTGTTTATAACTGCTTGGTATCTCATTTGACATATTTATTAGAAATTAGCGGTCATTGCAAACTGAAACCCTAAATCCAAAATTATAAGTCATGTATGTAATATTTTATTATGATTTCTTAACACTAACAACCAAAGTATACCAGCAAGTATACACACATAACACCTCTGTCTCTAACAGCATTGAATCCGATATACTGCAGAAAAAAGATAATAAACAGATTTTACTACCTAAATTAAATTAAATTAATGCGTGAACAAATTATGTGCAGAAATCATCACGATGTTTGAAGCAGCTGTACAACTTATAACCAAATGATATTAAAGACTAAAAGTATAAGTTGGTATAGGAAAACACATTAAACTTAATCTCACTTGTCTTTAGTAATTTTTTTTTAATATTATTTTTATTTATCACTGTATCTCATTTGAAGTGAATGTTACTAAAGTAGAAATGGTTTTTTAAAGGATTTCTTAAAATATTTGATAAAATTCCAGCAGAACAGTAGATGTAACGTTGTACTTTCACAAATTCGTTTTGAATTGAATTAAAAATTGCCATACTTTTCGTTCAAGAAGTTAATATAATTATAAAGATTCCAACAATACTGCTAAACATAATACCCTATTAATACAATGTTAAATAACAACAGTTCCATAAAATGTAATAAACACAGAGGACAAACGAAACTGTTTATAGCACTTTAACATAGAACTGTTATTAGTAGAATAATAACCTAATACGTTTTTTTAGTATTCCCTCGATAGCACCGTGATTTAGTACACGATAACTTGGTAAAGTAGTTATTAAATCGAGTTACCAAAAAAAAGTTAACGAGATACTGTTAATAACCAATATTAATTATATTTAATTAAGTCGATGAAAAAAAGCAAATCAATTAGGAAGTTACCAAATTTCAAATTAGTTTTTGGTGATCATTATCATAAGCATAATAGAAATGCAAACACCCATTACTAAACGAACAAATTACTGCCAGTCAAACTGTAACTGCGGGTAAATAATCTCATACTGAATAAGTTTCCTATTTGACAGCATAAATTTATTTAACACAATAAAGCTGCCTTCTTCTTCATTATTGCAACAAGACCCATACTTTAAATAAAACGAAAACGGAGTATAGGAATTTTCCTATGAACACAACGTTCCTCGTCCGGCACTTTGTGCTTCCACTAAGCGCTTCAATCTTTCACACTTAATAAATATGCATAACTTTAGCTATCAATGCACGGATTGCGCGTCAAACACTATGCTGAACATCGTCACTGGATACGAACTAAGTAACGGTAATCTCACACGAAGAGTCTGCTTCCCACTACCTGTGGCTAGACTTTCTGTTCGGGCATTTGTAAGGGGAAACTCGCCTCTTCGGTCTTCCGCGCCGTTGCTATAGCGGCGGCGGCCAATGCCCGCCTGTGCCTCTTTTTGGTCCTCTCTTTGTGGAAGAACAGGCGCAGATAGTGGCAGGGGAAGACCACGCAGTCACCGGCCGGCTCCTCAGCGTCTATGTACACCCCCCTCACGAGGATCGTGTTGGAGCAGTTCAGCAGCACGAGCAGGGTCAGGCTGATGATGTGCGTAGACCAATTGCTCAGCTTCGGTCTGTCTGTAACAATGGAAGTTTGCGTTTTCAAGTTTCCGTATGTATATCATGATTTAAACTAATTGAAATATTGTTTTCAACTTCACTATATAGTATAAAACAAAGCCGTCCCGTTGTCTGTCTGTCTGTCTGTCCGTGTATATACTTATCTTTAAAAGTACGCAACGGATTTTCATGCGGTTTTCTTTAATAGATAGAGTGATTCAAAATGAAGAAATTTATATGTATAATTCATGCATAATAAAATAGAGAAAAATTGATAATTTTATTGTCGAAAACAAACATTCAGCCTTGCACGCGTGCTTATATATAATACTTATATATAATACAATTTTTAATTTTTCAAACGTAGTGTTCGACTCCCCAATGCGCTATTTTCCTTATAAAGTTACTAATGCTTAATCTCATAATTAGCATCAGGTGAGGCATTTACGTTTTTTTTTTGCAGAAACTGGCAGTTGATTGTTCCACCGCATTCGTTGCATTGTTACAACGGTATAAATAATTTTCGATAATGTTACAAACCAACAGTATCCTTACCTGGAAAGTAGTAAACGTCGAGTAGGCCCCAGACGCCTCGCCAGACGTTGACGGTAGCAACGAAGGAGCCCAGGTGGTAGAAGTCCACAAGCAGCAGTCTAGGCGCACCATGCAGCCTTGCCACTACCCACCTCATCGGGACTTGTAGCGCGAAGGTCACCAACACTATGACGTATCCACCGACCTGGAAGGAACGCAAAGCAATTTATTTTAAGTCTGTCTACAATGTAATTACAAGTATATTTTCAATGTTAGGTAGGTTTCATGACAATCTTCTCCAATTCTTCTTGAAATACGTCTTGTAATAACGTTATCACAAGAGTTTATTATCGTAATTCAGGAAGACTCCGTTTGAATATGGATACAAATCCATATAGCCCGTAATATAACGATATGAAATCAGGAATACAAAAACACAAACATTCGTTTATTGGTTATAATAATAAAGCGATATAATTTTTAACCTATTCGAAATATGATGTTGTAAGTCACGTAACAGCTGAGATAACCAATAGGTGGCTATAAGACAAAGGAAGTAACGGTATGTGATGTGAAATATCTTGATTATCTTAAAATTTTATTGCTAAATCAAAACATTGGCAACATTGTTGATAAATACACAAATGTTAAACGGTTTAATTATTAAGAAAAATCTCACAAGGTGTAAAAACAATGAATTTTATCCTAAGTGACACAATGTTATCGGTATTCGCGATCTTCTGTACACTACAGTACACCTTTTATTTGACGAAACATGACATTTCATTGAAAATGTTTGTATACGTAGAGTTCGAGTGATTGTTTATGTGCTTACAGTTTTATATATTACAACGAATATTTCTAGGTAAACACTTGTTACCTTTGCTTGCTTAGCATTTATTTGTAAGGAAATTTCCATCAATCCTGACTTGCCTAAAGCCTAAACAAGACAAAATGGAACAAAAATTAACACTTTATATGTGTGTAAATTTATGATATAAAATCTTTTTTGGTAGAGCACTACAGGATCTGTATAAACCCAAATTAGCTCAATCATCTATTGAAGTACCGATGCCTCATTTTTAGGGTTCTGTACCCAAAGTTTAAAATGGGACCCTATTACTAAGACTCGGCTGTCTGTTCGTCTGTCCGTCTGTCACCAGGTTGTATATCATGAACCGTGATAGCTAGACAGTTGACAATTTCGCAGATGATATGAATCTGTTCCCGTTATAATAAGAAATACTAAAAAACAGATATAAAAAATATTTAAGTGGGGCTGGTTTGCTGTTTTATAGGTAACGCTACGGAAAACTTCGTGCGCGGGTCCGACTCGCACTTGGCCAGTTTTTTGATCTGTTATGTTGTGATTGAGGTAACCGAGTTACACTTTTTTAAAGGTTAGCAATATAAATAAATAAATAAATATTTGGGACACATTCGTACACAACATTTTCTAGTCCCAAACTAAGCAAAGCTTGTACTATGGGTACTAGAAAACTGATAAACATACTTAAACATACTTTTCTTTTGTAAATAAATACATATTATACATATAGAAACACCCAGACACTAGAAAAACACCATGTTCATCACACAATATTTTTCCAGTAGTGGGGATCGAACCCACACCCTCTGGCGCAGGAGGCAGGTACACTACCCACTACGCCATTCGGGTCGTCAATATGTCTGTAACTTATTATTTTCAACTTAGTAGTCCGTTCTTTAAGCTTGAATGCTTTAAAGTATTCGAAATTTCGGGTACTTAAGTTTAAAATAGCCACGATGGATGCGTAAAAAAAGTTTCAATTAATAATAATATAAAAGTAGAGAAAACTTTGTTTCAAAAAACGAACGATATAAATTTTTTTCTGTCGCACGTGTTAGTTATAACCGGTAGTTAATCGAGCCAATTACTGACAGTTCTAATTGTATGTATAATAAGATAAGTTTATGCTACATTACGCGTATTAAGTATTAACTAGTGATAAAAGGAAGAAGCTACAATAGGTGCGTGATGAAGATTTTATTATAAAACATACTAAAAAGAAACAGGATATTACTCGTATTTAAAAAAAACAATATGTACTTTTCGAATGACATAAGTGAATTCGTCGTGTTTGTTCGAATTTCGTTTACGATGCAAACAGTTTGAAAAGTCAAATGTAAAGTCATTGTAATGTTATGATAATATTGACTTTCAGTTTCTATTATCGCAACGCATGAAAGTGCATTTCAGTGACCTTTTGTGGGGTACAATTATATACAATTATATCATTACCTATGAACAGCGAAATTTCGGTGCTATTTGAAAAGAAGTGTTTTCAGCGAATGCGCGAAACAAGGAAGTTGGCACGAGATAAACGTTGATTGACGCTGGATGACGCCAATGGAAACTGCTTTATTAAGATAATGTTTAATTAGGAGTTTACTGTATTGACATAGTCGGTGTAGTAATTAGTTCAGATACCGCAAAGGATCACGCAACTTATGTTCAGAGGATCTGAGTGCATCGTCTCGTTTTGTATTCAATTTCGCCACAACACAATTCTTTTTCTCCTATTGATAAGATAATGAGTTCTTTTATTCATCTAAGACTAAATAAGGTCGGTGAAACAAAAAACGGCCAAGTGCGAGTCGGACTCGCGCATGAAGCCTTACCATTCATTATATATAAAAATGGCAAAATAATCATGTCTGTTTTATGGGAGCCCCACTTAAATGTTTTTTTATTCTATTTTTTAGTATTTGTTGTTATAGCGGCGATAGAAATATATTATCTGTGAAAATTTCAACTATCTTACTATCACGGTTCATGCGTTACAGCCTGGTGACAGACGGACAGACAGCGAAGTCTTTGTAATAGGGTCCCGTTTTAACCCTTGGGTGCGGAACCCTAAAAACTGTATATGTGGATGGATGGACAACCCTTTAAGTCTCCAGGATTTCAGAGCACACCTGTTTGCTGTCGTATCTCCTTTTGCTAAGCATCGTTTATCCTTTATCCCTTTAACAGTATTTAATGAAGGAGTTTTGGATAGCCTCAAATGGGATTACGTGGCTTATGGTGAGATCGGAACACGCAATGCTTAATACATGTATACTTTAGCCGCTAAACACATCAGTGCTGTATAAACGATAAAGTTTAGCGAATATAAAGGACAGGTATGGGGCAGGGAATATAGGTAAGATCAGCGCTATAGAAACAAGCGCATAATATTTTCTAGTTCGAACAACTACAGTTTAACTGCACATAAAATGTAAAGGATGATAAAGTTAATCAAATAGATTTGAATACAATACATTCTACATGAAGTGTAAAAATCGATGAATATTATTACTTTTCCTTAGTACTAGTGTTTGACTACTAAGACTATTTCGCTATTTATTGAAGACGTAAAAACTTCACACTATAGTGGAAAGGGAATGATCGTATTACTTCGTATCAATTCGAAAGACTAAGAATATAAGAATAATTAATTGACATGTATCCAGAACTTTTTCCGTGGCGCACCAACCTATGGTTCCGTGGTCGCCTAGTAGTCGAAATCGGACCATAATTAACTGCACATGGTAGAGTGTGATATAAAAGTAAAAGTAAAGTAACAGCCTATATATATCCCACTGCTGGGCATAGGCCTCCTCTATAGAGAGGGTATCGGGGCATAGTCCACTACGCGGCCCCACTGTGGATTCGCGGACTTCACATATCTTCGAAATATATATATTTTTTGGTATTATTTCGAAAATATGCAGGTTTCCTCAAGATCTTTTCCTTCACCGCGGAGCGCGTGATAAGTCAGCACTTAAAGTTAAAACCTTCAATGGTGCCGGCACCGGGGATCGAACTCAGGTTACTCGAGTATATTGAATTAAAGGCGAGCGCCCGGACACAGAGCTATCACGGCTCTCGGAGGCTATCGGAGTGTGATATAATAATAATAATAATAATAATAGGTCTTTATTGGTCTAAAATCACTAATAATGTAGGTACAAGTAATTTAAAATACAATTACATTAGTCAGATTTTAGACTAAAAGGTCTGGGGTTCAGGTTTGTTACACACATTGTGCACAACACTGATATTCTACCCCAGCCTGACATTACACAGACTGACAGAACACTTTTAAAATTTTAAGTATTGAAAACTAAAATATAATAGTAATGGAAAAAAAAATAACAATATCTAAAAAACTTCACCATGAAATTAAAACATAATGATAAATGTAAACTGCCTTAAAATGTCTTATCATGTGGTACCAGAGAGCTGTTCTTGTATCAGAATCCATTTTTTATATTTTGTTTTAAAATGATGTACTGACCGCAGCCCGCGAATAGGTGGTGGTAAATCATTCCAGCATTTTGATGCAACAATTTTAAAGCAGCCTCGTGTTTGCACTAGATTATGTCTTGGAACAATAAGAGATTTAGTACGCGCCCTAAGTCTATTATTAACATTGGAAAAGACACGAACCGTATACGATATAGCAATAATGTAAATGAGATAATACAAGCGTATTTATTTTTTTAATGATTTAATGTATTTTTTATGCATAATTTGTTCATTCTGCACTCCTTCCCTATATAAACTCCAACCGCACAATTTTCGTAAAAGTGGATACAAAGTTTTTGCTTCACGTACTAATATACAGATAAGAACAGATGATAGTCATGACTTCTAAAACTGATTGGCTAAGTTATAATCAATAAAATGGATAAATTACAATCGCATTGATTTTTTTTTTGTAGCTCTAATTAAAATTGATGGACGGGACTAACAATCTTATTATCTAAAGTAGCCACCTAAAATTTAATCAGATTTAATCGATCAAATTATATTAGTCATTGTATTAATAAAATAAGAGTCCTACTGTATTTGTCATACTGCGGATATTATTGAGTTGTAAAAAAGACTCCAATTTGTGTTAGCGCTTATCATAACTTCCACGCCGTTATTGCTACTAGTATATGATGATAAACAGGAAATCCACTATAGACTTAAAAGATGAAGACGTAAAAAAGCGTCAAGCCTGGAAAAATAACGCAAAAAACTGCTTCTTCCGTAATAGGACGATTGTGTTATTAGAAGTTAAATTAAACGAGCCAAGCCCTTCAGGGATCATAAGACTGCTATTGCGATCAAACGTTATAAATGTTTAATGTTCCCAATTTTGTACTCTCTGTGGTCAGGAATACTTCTCTGTC